TGACTAGGTATCTACCTGTTGCTCTACTCTGTAAGGGGAAATAATCGGTGCTTCCCAAATGAGTAGTAGATAGCAATGGAAGTTAATCAATCATGCATGAGGCGCGGGGAACGCTCAAACCTCGGATCTGGTCTCGGACCGTAACTTGCAACGGATATTCTAGCGTCAACCTTGGAGTGACACGCCTTTTCTCTTGGCTCTTTGACGATCTACGAGGACTCCCCACTCAAAAATCCCTTTTCGTCGGCTGATTAGCTGCAGCAGCAGACATGTCGGTCCGACGACATCGGCAGACCGAAGCGGCTGGGGCGTAATCTGGGGTCTAGAGAGGTCGGCTGAATTACCTACTTATTAGGCAAAACCCGGGCTCGACCATTTATCGTTGCCTCGTTTTTCTTCCATTTTTACATCTTTCGACATTCCTTCCTCCGACGTTTAATGACTACGCTTGACAGGTGCAAAGTGACGACGGAGGCGAAAACGTACTTGGGTACTGCGCAAAGAACTGCAATGACGGTCAAGAACATTACACCCCGCCCTCGATGGCATCCTTCGCCGACATACCACCTCAAAGCACCTCGGGGCTGGATCAATGATCCGTGCGCACCCGGATATGACCCCTCAACAGGCACATACCACCTATCTTATCAATGTCAGTACACCCATTCCATCTCTCGGCCAACTCTTATGCTGACTTGACTTTGCCACCAGGGAACCCCAAATCCTGCGATTGGGGTGACATCACTTGGGGTCATTACACAAGCAGAGACGGTCTAACTTGGAAGCAAAACACACAAAATCCAGTCCTAGAACCATCTGAGCCCTACGATGACAAGGGCATTTTTACTGGCTGTCTCCACCCTACGGGCCTTCAAGGAGAAGAAGGCCAACTCACTGTCATCTACTCATCCATCACAAATCTTCCCATTCACTGGACTTTGCCGTATACCCGAAATTGTGCTGGACTTTCAGTAGCAACATCGACAGATGGTGGTAAAACGTGGCAGAAGAGTGAACAGAACCCAATCTTGGAGGGCGAACCCGAAGATCTCACCGTCACAGGGTTTAGAGACCCTTTTCTTGCCGAATGGCCTGCTTTGGATGAAATGAGAGGTGAGGCAAGCTTGTATGGCTTTGTTTCAGGAGGGGTTGTCGACGGCGGACCTACGGTGTTTCTCTACGCGATCTCACCGACCGACTTGACACAGTGGACATATCTCGGCCCTTTGGTCGATTTACCCACAGGTTACAGCCCCTCCGGTCAATGGGGCGGCGACTTCGGTGTCAATTGGGAGTGCGTTAACTTCATGACTCTTCACAACGAGTCCGAGGAACGGCCTTTCTTGCTCATGGGAACCGAAGGAGGGGTTAAACCTGGTGCTAAGGAGGGCAGGGATCAGTGGTCGCTTTGGATGGCTGGGTCTCTTGAGCAGACCGAACAAGGTCCCAGGATAAAACCAGAGTACAGCGGAATTCTCGACCACGGAAGCTTATACGCACCTAACTCTTACGAGCATCCTATTACGAAAAACAGGATCGTCTGGGGATGGTTGAAGGAGGACGAGCTTACCTTAGCCCGACGCGAATCCAAGGGTTGGACCGGATACTTCTCTATCCCTCGCGAGCTATTTTTATACACAGTCGAAAACGTAACGAAGACTCTAACTTCATCATTGGCCGATGTTGGTTGTATAAAGGCTACTGAGAATGGGCGAGGATCAAACACAGTTCAGACATTGGGTATTCGGCCACTACCAGATCTGCAAGGGCTCAGACGAGACAAGCCTGGCTACTGGAAAAACATCGACAGCAACGCCAAACTTGGAAAGCTTGTCGACACGCAAACCGGAAGCTGGGAGTTGGAAGCCACAATCAAGGTCTCACCAAACAACCAAGGCCTTGGATTTTGGATTCGACATAACGAAGACATGTCTCAAGGAACAGCCATTCACTTCTCCCCTCAAAGCGAGAAGATCACCGTCGATCGAAGCAAATCCAACCACGAAGTCGATATCGAAAAGGATGCTGTTTCCGGGCCTTTCACTCTTTTCTACTCTGACAGAAACGGCTCAGAGGAGTTGGAGAAGCTACACTTGAGAATTTTCTCCGACGGCGACGTTCTCGAGGTCTTTGCCAATGATCGATTTGCTTTGTCGACTATGGTTTATGCGGATACTAGAGATTGCACGGGACTGAGTTGGTTTGTCGAAGGACAGGAAGCAAGCGAGACTGTCTTTGAATCGGTAAAGCTATGGGAAAACATGAAGGAAGTTGTTGAGGTTGATGAGCCTGTTGTTTATGAACGAAGTCAGTTGTGATGAATAGCTACTGACATACCGGTGCATGGAGTTATCATTATCGGGCTTATGATAGCCGAAAAGCCATAAATCGAACTTCTTTATCTCTGACATCTTCTTGCTTGTTTTCGTCACTACCCGTACCAAGCATTCATGCTTCTCACTAGAGAATTGTTTCAAGACGCTGCTATTTGTAAGGCCTCGGGAGCAAAAAACCATCAGACTAAGTTTTAAGATGTTAGATAAAGTTACCAGAGGTATCCTATACTTATGCTACTGCACCTAAATCTTTTTGTCTCTTAGGACCAAAGTCCCGATTTGGTTTCCTCCCCTAGTGAGGATGTTACGAATTGAGATGCTACGTTTAGTGGCGGTCAAGCAGTCGTTAGATCTGAGGTGGCGAGGTTGAAGTTACTACCGTAATGGGTAATACACCCCGCAATGCTGCGACCTCACGGTTGGCACAACTTCCGTATTTGTCAATCGTCAAAGCTTGCTTACTTCCCCCTATAAAAACAGGCTTGTCATGCTAAAAAAGGTGACCTTACTTGGATCTCTTTCTTGCCTACAATATTATTGCTTTGGATCACGAACCTGCCCAGCTCTCCACTGAACCGACCGACATATTATCATGAAAGTTGTTGCAGTCGCCGGCGGAACTGGAAGCGTAGGTAGCACCATCGTTGATGGTCTCGTAGAGTATGGGGAACACAAAGTGTACGCTCTGTCCAGAAAGGTAAGCAAGTCCTTTGCGTTCAACGTACCTGGTGGCTTGCATTGACCAGCATTAGGAACGACCGCCTCAAGGCGCTGTGAACTACCTCAAAGTGGATTATAATGACCCTGATGCTATCGCGAAAGCCCTAGAGGCTGCAGGAGTCAATATTCTCATTTGCGCTATTAGCGTCGTATCACCAGAAGCAAATCAGGCACAGAAAAATCTCATCCAAGCCGCTGAACGGTCTTCAACCACCGAGCGCTTCGTCATTAGTAGTTTCGATATGTTGCATGTTAAAGAGTAAGTAACCCTGGGACTCCTCGAATGTTGCTGACGATTCGAGTAGGGATATCGAAATTTCACCACTGACCAGGTACACCTTTGAAGCCATAGAAGAGCTTGAAAAGACTAGCCTGACGTACACTCGTATCGCCAACGGCTGGTTTCTCGACTACTATGGCATGCCTCACTGGAAGTGTAATCTCGAGCCATGGATCAACATCATCAACATGAAAAGCAAATGGGCTGTGATTCCAGCCGATGGAAGTATCCAGGCCAGCTTCCTCACATCTCAGGATATGTCCAGATTTGTTGCGCGCCTGATGGATCTTGAGAAGTGGGAGACAATTAGTGCCATTCGGGCCAACACCTTATCATTCAACGAATTAGTTGCGGCTGCGGAGAAGTCCAGAGGTGAGAGCATGCCAATCATCATCGGGCACTGAATACTAATTACGACTAGGTACCAAATTTGATGTTGCCGTTGATAGCCTGGAGAAGTTGAAATCAGGTAAGATTTCATTCTTTCCTGATTATCCTTCGATTGGTCATGGTGACGGCGACGAGGCATTCTTCGCCATGATTCATTATCAAGCTGGCATTGGCCGGTATCTCGTGCCTAAAGATCTTCCAACCTTGGACGATAAATTTCCGGAATTGAAAGTCACGACGCCCTTGGAGGTCATGGAAAGTGCTTGGAAGGGGAAATAGTGCTTTTCAGTACCGGGTCATCGGTACATCGGTTGTGAATTCTAGAACTTACCTAAGTCTCTGTAAAGGCTTTCTAGTTTATAAGAATAAGTAAATCAAAATTAAGTATCATTATTTTGTCGGGTCTAGGCCTTGACTTCTGATCTGCTGGTGCTCGGTGTGATAATTTCACCGGCTTTCAAGGCTAGTTTTAGTCAACTTAAACGGTTCTCAGGTCATTTCATCATGTCAAAACCGTCCCGCAAAATTTGCCGACCAAATAAATGAATCACACCCAAGCATACGTCATATACTGGTATTAGCATGCCAAACAGAGACACTACAACCGGTCCCCAGAACTATTGAAATAAGCAGCAATGCCAAATTTGAGGATGCCCCTTGCATTATAAAGTCGCTCAACACACGGCCATTCTCCTGAACTACTGAACCTTGTCCCCCTCCCTGTTTTTTTACTCCAAAACGCCCAATTTCTGTAGCTTATAACAGCTACTTCGGGCTAAGAAACAGCCAAGTCTGGGTTTCACCTTAATTCCGTAAGCCTCGAACCCGCGGATTTCTTCCCCGTGCTAGCGTCTGTGCGCTCTGATGGTCCAGGACTGACTCGAAATCCAGTGACTCGGAACAGGCCCATAATTGAGATTGTGAGACTGCCTGCTCTTCATCATGATTCGTTGACCGAAAGCCCAGCAGCCACTTGCTCCCTGGCTAATGAACCTTACCCAAAGCCCCATTGCTGTTTCCGGCTACCGATTGCTCTAGCCCACGGTAGCATGTTTCGATCGTTCAGAACTTGGGACGAAATGGCGTCAAGTAAGCAGCCCACAATTTGATGATCTGATCTGGGCTCGCTTCTCGACTCTTTAGTCCTTTAGCCACTTTCTCGCGTCGCTTGTGTTTTCTACTGACTTAAATCTCTGACAAGCCGCTGCTCTACAGCTTGGCGACTGTTCCATCTTGTGCTTGTCACCACTCCTTCATACAAGACATTTCTGGCCATGGCTACTTCAGATTATGCCTCCGAGTCCAGGGGTGCGGTCGCCATAGCTGTTATGGCGACCCTGTCGTCTATCTCTCTTATCGTGGTATCCCTGCGAGTGTACGCCCGGGCCATCATGCTGAGAAACTTTGGCGTCGATGACGCATGTGCGATCCTTGCTTGCGTGGGTGCCACATTCAACAGTGAGAAAATATCTTACTAATGATAGACAGTTGTTGACAATCGCTGATGCTACTATCATCGCAACAAGTAAAGGAACCCTATAGAATTAACCTTTCTTTGAGAGTTTACTAATGTACTACAGATGTTAGAAATGGCCTTGGCTCTCATATATCTACACTTTCCGGCGAACAGATTAGTAATTTCTTGAGGGTAGGTTTGACTTGTATTCAATCGACAATGGGTCTAAAGGAATCCAGATGTTTTACTTCTCAACCGTCGTCTACAACGTCGCCCTTGCAGTCATCAAGACAGTCTTTCTCCTCCAGTACTACCGAGCGATACCTGTACGCCAGTATAAGAAGACATATATCGCATCCGTCGTCCTCGTGACTTGCTGGAGTCTTTCCCAGATATTCCTCAATACTTTTATGTGCTGGCCTATCGCATCCTTTTGGGATGTCACGATCAAGGGCACCTGTATTCTCAACAAATCTTCGTTCTATGTTGGCGCGGCGGGCAATATTTTGACCGATATCTTGATCATGGTCCTCCCCATCCCCGTTCTTCGCAGTCTGAAGCTCGGTAGGCGACAAAAGTGGATTCTTATATCCGTCTTCTGCCTCGGCATATTGTGAGTTTCTTATATATATCCGATCTTATCCTGCACACCTAACACGACATAGTACGTGTCTTATCTCACTCGTTCGTATCAAGTTCCTCAACATTGGCACAGATATCACATGGCATAATGTCGAATCAGCATCTTGGTCAGTCAGCGAGTTGTGCTGTGGTATCATCTGCGCTTGCATTCCAACTCTCCGGCCTCTGTTATCAGGCCATGACCGCGGTTCTAGCCATAACCAATCCTCGTATGCAAGACATGAAAACTCGAGGACTAATGTCACGGCCCGCCAAACTGGTACTTCACGAAGCCATGAAATGCATGATCTGCCTAGGACGCTTCATTCATCTGAGAGTAAGGATCAGTTACGTCCCTTGGAGTCAACAATTGTAGTGCGTACCGATGTCGACCAAAAGAGAAGCCGGCCACAGCCAGGACATGGCCCAGGAACACACCGGGTGGTGATACAAGGCAAAGACGAACAAAGACATAGTTTGTCCAGTGACTCTGAAGAACCCTTTTCTATGCACCAGGTAGTTTAGGATAGTATAATAAAACAATTTCATGGTATATTAAGATTTACCTATAGGTTTTAACATCTTATTTGTAATGTAATATTGTTCCAGCCCGGCCGCTCGCTGGTTGCGCAAGGTCAGCCCTGTTAATCTGCCTTGGGCATGAAGGCTAATACTCAGCCTCCACCAAATGGCGTCTTAGGTTATTTCACAGCCCAACCCGACCATATTGCCAGCAGCATGCTAAAAACATAAATCTCATAGGCTATAAACCCAAACGGTCGCATCACAGCTTCCATCCTCAAGACACAGCTTTAAATATCAGAATAATGAGTCTTTACTATCCTCTTACTTCTGATGAGAAGCACTCCGAAATCAGAATTTGCATACTGCTACCAAAAAGCCATGGCACCATGATCAGCTGCAAGTTGGAAACTCTCAACCTTCTGGAAGACAAGACCGACTACGAAGCCCTTTCCTATGCTTGAGGTAGCTCTGAGAATAAGGCGACGATAAGAGTGAATGAAACCACGCTACAAGTCACACAAAACCTGGAAGACGCCCTAACATATCTGAGACATGACTCAAAGCCGCGTTCTCTTTGGATCGATGCCATCTGCGCCATCTGCATAAATCAATCCGATGTAGATGAGCGAAATTCCCAAGTTCGTTTGATGGGCTGCATCTACTCCTCTGCCTCATGTGTCGTTTCATGGCTTGGGCTAGAGGATGATCCCATCGACTATGTTGAACAAATGAGAAAGGCAAGGTCATTGACCGAATTGGTCAGGTCATGCTCAACGGAAAAATTATTCGCACTCTTGCTGGATAGCAAGGAGGACCTTGAAGAAGTATTTGAAGATGGTCTCTATTCCCTCCAACTTGTCATCGGCGAACGAAAGTACCGTCCTCCATATTGGAGAAGAGCTTGGATTATCCAAGAAGTCAGTCTGGGCCGAGTTTGGAGATTACAATCGGGTGCCCTTTGCATTTCAGAAGGGGATATCCAAGCTGTGATGGGAATACTTCAGGACCCCAGGATAAAGACTGTCATGAAGAAGAAGTTCCAAGCACGCAGACTTCGAGCACTGATAAGCCTTAATTCTTTCCTGTCTGTATCGGTCTATCGCAGCATTCTCTCTTCCTCCGAAACGCCACTTTCAGTGTTGGCCATAAGTTCTCCCAACTGGGAAACATCAGCTTTGCGAACTCCTAGGACTCAAGGTTCTTGGCCTTTACTTAGCCTGTTGAGACATAGCTGGTCGAGACTATGCGCAGATCCAAGGGATAAAGTGTCTTCTATCTTGGCGGTCTCTGACATGAAAGATGACCGTTCCGAACGACTCGAAATCGATTATATGAGACCGATCTCTAGAGTCTTCACAGACTCAGTCAAAGCCATTATTGAAACTAACTCTTCTCTCGATGTCCTTTCTTATGTCCGTGCGGAAGACAGAACTGGCTTGTCGGATCTACCATCATGGGTCCCAGACTGGGAGACGTACAAAACACCTGTCATAGCGGATCGACCAATCTCTTATGACCAACAACGAGCCATGGGTAATACAGTAGCTCGAGTTAGTTTTCAACAGTGTTCTGGAAAAGAAATACTACTTGCTTCGGGGATTTGCTTTGGTACAATAGTAGGGTTGAGAGACCCGCTGATCAATGTCGACGCCGAGCGGATGGGAGACAAAGCCCGAACTGCGAACCTCGAGTACCTAAGCCTATATCGGCAACTTCCGTCAGTTTTCAACCAACTATCAGCACTAGCACTGCCGAATAGACTCTCGGGTGCATCATTCCGCCGCACATGCTCTCTTGGTCTTCTTGGTCACGAACTCGATGATTCGTTCCGGGAACTTCTCGATGAACTACCGCTAGAGTCTCCGGACAATGAAGACGCCCCGGGTTCAGCTGTCGATGGCCTTATCAAAAGGTTCGACTACAGATATAGAACTATGGCCTCAGCATTAGTGAACCGTTCAATATTCTTAGTCAAGCCTACCAACATGGGCAAAATACGGCTTGGCTATGAGATCGGAATAGGCGAGGCCGCCGCGGTTCAAGACTCTGACCTTGTGTGCCTCGTCGAAGGCTGTGGCACGCCACTGATCCTGCGACCAATGGGTTCGCAACACGTGTTGGTTTGTGCTGCATATGTTGATTCCCTGATGACTGGATTGGGATTGTCCTACATGAAAGAGGGGTTGTTTGAGGCTCAGAGATTCCAACTTATCTAGGCTTTTCCCCAGCCCCGAGCCTAAATAAAGATACATTCCGTATCTCCATCTCCTCTTTGATCAAAACCTTTGTACATCATCTCAAGAACCAGCTTAAAAACTTCCCTCCTATACAGGATTAAATTTATCTACGTCCCGATGGTTAGTAAAAAAGTCAAGGTCACCATGATACACTACCATTGGTAGTCCATGATGAATGTGGAGGAAGAGAAGGTCATCATACCGCGGTCGGGATCAGCTGTGAGCAACGCATCTGAGAACATGGGTTGGGCAAATCAACAAACTGAAGAAGAAACAACTACCCAGGAAGAAGAAGAAGAAGATACTTCGGAGAGGCGACCAAGGAAGCCGAAAGGCAAATGATCTAATGTGACCGTTTGTCACGTATACACGAAGTGACTGTTCTGAGAATTTACCACTGGCTATTGAAAAAAGACTTGCAAAATTGAACGCGCCATGGAAGAATGTGACGATAAGTATAGGACCATTGTCTTTCCGAATTGCATTTCCAAATCATCAGAAGACTCCTCCTGATCCTCCATACCTTCAGAATCTTTTTCGGAGTGCGTCCTGGTTCCCTCCAGTGGAATCTGACGTGGGAAGTAGATACCCATTACTCGAGCCGCAACGTTATCACCGAGGTGAAATTCTTGGCCAAGGAGGGTTTGGGGCAGTCTACCGATATATCCAATACGCCAGCGGGCGGGCCTTCGCTGGAAAGGCTATCAAACCATCGAAAAATGATCCCAACGGACAGCACACCATGGAAAAGGTGAAAAAGGAATTCGCTTACATGTCAAGAGATTCTGTACGCTGCGTGTCTTATCTTGCAAGGCTCCTTCTGACAGTTTTCACAGCGGTTTATTGTCGAAGTGCTAGGTATAGTCAGGGATGGCTTTGGGTCTCCCGTGATACTTATGCCGATATATCCTCTCGGGAGCTTAGCTGGCTGTACCCTCACGGAGAAAGAGTCTGTTACCGCTTTCAGACAAATCCTCGTGGGACTCATGCAGCTCAAGGATTCTGACATATTGCATCGGGATATAAAACCAGGTAACATCTTAATTAGGAAGCGAACGTCTAAAACCTTCCAGATTGTTCTGGCAGACTTCGGTATTGCGGGTAAATACACAGAACAGTCAGACTACTTCTATGGGACCGCATACTACAAGGCACCCGAAATCTTCAACGAGTCAGCGGAAGTAGTGGATGATAGGTCTGATGTGTGGTCCACGGGAATTATTATGCTTGAAAAGATGTATGGTCTCGATAAAGGAAAGTTCCCTAAGCCGAAAAGCGACTCTGAAAGGGCAGAGTGGTATGCCCGCTGGCAGAAGGAAGTGAGGCGTAAGGTTGAAGGTATCGAGTGTGAGTCTGAGCTAGGAGGTTTGATGAAGATAATTCTCCAGAGCATCTTTGTTGACTGTGGTGAGAGAGTTGATGCTTGCCAATGTCATAGGGTTGGTTCTCGAATCAAGCTGTGGAGTAGGCATTCTATAAGACTTCGTGCGCGCTGGTGGAGGTCTTGGGTGAAGTGGGTGGATGGAGTACCAGAGATGCGGAAGCAAGAGAACCAGGGCGAAAGGGAAAGGAAAAGAAATTTATTGAACACGGGTGGAGGTGACCTACATACCTCACATTTAAAATAGTAGTATAGTAAGGCATATTTAGTTCTCCTCAATACTTGGGAATAATCTTACAGGTACATGGCTTTCCAAACTCACACGTTGGGACCTCCAGCCAAATTATTGTCGGTTCCGCTGTTGCAGTCGGTAGATCGATCGATATATAATTTTCCTGTCGTCTTCTAGGCATCGGGTTCGACATAGTTCTTAACACTCGTCCTCGGCCAGATGGTTCAGGCAGTCCGGGTGACAGTACGGCTGGTGGAGCATTCAATGGCGAAGCCTCCGTCCCAGTGCCTTGAGTAATTACCGTTCTTTATCTCGTCTCTGAGTTTTGTTCTTTACCGCTTGGGACTACTACCCCAGCGCCGGAGATGTTTTGAGACGTATCCGGCGAAGGCGGCCGGTCCTTGTTGTCTTTGATGGTCGCCTCCAAATGCTTCTGAGCAATTAAACAGGTTTCCTCTGCTGCTTTCGCGCTTCTCTTACTCGCATTTGCCGCCACCTCGCCCGCAATAGCGCTTCTATTGCTTGCTTTGGCCGTTTGTCGCGTCGCCAACGCCGTCACTCCATTCGTAACAGCCGCCACTGCTCCAAATATCCAAGCTGCTGTTGTATTTGAAACCTCAACGCCTGAATTGATTTTGGCCTGACCAGTCGCAGCTCCCGCGATGGCAGGTAAAGCGGGGGTCGAGGCGAAACCTGTGTCTGGCGAAGTGGTGGCGGACGGGTTTCGGGGTATAGACTCCTGTGACAAATCTGGATGATGTGGCCGTAGCTCAGCTCTTGATACCTTATGCCCGCTTCTTTTTTGGTTCTGTCTCGCGTCCCCGGGAGAAACTCCCATTTGATTTTGGTTGCTTCCTTCACCACGACCGTGATGCCTTGGCTGATATGTTTCCGGCATTGATTGAATCACATCAGCGCTGGTAGTTGCGCCACTTCCGTTCCAGTTATTCCCTCTCCAGATTTCTTGGCTTCAATCTTCACCGTTTCCCATCTCTTTGAGTCCTCCTGTAGTTTTTGTATCATACCCGAAGAAATACGTTAGAGGTTGGGAGAAAAACAAATGTGAATCAACAAAGAATGGTGGACTTTACCGAAGTTAACTTGCCCTGGGACTTGATGAAGTATCCTCGCCTAGAGCTTCCTGTTTGTATGGCCTACATAATTAGAGAGGCTACAGTCAATGACAAGTTTACGGAATAGTCGTCATAGATTCAGGGATATTCATACATCAACATACCTCGCAATAGCCAAGTCTCACAGAAGCACTGTCTCCCAAGTAATGGCATATATCTTTAGTAATGACCTCTCGGTCGATACCGCAGTCGGGCAGAAAATACCCACTTCCATCGTCCCTGTAGGAGCCTTTGCCATAGTCGTCAACACAGCTGTCCGGCGATGGTGACCTTTCCCCCCGAACGTCTTGAGTACCATTATAGCATGGTTCGTCATCATGAACTGATGTGTACTTCAACAGGGAGCTGATAGAGTGACTTATATCTGTAAAAATCAGAACCAGATCTTTTATCAGACGACCATCGTCGCCGCAGCCCCCGATATCGATGGAATTATCGGTACTAGAGAGCTGCTTCCAAGAATTTCTTTCTTTTTTTACAGTGTAGAGTGCGTATCTCAGGAACCCGATCAAGTCTCGAAGGTTATTTTCCCGACTGTGTGATATGTAACACAGAAGTGTTGTTGAGCTGCTTGCCGAAGAGCATTGATCAGGCTTGCCATGCCAGCCTCTGAAACGTGCTTCCTCGTTCCGCATTTGGTGCTCGAACAACAAGTTCAGCCCAACACGGCCTGATAGGGCGTCTATAACATCATCAAAAGCAACAAAGCATCTTTCGATATTGTCAACGACGCTGTCTGTCATTCTTACGGCCCACGTGGAAAGAGTCAATGGCAGATAAAGTCCTACTGGATAATGAATGAGGGCGGGGTCAGACGTATGCTGACGCGCAGATTTCAGCTGGCATTGCCTCGTTGGTGCCTGAAACGTACATATGCAAATATGCATGTAGGAGATAAATCTGATGACTAAAGCACAGAGTAAGTATGCCATACATAATGACCAAGGTCTGAGTTGCTATATCTCACACAGTCTCTATCTTGTTTCTCACGTTCTTACAGTGTTGCCGGCCAAGCTTATGCAAATAATAATATCTCTTAGTATTCTGTACTTCTGTATATCACCTCAGCATTCTCGTATCTTTCCGGTGCAAGAAAAATATTCTTTGGTATCAATCCATTGGCTAAAGCATCATCGATATTGCGTGCCTGTGAAAAGATCCCGCTGCGGGATATGGAGGCTTCCAGCAGTCTACTTTGCTATACGTGGATGTCTTTCCAACAAGAATAAAGAGGTTATCAAACCAGCAGCAGACATGGCTGTCATGAAGATATTCTGCAGATTATAACCCTCGGCAAATGCTTTTCTGACAGCTAGCTGTTGGGACCCGCCTAGATCATTTATCGCAGAGACGGAGTCAAGGATAGCCGCTACCTGCTCCGAAGAGACAAGACCGTTCAGCTTCGGTTTCAAGTGATTGTTCAGAAGCGTAGCGCTACGAACCTGTCAGCAATACTTTTGTAGCGACATGACGGGCCGAAATTACCAGATTGCAAGGGAGACTGTGCCACCGAGAACACGGATCTGCGTCAATGCACCCATCATCACAGCTTATTCCTGTTAGTAATCTTGACCATCATCGACAATAATTCACCTACGAAGATTTGCTTCGGAGACTACCACCCTAGCAAAGGTCAAGACGGTAGCCAGGCCCATACCGAACCCAACCCCCATCAACACCTCATAGCCGTACTCAGCATCTGGCATGTCAGTTGTATCTGTGGACAGTGAGCATGTCAAGCCAACGCCTAAAACTTGTAGCACCGCTGCGATAATTATTAGATAGGCGGGCGGTACCTTGGCGTTCCCGGTCAAGTAGCCCGAAAGGACAGTTGCCGCAGGAGAAGTCAGCATCATGGGTAGTAGTATGATGCCAGCGCGAGATGGTGACATTCCATACACAGCTTGCGCTCTTTGCGGAATGTTGACTACCATTGAGACGAAAGGGAAGCCAATGAAACAGGTAGTTCTGTGCTATCAGTCAATGCTTGCGTAGAGGTGAAAGGTGGATGGCTTACAGTAGCATGGCGCTTGAGATCCTATCCTTGCAGATACTCGGTGGGAAAACGGGCTCTTGCTTGCTTGGCGACTTTTCAACATAGACTTCCCAAAACCCAAAGGCGATGAAGAGTGCAACTGCCAGCACCAGTGTGGCTATGAAAATCGCATTGCTCCATGAGTATCGAGTACCTCCCTCCTCAAGTGCGAAAACAAGGAGAACAGAGGCTGCAAGGAGAAGAATTATTCCAAGCACGTCGATACAGACCCAGTTCGATCGTCGGAACTTTGCCCGCAACACTTTTAGTAGTGAGAGGTTGGATGACTCTTCGGAAGCTGGCAGGAAGAAGCAAACCATGACAAAGGCGATGGCTCCTCCAGGAAGACTATGATCTTGTGTCAGCATGTCACGACGGAGCATAAAGGCAGGGTCGTACTTGAGAAGAAAGACCCAGCGCCAGGTTGAGTGCTGACTGATAACACCACCAAGAATAGGGCCCAGAACGCTTGCGGTGATGAAAACTGTCGACATGACGCCCATGTACTTTGCGTATTTGCTGATCGGAACCAAGCTCGGAGCGATTGCGAGAATCATGGCGTAGATGCCTGACGCGCCGATGCCTTGGAAGGCTCGAAGGATGATACTGAGAGGATCTTAGTAAGGCATCATCAGACTAGATGTGAATATTGCCTACAGGGCAACGACATTGTTTGCAGCACCACAAAGACCAGAAAACAAGGTGAAAATGAATAGAGCAAGCAAAAGCATCGTCTTCTTCCCGAAAACATCGCTAAGCTTGGCATAAATAGCCAAAAAGCCTGCAGCCCTTGGTAAAATGTTTGCCATGAGAAAGACGTAACGTGCGCACCGGTGTATGTCAGCAAATAGGATGTGACGATCCAATCGCGAAGGATGAAGCCGTTGAGGGCGTTGGTGATGGAGACCAACGATGTACTGACGATGGTTGTCTCGAGCGTTGATAAGAAGAGGCTGATCCAGAGCCTAGTACGATAAGCTTCAAGTCACTGGAGTATCAGTTCTCCTAATTGACTCACGCTGCGCTCAAAGAATGAAGTTTCCATCCTGTAAGATATTTCTTATCATCGTTGTTTTCCGTCGAATCTGCTTCCGGGGAGGAGGCTGCCGCATTGTGGAGAATTGGCGTCGATCCTTTGTTCTGCAGCGATGTTTCAGTGGGCTTAGAGGATGCAGGGGGCTCTGTATCCATTTCGTGGCCCGGATCTTGACTGCGACTTGTACGACGCTGCATTGTCAAAAAGACACGGTCTGGCAGTGCTGAGGCCAGAGTGTCCAACAGAATATCATCGTCTAACCCCTGCAGTTTACGATCCTGAAACAATCTGCATCCTCCCGCCATTAAAATTAGAATCAAAGATCCATTCTCACTATAAATCACTTGGAATCTATCCCCATGTAAGCTTGTCCAAGGCAGAACGATCGGGACGCCGCGTTCGGATAAATCTTACCCGACTCATTTCCGTGGCTCAACTCAACTGAGGTCCTAGCAACGATCATGATCTGGCAGAACAATCTTCTGTAGATACTCTGCTGTTAAGCTCTGCAAACATGTCACAAGCACCTGAACCCCTACAGGACCTTTTCTTCAAGTCGTATAATGACACCTTTGCGACAACAATCGTCCTGCTCCATGGCCTCTTCAGCTGCAACCTCGAATGGGAGCACGTTATTCCCCACCTCAGCGATTACCACCTTATCGTCCCAGATCTCCCAAGACACTCCCGGTCAAGAGACATAGGGCCATGGTCAATTGAGCTCGCTGCAGACTCTGTCGCGCATCTCATCCGTAAGCATGCTCACGGTGGACAAGCGCACGTTGTTGGCCTCTCACTAGGCGGCTTCACCACGATGGAATTAATCCGCCGGCACCCAGACCTCGTTAAATCGGCATTTGTCACTGGCTCAACCCCATTCCGACCATGGCAAGTCTGGGCAGCAGAAAGACCCAGCCTCCTACACTATGGTCTAAAACTCGTTCTTAACAGTGGTTTCTACGCTCTCAGCGTCTGGATGAAGGGCCTCAAGGATCATACACAGCTAAAGAAGGAAATCGCTGTCAACAATGATTGGAACTTGGTCAATGACGCTTACGCCGGGCTTGCCAAGTGGCAGCATCAAGACGTCAAGGGAGTTGCTGAGAAGGACAAGCGCATATTGGCAGCTGCTGGAGATCAAGGTGATGATTTCGATGGTGCCAAGGAAATGGCTCTGGCGTTTTGCAAGGAAGGGTGCGAGGATGGAAAGAAGAGTACCGCGGTTCTGATCAAGGGGGCTATTCATGCCTGGAATCTGCAGTTTCCAGAATTGTTTGCCCAAGGTATCAAAGCTTGGGTTGAGGAGAAACCTCTCCCTGAAGATTTTGTGAACTTGATTTAGAAGTCATAACTCCAAAATACCCATACTCTTGTCGTGCATTACCCGAGAAACGCAAACACTACCATGTTGTACTATTGAAGAAGCCAAAGAACGGAAGAACTGGCGTCTGCGTATCCATACTGTCCATGGCTGGGATATTTCCAGCCATGGACAAGTCCCCAGTCATAGTAGGGCTTTGAAAGATATCCGTTGAGGCACTCCCGTTTGTGCCCATCTGCATCTGATCCATACCTTCTAGGCCACAACCATTCGTGGCCTGGAAGGGCATCTCTCTAGGGCTCATCCATGACAATCCAGCCTGTGAAACAGCAATCCGAAGCTTCTGCACGCACTCAGGTACCTCAAAGGGAGTTCCAAGCTGCTCCAGCGCCCTTTGTCGAGGTTCCCAAGCTTTGAGCAACAATCTCGCGAGTTGAAAATTCTTATGCTGAGATAGATTCCAAAGCTCTTCATAATGACGGTAAAACCTATCGAAAAGGCTCCATGTCCGTTCTGTAAAAGATCCAACTGGTGAACGATGGACCAGTTGACCCGCGAGGAAAATGAGCGAATCGAAGTGAAAGTGCGACTTGGATGAGTACGCAAAAGGGCCGTTTGCTATAAGATCATGAAGCGCCTGTTCATTCTCATTGTGCGCAAGCCAGATGCGAAAAAAGTTGTCATGCGAATTTTTCACTTCAGTTCCCCATTCTGGTGTTTCTTCCATCGGTGTCGCCATCGTTCTGACTTCCCTCAGAATATGAGGTCTAAACGCCAGTGCGAAGACATGAAGTGGACCTCCTGATGGATCACAGTACTTTTCCTCAGCCTCACTCATCGTTTTGTCGAATTCATCAGCAAGGTGTGTCAGCTTATCCAAAGACTCGTGATACGTATCATATTCGGGCGTTCCGGGCTCCACGTCTTGTCCTCCTAGTAGAAGGTGTTCGAAATCGGACATCTGATGATCTTTGACGAAGCGAACAATCTCATAGAGAAGGAGAGCAAAGGCCATTTCTGTGGCACCCTGTTTGTTCTGGATCACTTTAGATTCTGGTGAGAATTCCGCGTCGTTGATGTTGTGAGGAAGCTTGGTGTCGCAACCCAGAGGTAGAAGCGTTGGGTTCATTCCAGATGTTGCGGCGTACATGCAGTCCAGTATGATGATTCGCCACCATACCCGACGACGCATCTCTGTGTCGAATGGAGTCAGGCCGAATGCTTCTCCATCGCGGTGGACGCCCATCTTGTGAGCTATGCGAATAACGACACCGCTGAGAACCCATACCGCGTCATGGTTGCTGCGGCCTTGCAAGGCGATCTGCGAAAGGATTAGCTCCGTAGTACATCTTTGTCGGGTATGTGATCTTACCAGGTATAAAACCAGAGCTTGGAGAACGACCATATCATAATTCCTCAGAAAATTGACCTTGTTCAGGGCCATCTTCAAGCCTTGGGTGAAGATTTGCAATGCTTCGTCCTTGTGCAAGCCCAACATCGTCATTGCTTCCTCTCCCGTCAAAGTGACGGCAGAAACAAGATAGATAGCATATAGGAGTGCCCGGTTCTTGTGCGATATATCGGAGTGGTTTGTCATTGCACCGATTACCAGATGTTCTGTAGTCGGAGTATGAATCATTTTGGTTACAGGATTGACTCTCTCCAGAAACACCTGCCATAAGCGAAGAATCTGGAAAGGCAGCGGGGCTTGATCATTGATACTCAGAGCGGAAGTCCTGGCTAGAAGAAGGTCATCGTCTTCGTGGGGAGCGGGTGAATCGGTGGGATGGCAGTTCTCCTCGTCTGACGTGTCCTCATCAAGAATATGACGCATTTCTGAGATCTGTGAGCTGAATGTCAGCAGAGGCCTGGAGATTCAAATATTAGAAGGGGTTCCAGACATTCTCGTGTATTCTGCCCCAGATGTAGCTGTCCAGGAATTTGTACCCGCCATTCCGAACTACCAACTTGCCAGGACCAGTTGGTGTCTGAGCGCCGTGTCCATTAGATTGAGCCGGTGAAGACCTGGCAGAGATTTCCATCGGATCATGAGGCGTCAATCCATTTGCGTCTGAACTCTGCTTGGGTGAGTCTTGGGAGGTGTACTGCTCCAGCAGAGCCTCGAGGTTCTTAATTCTCTCTTGTAGTAGCGCATTTGGCGCTCTTCTCTTGCGGGCTGGAGCAGGCGTTGATGGTACGCATGGTACATTGGCCTGGGCGTGTTAGTTTCAACATCGTCTCCCGAAGCTCTAGAACTTACCTTGATGCAGTTATTACAGGGAAACACGCGATTGCATTTCACCTTGCGATGCTGACAGTGGTTGCACGCTAAGACCCGAGGCGTTTTGGGCGCTGGCGCGGAGGCATCGGAATGATAGGGCGAGTCTTGAAGCTGCTGGAAATCCGATCCACCATTCATGATTATCGACTATTATTCTTCAGTCCCTAGGTAGTCTTGCGAGTGGGTTATATCAGAGTTGTGTGTTGAAGCATTGCAAGAGTTGGAAATCTCCAGGTGTCGGTATTTCCGTGACGTGATAAACTCGGTATCTCGGGCTCTTATACGACCCCGGTCACGGCGTTATGAGGGTTCAATACACCAGCCAATCAGCTTCACCTCGGCAATTTCCACATGGTTTTGACAGGTACCGAATAATTATGCGAACGGCTTATTCGGAATCATATTCATTACGTCGATGCGATAGTTTCGCGTCTTTGATGTTCTGCAGGGAAGCAAAGAGTTGATGGGCGACAGATTCACCTCACGTAATGCACTAATGCACCCTTCCGCCCTTATTCCCTTAGACTCGCCGACGATTGCCAGATTAAGGCAACACTCCAAATGCTGTGCCGCCAAATGCTCTCACAAATGTCAATTTTCAGGTTACGGACTTCTCACCGTCATCGCCATGATGTCACGTATGTGCAGCTATAAGAGAGTCGTAGCTTCGCTCTCGTCTCAGACCTTTAGCTTTTCTGCGAACACTATTTCCATTTTAAGATAAATTCAGCATCAACTCGTTCACCATGTCTGCTCCATTCGGCCTCGCTGTCGTGGGGACGAACTGGATCACCAACTCTTTCGTGCAATCATGCCATGAGAGCAAACTATTTACCCTCACGGCTGTGTACTCGAGGAAGCTCGATACAGCGAATAGTTTCATCTCCGAAACGCCCTCAATCAAAGATGCTTCTAAAGTGGAGGCTTATGATGACTTGGACACCATGCTGTCCAAGGGATCCAATATTGATGTTGTGTACATCGCATCACCCAACTCGTTGCACTATGAACAGGGCATCAAGGCTCTCAATGCTGGCAAACATGTCATCATGGAAAAGCCCTTCGCCTCCAACATGAAAGAACTCGAGGCTCTTTATGAGCTCGCCGACTCCAAGGGTCTCTTCATTCTCGAAGCCTATCGTCATATTCAAGAGCCCAACTTCAAGACACTTCAACGGCTACTTGATGATGAGAAGACTAGATCAGAGAAGTTTGGGAAGATTTATGGCGCAAATCTCTCGATGGCAGTGTATTCCCCGTTATTTGGAGACATCACAGAAGGCAATGTTCCAAATGTTGCATCTCCCAAGTTCAGTGGAGGCTGTCTATGGGATATGGGTTGTTATCCTGTCACATTCGCTGTGCGGCTCTTTGGCAAACCCTCATCTCAGACATACTTTCCAGTCGTTCTTGAGACACGTGTTGATGGTGGTGGTCTTATCGTGTTCCACTACACGCCAGAGTCTTCAAAGCACCAGCAGAGCTTTACACTATCGGCCCGCACGAGCAAGCTTTATGACTCCCATGCTCCAACCGAGATCTACTGTGAGAAGGGAACCATCAAGATATTTGGCAGTCAGGCTTCGAACGTCACAGATATCTGCACTATGAAGTTCTTTCCAAGAGGATCACAGGAGTCTAAGGAGCTGGGAGATATCAGTCCTGAGTATACAGATATGTTGAACCTGACGTGGGAGGCAAAGGAGCTTGGACGTATCATTAAGGAGAGTGACCGGGAAGCTGAAGCTGACTTGAGAGAACTTAGTCGAAGCGTTCTCACAGTGATGGAGGATATGAGGAAGAAGAACGGTATTGTGTTTGGTAGTGATTCATGATGGTATGTCATCCTTGAGACCTAGCTAGAGGGCTGGAAGATAGATATGTGGCTACTTATAAGAAAATCACGAGTTGCTCTTTTCGCTCCGATCTCCCAGGTTACTATCAATCTGCCTTTTCCGGAGCTGCCCAATTTTGCACCATATTCGGAATTTCGTCGCCGAGCGTCATATCGCCATCAACAAATGAGATACTAAAGACATCAACCCCTTCCGCAAACCCACCGAAACCGCTAAAGTCAAACATATCCGTCGATAGACCCCAGTCGGCTTCCACTGAGGTTTGGCCTGCCAGCGTCGGACTACCAGGTCTCGTTGGAGTTGACAAGGATGTGTAGTCGACACTTTGCCATAGAGCTTTGACGTCTCCAGGAGTTCGCTCGACGTTTGAGGGTGAGAGCTCTTGTCCGCGACTCTCGCACTGACTATGAAATCTCTCTAGTCGTTTTACCTATGAGAGTTAGGGTCAGATATCTTTATCGAAGAACTGATATCATGGGCTCACCATTAGAGCAGCATGGTTCCAGTAGCAAGACAAGTCCTGTAACAATTGCATGGCAGCAAGGTAATGTTTCTGGCTCTCCTTTCGGATATGATCTCTGTCATCGTTCAAAGATAAAGCATGAATCGTACCAGCAACCATGATACAGTATCCGTAGATAGAGGTTAGTATAGGCACATTCTGGTTCTTCATATCCAGTAGATCCGTGATGCTCTTCGCATGAGTCCTGCATTTTTCCCAGGCTGTCTTCATGAACACGGATGGGGCCTTTTGTTTACCGGACTGTAGGCGTTGTTGAATAAGAAATGGGTGATGAAGTAGACAGTGAGATAGGTGGAACATAGCCTTGGCGAAGATGAAGGAGCCAGCGAGTAGTTGATCAACGACACCATCGACGGTGCATCTTTGTTTCAAGCTTTCCAAGGGGTCCTCGTTCATCCCAAAATAGTGTTCTGCTTGGAGTAATGCCGAAGATAACGTAGCGTAAGGGGCTGTTGAAGACCAAGGAAGTCCCAGCTGAGATGTTTGGGTATCATGCAAAACGTAATGCGAGACACGGCCAAGTATGGATGCCATCACATTGATCAGACCAAGTGGGCAGCAACCGTCGATAGCTTCTTGTTCCACACAGTCACCCGTCAGTTCGTCGAGAAATGGCGTCTTCTCCTCACGGCCCTCCTTGAATGCATCCTCAGAGCACGGCAAAGACACCTTGCATTCTTCGTCCCGGATGGCGGAGAAACGTCCACGAGAAAGGCTGATGAGTTTATCTTGGAGATACAGCGACCAGAATGTTCTTTTTCTTTCCTCACGCTCAGCTGCCGGTAGTGATGGATCGGGTTCTAGGTGAAACTTGTTATTCTGTGCAAGACGGATAGCAAAGCCCTGCTTCATATGGGCTTGGCTACAGAGACCGGCTGGGCAATTCGACCTGTTAATAACTATTCCAAAGTCCAAAATATATGGTTGCAAGATGAATTGACTCACCCGGAACCTCAGTGCTTACTATCAATATGATGGTTTGGATGACTGTCAAAATCTTTTCTGCGGGTGCATTACCAGTCCAAGGAAGTTCTATGGTTTCCCAAGCCTTGGCAGCGTAGCTAGATGCATCGTCGGAACAGTTGACTTGAGTGACTGGTAGAGATGAGTATCGTCTTGCAGCCGACAAGAATCCCCAGAGTAGATAGGTTGGCAGCGTGTCATCTGCTAATCGTTGCCGAAAGGTTGGTTCGTGAAAGAGGGAGTAAGGTTGGCTGTGACAGTAGCGGAAGTAGACATCAGCAGCAAATAGAAGGGAGCTTGGTTGAGGGCGTTCACTGGCGTGAGATTGTATGGTTGAGGGGGTCTGAAGGAGTACGGGGGCCGGGGTAGTGGCTTGGTAGTGAGTACGTTTGTTTGGTGGTTGTGGACTTGTGACCAGCGGCAGCAGTCTATGTCTCGATCAGAATGGGATCACCAATGAGTATAAGAGGTTGATGGCGCTGACCTTTCAACTGTAGCTTGCAGCGTTGATATCTGATCTTCTAAAGAAGCAAACCTCGACGTGATGTTATCCTACCCAAGGTCAGCATCACCAACCCAACAACAGTGGACCACATACCATGATAGCCTCAGGCACATCCCCCAAAGCAGGCTGAACAGCCAAATTCGTCCTTCTAAGACTCCTCCCATCCTCCGCATAAACGCAAGGTTGACCAAGCCGATTACAAAACTGACATATCGGTTTCTCACCCGTGCAGCGAACCTTCTTCTTCCTGCAGTTGAGGCAGGCTTGGCGGATTCTCTTGCGACGGCTCTCAGGCCCGTCTGAATCGTCGTGGGAGTCTGACATTATGGGCTGGAGGGTTTTCTGATTCGATAAGGGAGATGCAGGATGGGTTAAGGGACGGCCTTGAGGGCGGTTTGCGGGGATGCGGGCGGCGCGGCTATACACGGTTGTGTAATGCCGTGTTGCGGTCCGATACCCGCCACTTCTTGCAGATCAGCCAAACTTTGAGTTTCTTTATAGATGAGAGAACGCAGTAAGTGTCATATATGTGAGATAATAGTGTTTTGGCCTTTTCAAGTCTTCAGAAACTGTTCATCGTCACCATGTCAGCTATCCCAGCATCAACAGAAGTGCAACAGTATTCCCAACACACAAATGGACGCCGGAAACGCAGAGCTCGCAGAGCTTGCCTGACATGCAGATCTCGAAAGGTCCGATGCGATGTTATGCAAAAGTCACCTTGCAGTAATTGCCAATGGAACTCGTGCGAGTGTGTAGTAATAAGACCTCGTCGATCACCGTGAGTCAACTTCCAGAGTCTACCGACCGTTTGACTGACAAACATAGTTGCAAGAAGAACAAAGCAGATAATAAATCTTCCAAACAAACCAAAACGAAACAAGTCCCCGTTGAGGCCACGCGCGATAGTTTAAGCTATCCATACTCTCCAACGTCGTCAGATATCGAGGTCAAGGATGAGGAGTCCAGAGGTGAGTCAATATATCATGAGCCGCTGTTCCTTAGCATGATTATTGGTCTAACAGCTTAAACAAGTCCTTGAACCATCATATCCTGCTATAGATGTTATTTATTCACCTTTAACTCCTGTGTCACAACTTGAAGATGAATATTGTTTCGGTCCGCGATACGCTAGCAACCATACGGATCAGACTTCCAGCATTGCCAGGGATTACTCAAGCGCAGCTTCTTTGCCATCTCCCGCTTCTTCTGAGATATCGAAGAAACAAGATTCAGATCCTATTATCTGGTATGCTGGCGATGGAATGGGCGATGATCTAATAAGCAGTCTGTTGGCACTTCCATTTGACAATTTGAGACACATTTGATGGCCTTCTCATCGAGAACCTCAAAAAGCACGGACCGAAGCCCGAGACGGGACCGACACTAATCATCACGTCCGACCAAAGAATCCTTTATTACATGAGGTCGCCACGATGAATGAATAATATTGCTCGGACTCTGATCTCGTCCTGAAACATTCTGTCGATTGCCATAGTTACAGGTCAGACAGCGTCAGCCATGCTGAGGTCTAATCGCGGCTAATGACCCCCGGGCCCACCAAGATTTTTACCCCAAATTTTGGCAAACATTCAGTGCCAATTGCCAAGCTAATCAGTAACGACGGGGATCTACAAGCAATGCGACTGGGGAATGCAAACAAACAATCGAGGCTTCTACAGAGACTGTCTTCGCTCGGCTACACATTGATGCAATAAGGCGCGACGAAAGGCACACCAATAAAACAGCGCGTCAATGACAGTTGCGCGCCCGTGGAGTCAAGGGAGTCGGGCAGTTACAGAAAGGCTACAGTAGCCACAACGCTTGTATTGAGTGTTTTTATAGTAAAACTAGAGACCAGTACACCAGGCCGAATGAATAGAAAAGCCAAGACGCCGTCACCCACGGGTATTGTCCGTTATTATCCCCCCATCACGCATGAAGCTTTTACAGCATCATGACACCAGCAAGACCAGCGACAGCGAGGACGGCAACAGCCTTGATGGAGTTGACGCCAGCAGCGTTACCCTTGTCGGCGGTGGAGCTAGAAGCAGCAGCGTCGCTGGACTGAGAAGCATCGCCGCTGGAAGAAGAAGAGCCGGTCTCCTTGGCCCAAGTGACCTTGTCGCAAATGGTCGCAGACTCCTTGAGGGAAGCAATGCGAGAGCTGACCTCAGGGACGTCGCTGCAGGCATCGAGGAGAGAGGAGATGCCATCCTTCTGGTCGATGTACCAAGAGCTGAGCTTGGAAGCGTAGGAAGTGTACTCCTTGGCCATGGAGCCAGTGACGGCGGGGATGACACAAGCATCGGTCATGGTCATGGCGTCGGTCTGCTTGGCAAGGAAGCTCGCGAGCGAAGAGTCAGGAGTGGGGATGGCGGTGAGGTCGGGGAGGATGCTGGAGGCGACGGAGGCGCACTCCTTAGCATCGCGCTTCTCGAGGCGCTCGAGAGCAGGGTGCGAGGCAGCGACGACGGTCGCGCCGACAGTGAGGATGATGGCAGAGCGCATTGTGATTGGAGGGTATGGGTATTATTAAAGAATAAAGTGTTGGTGTTGGTTGTCGAAGCGGAGAAAGAAGAATGAGTGAATGGCTATTAACGAGAGTTGACTCAGAACAGATGGGATGGATGCGAGAACCAACAGAAGGATTCCAAGAGCTTTGTATTTAAGATTGTCTCAAGGCGAGGAGTCACGATTGTGGCGGTATTCATTAGGCAGGGTTAAGGGGCTTCCTACTGTAGTTAATGTTCGGGCTATGTCTTATTTCCCGGCCCCCCCACCTCGTAAAAAGGCTGAATGCCCTCACGAAACACCAAACATTTAGTGCCACGATGGGTCTGACCTCCATCTCGGTACCTCGTGTTCAGCCGCACGACTAGGTGCATCAGTGACCCATTGTGTTCCGCACGAAAACGGGAGGCGTTATGCCCGACTGTACTCCGTACCGTCTCTGCATCTCCCATCGGCATCAGATCGAGGACATCCAGGCTTACCATAACGCATAACAAAGCATCAGGGTGCCACAAACCCCCCTGCATGTTAAGTCTTCAGCTCATCAAACAACTGTACCTTGCGTGCGTTAGGCAGTTTCACCCATGGCCCTTAAGGCTTACAGCCCCTTTAGCGCGCGCCAGATCATCCGGCCATCTCCTAACTGAGAATGCTTCGCGAGTTATCACCGGCAGCGACTTGCCGTTGCGCCTCTCACATGTGGAGCAACTCATTTAATCCGCCTTATGCTTATGCTACTGCAGCTTTTGGACATTCGTGTCACATGCCGAATTCAATTGGTCGTGAGTGATTGGAGGAACAAGTTTCGATGATTATCTGTGCGGACCTGGTCGTTTTCCTATATTAGATAAGCTTAGTTCTTAGTGACTGGGTCTGCCCCAGAATCCAGCGTTAGAATCACAACAAACTCAGCCTTGGCAGTCTAACTTTCAACTTGTCTTCACGGCGACTTCCGAAAATCGGTTTCTCTTTCGTAACCCGACAAACCTAAAATGAAGAAATGCCGTGATTTTGAGCGACCCTTCGGCGAACAAGATGGTTAGTCATACTAACAACTACTGGCGAGCTGTGGAGCTTCAGGGTAGGTAAGACAATTGACCTGACACACAGCAGAATATCTCGACTACTCGTATTCTGGCCTAATTGACAGACGACTTGTAGAAATTACGAGTCCATTAATTGCTACCGAGTCGGGTTGTGTTTCTTTTGTTGACTGCATCGAAAGTCCATGGGAAATGATGCCCCCTCAACTCTATTCTAATCAATAAGGTGAATCTTAGACCAGCTCTCAATACCAAACTCCACCCTAATGCTTGTGAAATGAGCAATTCGTGTTCCACCAATGCGTAAAGACCAATGCAAATACATACTACAATCATTTTTGTACGAGATATCGAGGCTTCCTGTGTAACCCTCCAGTTTTTTCTGTATTTTGGCTGAATAAGCATGTCAGCCCTATGCGGGGTTTTTTGTGCTTCAACAGCTCATCCTTGCATCAGATCTCAAGCATAAACGATCATGATACCTAGATACTGAGTGACGAAAAACCCGGATCCGCGTTTGAATGCCGAGAAGATGGCGCCAATCCACCCGGAGTCGGGGGCGGGTAAGTCCGAGGCAGAGTTGGCTGCAGGCTTGTTGCTGACGATTACCAGGGCAGTTCTATGATATGTCGCCCCCGAAAAGATTAGGTAATTCCAAACCTTGGTCTAGTCTTCCCTTGATGTAGACTAACACGATCGATATAGGACGAGGGAGGCATGCCATTGTCTTCGAATGTCGTGATCCAAGCGGTCGCATCTATGCTATGAAGCTATTCAAGCAAGACAGCAGAGACAGGATCCGTCGCGAACTCGAGATATTCCAATATCTCCAAAATGGCCCGAATATCATCAAGTTCATAGACGCCGTCCAAGGTGAGGAGGTTCGCATTCCCCGAAACCCGAGTCCTGGGCCAGGATTGACATTGTGAGGCACAGGGGTCCAACATCGGCATCATCCTCGAATACGTCGATAACACAGATTATCGAACGCTGTATCCTCGGTTTAATGACCTGGACATCCGATATTACACCCGTGAGCTTCTGAGAGCTTTGGACTTTGCTCATAGCCAAGGTGTTATGCATCGTGATATTAGACCCCAAAATGTGGTGATCGACCATGAGAACAGAAAGGTGCGACGCATAATGACCAAATCTGGCTCGCATTGACGTATCATAGCTCCGCCTAATAGGCTGGAGCTCAGCAGACTTCTACCGACCCGACGAAGATTTGGACACCTGTGTAGGCCTCTGGAAGCCACCAGAGCTGCTTCTCTACCATGAACGATACGACTTTAGCATAGACATGTGGTGCTTCGGGGCTATGCTCGCAGCCATGATCTTCAGAAAGGAACCGTTCTTCCACGGGGCTTCGCGAATTGACCAACTGAGGCAGATTGCTGAAGTCCTTGGCACTGACAAACTTTACCGGTTTGTAAATGAATATGACCTTGAGTTGGACGACGAGGAAATTGAAGCTCTGGGCCAACATCATGAGCAAGCCTGGACCGATTTTATCAACTCGAATAATGAGAGGCTTGTATCTGACGAGGCTCTGAGCCTTATTGACCAAGTTCTACGATTTGACCCGAAGGCGAGTGTTATCCTGCGAGTGATAGATGGTAGTGTATACTAATATGTGTATCTAGGAACGACTCACGGCTGCTGAGGCTCTTAGGCACCCATATTATGAGATGTTGCTTTCAGAATCACGAGCAGGTCAAATGAGTAGGTGGACTTGAAGCAGGCCAGAAGAATTGGAACCATCTCTTGCATAAGATATCCTCGTTATTGAGCATGCCGCATGGGCTGGCCGAAGTTGCTGGATCTGTTTAACATTGCAGGCCCAAGTTATGAATTATCCACCGAGCATGAACTCATGTAGAGAAATTGTACTTATTCCCGAGCTCTTGGGGGGATCAGGGCCCCATCTCGCTTAATGCCCCCGTTTTACAAAAATCCACTCACGAACAAAAACTGCCAAAAAAGCGTGCGTCATCCGGAATTCGAATCCGAGCCTCAACTTTTCTCAATGGAAGAGTTGAATCCTAACCCCTAGACCAATGACGCTTGGAGTTGTGCTTTGATGAATACAGCGGGTTGCTAACGTGCACCATCATGAGAACCTCAGTGGACTAACACAGGAGCTTGGTAGTAATCTGGTAATGGTGCAATATGGCCCGTAATGCATAGATTAAGAGTCTTATACCATCTGTCAGGACTCATTTCCGAGTCTTTTGGGTAGCAACCCCCAGGCTTACTGGGAGACACTTATTTGCCAATGAAACTGTATCAAGAGTTCTGATCTAACTGATCCTCGGCCCGAACTTAGCGACATCTCGGAAATTGCATAAGTTGCGGATTTTACAAAACACGACGCCTTTTGTTTAATTATCGTGTCTTAAAGATATGATCACTATTGTTGAGGGAAAGGCACGTCAAGAAGGATCAGCGGCTTGAGTCTCGATGGCATGGCTATTAGCCGTCAGGCCGGCTGTTTGAAGATCTGTTGCATCTTCAAAACAAGGTCCAAGTGGAAAAGTCATTTCGTTCACCTAAATATTCGAAGAAACATCAGGCTAGTCTACGGTACCAGATGTTAGACCTGCCATACGACACAGAGCCTCAAAATCGTCCAGTCACCACGTGCTCCAATGATAAAGGGATTGTGCCAATACAGGTACCCCAGGTCGGTCTCGGCGCCAAGGGAAGGGCCAGAACGATATAGTCTACTATTGGGAAAGATACGGATTATCCGCTGGCAAGGCTCTGATACATGAATGTTGATGCAATAAGTTTGGAAGATTAACGAGCGTATTGTTTTCATAGCCGGCGTGTTAATATACTACCCGGTTCTACAAGCGGCGATAACGTACACGAAGTAAAAGATGTTTGAAGCCTTGGCTTTGCGCAATATTAATTGGTAAGGCATTATGTTATAATGTCCAAGTTACGAGCTGGATGTGTTATTTGTAGTTGGTACTTGTGGCTAAGAGCATAAATCGGCACAGAGAACTTAAATATTTAAATGCCGTAACTTTCATGAATAATTGATTGATGCCTAAAGCTTATGACGCCTCAACGAGACATATCAAGCCAACACACTGAAAAATCTCATTTAACCTTAGCTTTTGGAAGGTAATATGCGCATAGCCTCGCCGTTTTTTTTTAAACGCACTTGAACTGTGTTCATGAAATTTGCTGTTTAGGCTATGAGGCTTGAAAGCAGATTCTTACATCGTGCGCCTTGCTCGATTTGTAAAACGTGTTTTATGAATGCTCACTCGTTCTCCCCATCAACCCAATCGGGGTCGATATCGATATCGTCACCATCCAGGCTTTTCTTTCCACTCTTGACCAGTTCAGCCCACATAGTCGCCTGTAGCTTTTTGACAAACACGTCTTCTCCTTGGACACTATAATCGACATCTTGGCCGCAGTGGATCATAGCCATGAATCCCTTCTTAGCAAGTTGCGCAAGTGAAGTATCAGGATGATGGCTAAGCTTCTGGAAGCGACGCCTCCAAAACAACCACCGTGCCATGCCAGATCCAGCCTCATCAGCAGGCCCAAGATTCAGTGACAAGTGTTCCAACTGCTGTTCGTCTACTTTGAGAGCGCAATGTCTGAGGAGCGCGTGAGAACAAAGCTCCATCAATATAACTGCCCCAGGCAGAAACTTGGCAATGTTGTCATCGCTGGTCTCAAGGGCCTCGCGCATATACCATAGTCAAGTCGAAGAAATCTGTTCTTCGCATATGCCAGCAGCTAAGGCCTTGGCAGAAAAGGTTGCAAGACTTCGCAGCTCAGCCTCTGAACCTTCTTTTACCAGCTCTTCCCAGAATGTCTGTAAACTCTTCGCAAAACCATAAGATTCCCAGTCTCTTGCGATATTCTGCCCAGCGTAGAGTTCTTTGTGTACAAGATCAAACTGTCTTGTCCACAACAAAAGAAGGACAAGGTGATCTTGGAACAAGCTGTCACTGTCTATAGCGGTGCTGGCTTTGATGAACATATACCACAAGACGTCTAGATTCTTCTGTACCGTGGAGAAGTCCGCAACAGGTCTTTTGAGTGGCTCTTTGATGGGGCGGAAAGCAAAACTCTTGATAGATATGAGAAGGTCTTGCTTATCCTTGTCACTTGCTATGTCTTGGAGATCTTCTGGAAAGCCTTTCAAAATTCTCTGTCTAAAGCGTTCGTCGTGGTCGACCTTAGAGTCGGTCTGAGATGAAGACATAATGAGTTATGGGATTGAAACTAAAACTTGTAAATTTTGATACGCGATAATGGGAGATGAATGTCGTGTGAACAGACTCAAGATGGGATGAATGACAATTGAGATGCCTTTTATGAGAACAAGTACTCCGTGCTGCCTGAGGCGACAACTCTAGGCGGCAGTCGAAAAAAATCTTTTTGCAATTACATCTATTAAGACCATTTGTCCGTTCTTTTTGCAACTTCCTTATTGTTAACATTGCATGGTTAACGTGGGGTTAGACATCGTGGGTAAATGCGGTGATTGGTCACTCTATACGCGCTTTGGAGGCCACGTAGGATCAGAGATAAGATAAAGATGAGAGACATGGATAGAAGTTTAAGCATTTCGTGGGTTAGATAAACTATGTCGTTTGGGGATTTGAGGATGCAGTTTCTTGTCCTTTGACATGAGCTCAGCCTTAGTGGGTGGGTGGTGTCCATTATGGCTGGTTATATCGCCTCGGGAGAAACGGTTTCCGCAGCGCTATAGGTTCTTAGCCAATCACGACCATAATGGCATTGTATCTCTCTGAGTGGCCTTGGTCTCCAATTCCAATGCTTATTGCAATGGGAGTCGTCAATCTCAGAGGAACGCTGGACATGGTCGTAAGAATCAAGGAAATACTGAATTGGCGCCGGTGTGTAGCCCTGGGCAGGCAGACCCCGGAAGAAGTCGGTGTCATCCGTGGCTAGATTTTCCGACTTAACGAGAAAGTAAAGGTGTTTGATCGACTCGAAAAAGGAAAAGAGGAACAAGTTTGCGTATGGAGCCGGCATGTGTGGGTATGAGAGAGCCTGATTCCATGGCCAGTCTGTAAAGAGACGAACAGCAACGTGCTGAAATGAGTTAAGGACCTTTCTGGTACGACTGAGTTCTCGCCGAGTCACCTCCGATAAGTCTACAGTAGTAAGACGTTCCATATCGTCGTGGGTATGAGGGGTTCCTCTAATACCCTCGATGCACAAAGTGTCGTATGCTGGATTGCATCTTATTCTTGTAAAGCCCTCTCTTGGGTTCTCTGAATTCATAAGGATGATAACCTTTGGGTATCTCACGAGATAGACTTGGCGAGCATCGCGACAAGCCAAGCTTAGTCTGTGCGACTCTCTAAATTTATCAGTTTCGAGGCCCCGGGTGATGAAGTTCCCGCCAGTTATGCACATGCTGGGCCAGGCGTAAACGGAACGAACAGTGCAGCCGAGTGTCATGTCAAGACTAATATTGATAAACCTTGAAGTTGCATCAAAGGCTGCTTCCCATATCCTAAATTGGATTTCCGCTGGCAACTGAGAAAATAGAATGAATGAAGATGAGTCCAATAAAGACTCGGCTTTTCGCTTGGGATCGCTAGTTGGATATTCATGCATAGCAGAAATAAAAATGATTAGATGAAAAATCAAAGCAAAGATCTTAACCATAGTTGGGTTTTTATAATCGTGAAGTTTAGATAGAATCATAGAGTTCACCCACAAATTTAGGCTATGGAGATTGAAGCGGTTTACTGGAGCATAAATATGATCTCACCTTAGTTCTGTGGATTGGTCATAAATAAGGTTTTCTGTTGCGATATAAGCTCTCAGTCACGAGTCTCAACTGAGAATAAACCGTTTGGCTCGCACTTTAACCATTATGCTATAATGCATCGCCAACTACTGGAGCAAATTTGCAAAGATTTTAAGTCGAAATATCTTTCTAAATGGACAGTATTAGTAAGAGAGGAAATCGCGTACTTTTTTGATTACAAGAGCTTCTCACATGAGCGCAATTACCCAGTTCTTAGCTTTTGTGCTAGCAGTTATCCGGCGGAAGATGGTTCCTGGCAAAAACCTCACCTGAGAGTCAGTATTGACGCCAACAAGGTCGTGCATGTTGAAAAGCAAGGGTACTAAGGGTCAACAGGCTGACAGAATACCCGGAGATAGCACTAGGTCTCCCATCCAGGAAATAGTTCTCTCTTTTCATGCAGTATGCATTGCACTCAGGATAATAGCTGGGGAGCCAAGTTCATTACGTACCACAAGTGGTCTAGACTGCTAGTCAATACATCATCGCTACAAGTTTCAGAATCTCAGAGGATTTCCCCCCCTCTCGATGTTGCTCTAGACAAGTGACTCCACAAGTTATGGAAATAGAAGAAAATATAGGCAGATAGCCGACAGGCCTGACCTGCTTAGCAGTATGTCTCTCATGAAGTGAACGCCTGGATTGCCTCTTCCAGAATCTCGACAATCTCATCAGGTTTACTCAACATCGGTAAATGAGCACTATCAATAATCCTTTTCGTGATATCCGCACCAAGCTTTTCCGCGCCTCGAACAAGCATCTTCTGCGCTTCATAAGGGTAAGCCCTGTCATCTTTGGTCATGACCTGCCAGACAGGCACATCCCTCCATCCCTCGTACGTCACCTCGTATCCATCCGTCGAACCAGTCAAAGCATGCTTGCTGAGCTTTCCAACCCAGTACTCGGCCTCTTCTGTGGGAAGATCGTGGTACATCATGTCGATTGGGTCGACTTTGATGACCATTAAATTGTTCTCATAATCAGCTTCGCAAGTTGGTAGGGGCTTGCCACCTAGGGCGTCCATAAATGACGCGCCTTCGCGGACAAAACCGGTCGCAACATTGAAAAGCCCTATCACACGACCAGTATTTCCGTCTGTGTCGGCTGATTTGCTGGTGAAGCCTCTCATGGCACTTTGTCCCACGGGTCCAGTGTAGGAGTGCACTAAGATAACGACATCAAGTCCTTGCGACGCCTCGCCAGCGATAGCATCGGCGACAGCTTTAACATCATGCGAGTAATTAACGTTGGTGCTTGTTGATTGGTTTGTCGGAAGTGTGACGGGAACACACTTGAACCCCTTAGCCTCCATGGCGGACATGATCTTGCCCCAACATTCAGGGCTATGCCATGCGCCAGGCACAAATATGAGGCTAGGCTTCTGAGCCATGTTGTAGACTGATTGGAGGATATTGGCTTGGGATTCGGTGAGGGAGGTAAATAAGGGAGGATGTGTAGTCGGCTTACGATCTCTGTTCAAATCGTGGCTGGATAAAGGCAGCGGGGTTTGTTGTTCAGCTCGTTTATTCTCCTCTAAAAGGGTTAGTTGCTGACAGGCTAGACACCATTCACGTCCACTCAAAAGTGACTCTGTCGTTGGTAGTGGAGACTCGAGTTAGTTGCCAAGACGTTAGTGATCTATCTTGCTTTTGCGCATGTCCTGGTACAAAATGTTAGTGCTGTAGCTCTGTCTAGTCTAGACTATCCCAACCAAATCGCTCATCCTGTAGCCACAATCTTCAAATCCCGTGAGTGGCTTCCCGACACCTCGTCAACGCCTGTCTTTGAAGCAAAACTCCTCCTTCAATTCACTGAAAGTCACAACTCATCAGCCCATCGCCGATCATATTCCCTGAAGCTTTTCTCAGAACGAGCTCAAGCCGGTCAGCATGAGTACAACGACAAGGACTCGGAGGCCCCACACTAGGAGTAAAACAGGGTGTTTGACTTGTCGAAAGCGTCGCGTGCGTTGTGATGGCGGAAAGCCAACCTGGTAAGTCGGAGTTCGCTACCCAATTGCGACAAATAGTCGAAAGTACTACACCAGGTATTTGTCGGTTTTTTGGTATTGTGAAACTTACAATTGTAGTACCCGATGTGTCAGTGCGGAACGGACATGCGAGTTTGCTGATCCTATTATCCCACTTCGAGACCGTAAGGCTATCTGTCTTCCAGGCGAACAGCAACCTTGGATTATAAGCCAGGACGCACCTCCAGTAACTCTATTTGTCAACTCCCCATTTGGAAAGTCAGTGGAGCCTTTCGACTGTTTGGGCTTGGACATGACCCTTCGCTCCAGAGAGCTACTTCACTACTGTAAGTGCAAGCCATGCAGCATAGACCAGCGGGATCGTTGACACGCTTAGTCCATAACAGCCATGACAGTGCCGATTTGGTACTTAGTAAAGCCTCTAGAAACATGTACGTACCTTGTCACTCCTCACTCAGCCTAGGCTTACCTTGAGCATCCATAGCTTTTCTTCTGTTGCCCAGCATCCCGACGCACTAAGGGACACTCTTCTGGTGGCAGGGCTGCACTATGCATGGACTGTCGGCGATCTCGAGACGTATAAGCCAACTTTCCTGTTTCACAAGTCTCAACAATACAAGTCTTGAATCGTTGGTTGCAAAACATACATCAACCGGGGCTGATGACCTTCATTCGACATGTTTCAATTCTCTGCTTTATTGAGGTTTGCTTTCCATACTAATGATATCTTACGAACGACTGATCATAAAAGGCATCATATGGTAACGTACACGATACAGAGGCTCATATCAACGGTCTCATAAACGCCGTGCACCTTCTCAGTCCTCTGGACGATGATTTCGGCAATCGATCGGAACTAGAAGAAGAACTTGCCAATCGCTATCTCTTGCTGTAAGTAGTAATTGGTTGACGGATATTCTCATTAATGCTTACCTTTCCAGCACATATTATGCCTATCAAGGCTTCAAGGCCAGGATATTGGGAAGCGACTCTTTGCAGAACTTGTTCCGACAGAACAACACCGCAGAGTTTTCCACGTTCGTATCACAGATCCATCTCTGGAAGACTCAGAATATTGGCCATCTTGAAATGCGTCTCAACGCAATGAAACTCTTGCCATTCTTCTTCGCTGCCCTCCCCTCATCGACGCGCTTTCATAACATCGACGCGTCACCTCTAATAGACTGCCTGAAGCACGTTACTATGTCAACACAGACAGTCAGGGAGGACCGTTACAAGTGTGACCCAAGCTGGGAATGGATCGAGGGCTCCGATTCTCGGCTACTTTGCGCCACTATCGGCTCCCATTTCTCTTCTCTCTTTCATGACGATATGTTCTCATCAGCGCACTCCTCGAAGTACAGCACTTCCTGGTCTGGTATGTGCGCTGCATCGAGCTTGTATATGCACAGCGTCCTGGAACTTTGGAATGGTGTCGAGCCCATGGATGCTCGTCTCCTTCGGAGGTTTCTATGTATTTTGAATCGAGATCTCAGCCATTCTGTTAGCACCCTGGGACTAAACGACTCTACGGACTTTTGGATTTGGCGAGCGTTCCTGGGAGCGTATAGCATTGCCAAACAGAAAGCAGATAACCATGATCCATCTCTGGATGACCTTGGAAGAGCTTTTACTGGCTACGTAGAGGCTTGGACAAGGGTTACTGGGTTGGCACATTGGGAGGAAGCACATGCCCGCTTAGTGTCAGTGGCTTGGCCTACTGATATGAATTATGAGATGGGCCGCAATGTCTGGGTAAATGCAAATGAGTATACAATCGATTAAGGATTTAAGATGTATCAACTTCAAGCTGTATAGCATTATAAAAACAAATCACAACTCAAGTTTCATTGAAGCGATCATGAAATGAGAACTCGCGTCTCATCTCTAATGATCTTTACTTATGGCCCAACTCCTCGACTGACTGCAGTCAGTACCCATCGATCCCCGACTGTGATGGATGAACCTCGACCTTGGGTTTGAGTAGATTTCTCAAAATGGCTCGACAGAATGCCTTCTCACCTCTTGATGGCCAAAGAAGAGACTTACAGCCCAAGAAGGGATGCTTGCAACTCTATCTCCAGCCTGGCTCAGATCAATGTCAGTAGAATATTAATTTCTCTGATATATAAAAATGACGTGGACGTAATGACTTGCTATTTACTACCGTACATACTCGCGAAGCAAGGTAGCGTACGTAGATCTAAGCTACCAAAGCCATTTAACCAATAGTAGAATGTCAGATCTTTATTTTTAATTTATTTAATAGGGAGTTTTAAAGATAAGGATTAAAGTGACTACAGGTGCTACTCAATTTCATGAGTCTACGGTAAGGTTATTTCTTACTGCACGAGGAGCTCACATCAATTCCTCCATCGCGGAGAGCTCATACAGGGTAGGGTTGAAATGTGGCCTCGGCTGATAAACCAATCAATTATTTGTTTGCGGAAAACACACGACAAAAAAACTGCTGGTTGGCCCGGAGCATTTGCTCCAGTGGGTGTGACACACAGACAGGCAACAGAGTTTGACTTCCAGGGCCCTGCTGTTCAAGTTTCAACAACACTCGTCGCTTTTCGACGGTCAAAAAGAAAGAAGGAAATATCGAAAAAATGAAAGAAACCAATAATCAGAATAATTAGAATCAGAAGGAATTCTGAGTCGTAAGGCTGCTTCTATTATTGCATCGTTTATTGTTGATCTGGTGCGTGGAGCATGCATGAAGGAGGCTGAATGGGTACAATTTTCAACCCCCTCGATCCACCGCAAAATGGCACTATTCTCGTCCCACGCGAATGCACATCACAACACATCAAACCCTCAAATACCTAGCGCAAAGGTTCTCCATGGGGAAATCCCAAGGGGTATTTATGAATTCCTTCAATATGCCACAGCATTGTGACAAGAATGATATATGAATCCCTATCATACGACGCCAAGAACAGACAAGAAATAGTTAATAGTTGTCACAAAACACGAAACCGTTACTTGGTTAGGGGCATAAGTAGGGGCCATTTCCATCAGCTTCAGTGGTCTGTGCGTTGTAACTGCACTGTAATTTAGTGCTAATTGCACTGAGGAGCCTACTGTACTGCTTTCTGATTGGCTCGTTTAATACTGTAAAACTACCACTTTAGGAAGTATGCTGTGGCGGTTGTGGCATATCTCTCTATTACTGTGGCGTTAAGTAGGGATATATATATCACGTGACTACTTTGAAAATATTTTAATATTCTAATTGGCTAAGGTATAAGCTGTATTAATTAAGGTTTAGGTCAAGATACCTCTGAAGGCGCTGTAGACCCACTAATCTAGAGAGGCTCGCACAGTGAGGTTACAGCGCACAGACCACTGAAACTGATGGAAATGGCCCCTACTTATGCCCCTAACCAAGTAAAGCCAGCTCGCTCCGAATAAGCAGTCAGGGGTACTCAAATCCCTAAACTATTTAAGGTAAATGCTCCGTCAGGGTTCTCGGGACGTTGTGCGTTAAAGATTACATCATATCAACGTCAGTTTTCCGATCGCTGGAGAGATTATATAGAAATCCACGATGCCTGCAAAAAAGGGTTCCCCTCGAGATCGAAACTCCAACAAAACCCCCCCCTGGGGCCGAGAGGCGGTGGAACCGATTACAAAACCACAATGTCTTGCTCTTTGCATAGCCCTTTTATTTCTGTAACAATTCTCGCGACTAAGCAGGACGTGGGTAACTTACATTGGATGTTTTGCGCAAAATGTATTTACTCACGTGATCCAGGCTCTCCCATTCGATCCCGAGCGTTTCGGCCGGCCGCTTTGCGAGGTCCCCGTATTCCAGACCGCGACGATCCCGTCCACGCTCGCTAAGGATCACAAACCTGCTTTCAAGCCAAGCTTTAACATCATGCCATGCCAATATGCGCGTAGTATTGAGACCGCGGAGCCAGAGCTTTTAGAGCCGCCGCGGGAGAGTCGCAGCTCCAAGCGGAAGTACAAGAGTCCCGAGGGTCGGCGGAGTAAGCATAAGCACCACTCCACCACGCGCCGATCACCGTCGCGACAGGCTACTATTTCCTGTCCCTGCGCGCGGGAACCTAAGGCACCCAAGGCGCCGGATCATACAAGGTCATGCGAATTCTGTCATGTAACCGAGACGCCGAAATGGAGGTCTGGACCATCGGGACGTCGTACCCTCTGTAACGTCTGTGGATTGGTGTACGCCAAGAGGGAGGAAAAGGCCCGGTCATTCTTATTGGAGAGGGAGTTTGGGTGCGACTCTGTTTCTGACCCATCGTCGTGGTCTACAAAGATCTCAACTGAGGGTTCTCCTTCATTGGGACTGCGATGACCATTCAAACCTCCCTCACCTCTCATACCTTGCAAGCGGCCCCCAAGGATACCTCGCTGCCCCTCACTCTTGGCATGCATGGACAGGAGAGGAAACATTCCCATTTTTTTATTGCAGCGTTTGAGCGTTATAATCATGAAAGAAACAGATGGCGCATTGGAGACAGGAAATCAGGCGACATGTCAGGAGTATTCGAAGCAAATAACTAAGTTAAAAAAAAATCACTAAACCAATTTCAGCAATTTACCCCGGTAATAGCAACAGAGGAGCGTTGCCCAGAAGCTAATTGCATCCAATCGCGAAGTGTTTGGTAGCTCATCAACAAAGGTCCTCCCCCCTAACAGCAACCGTGATGTCAAAATCGCATCAGAAAACATGACCAATCACACCCTCCACATCACCTCCGGAGTCGTCCTCCGGTCCTTTGACTGTTTATTTGCTACCGCCCCACAGTACGACGTCGCATCGCCTGTCCCGTTCGAACTTAGATTGCCTGACCCTTAGCGGAATCCGGAGAGGCACGGAGTTCAGGGTAACTCTGGCATCTGACTTTTTACCCCTCAATTGGCTGATGGCTGATGGGAGCTCCTTTCAGTTCAAATGCCGATTCTGGAGTGGGGGGACGTCGACACAGTGAGAACAAACCATCTGATCCTCTGCGCGCGCAAGCGACCTGCAGCAAAGATTACACTGTACAACACACCAAACAAGTCATCCGCCCATTTTGTCCTGTGTCTAGCGTGTAGTAGGGGCGAAGAGAAACGCGCCGTGGCTTGCGCGTCGGCAAATGAGGGTTGCAACTCTTTGAGACGAAAAACGAAATCATTTCTAATCAGTGTCGCAAGCAGGACGGGGGACCAGTCTTATCTATCAATCGCAGACAGCCACAGCACAGAGGCCAAGCCCCAATGCAAGGAACTGTGGAAACGGGCTTGCTGTCATGCCAGGTTGCTGCGAGGGACAGTGTCCGACAGTCCGAGCGGGTGAGACGTCTCAAGGCTAGAGAGGCAAAAAGCAAAGGCAAATCAGGGAGTGGACTGTGAGGGACTTTGGCTGGACAGTTTGCGATAACTGTGTGATAAACTGTTGGACAAAGTTTAGATGGAGGGCTGAATGAATTGGGATGCTGAGAGACATCGGATTTCCTTTTCCCCGTGGTGAGAATGCTGTCCTGTTGGTGATTGTCAATGGCCCATGAAGCCACTCGGTAGGTTACCTCCGGATCCGCGGATGGACCCTGAATCAGGGTCTCTGCACAGTCCAGACCCGTTCGCGTAGTGATCTACAAGGGTTCCCCTGGGGGCAATCTTCGCTCTAACTTTAGCAAGCGCCTCAGAGGGGTATTAGTACCGCCTCGATCCCTAACCTCTCCCTTGAAATTCGAGATCGGATTCCCCTCTCCTCTCAACTGTCCAGTCCCGTTCCTGTTCCATCATGAAACACCCACAGCAGACACTCGCCAAGACGGCAAAGCCCATTCGGCGCCGAAGAGATCGTGCTCACCATCCTTGTCCCGTTGATCTCCCGGAATCTAGCCTTTTCCCGCCCCGACGATGTTCCCTACTTTCGCTGAGAAAATCTCCTCGACACGTGAGTTATCTCTCCGCGCCTTTGTTGACCCGTTGCCGGCGACACAAACTAACCTCCTCCAGATCCGACCTAGCGTCCAGGACGTCCAACGGAATGGTCTCCCTCTTTGTGAGGTCGTTTTGTTTCAAAACCCAGCTATTCCGAGTCCCTTGGCTGCGAAGCCAGAGATAGATACCCATCCCCAATTGAAGGTCGCTTCGCGCACTTCATCTCTCAGATCAACCGCCGCGTCGGCACGTTCAATCCGGTCGAGGTCTACTAGGGCCAGTCTCAAGGACACCTATGAAGCCCGCACGTGGCGTAACAGGCTGAGGCGACATTCGGTATGCCACTCATTTCCCCCATAATGTCTTTGTTTCATTCTAACGAGATAAGCAGAAGTCACCACGAACACATGAGTCAACTCCATGCTGCACATCGTGCTTCATCAAAGAGACTCCAAAATGGCGCGAAGGCCCTTTCGGCTCTCATACTCTTTGCAACGTCTGCGGTCTTCTCTACGCCAAACGCGAAGCTCGGAGCCGATCATTTCTTCTTCAGAGAGACATTGCGCGAATGTCGCAATGTTCTTAAATCGTTGAACCGTGTTCATGTTCCCGCCATGCATGAGCATGCGTTCAGCACGGCTTAACCTTTCTTTCTCCAGTCATACTTTTTCCAATGTTTCGTTTTCTTAGGCTGGATCCCGACTTTATACATGCCACCGGGATCTGTGAGTGACGAGGCATGGTTTCTATACCCCGGCGCAGGATTGGGAAGGCATTTTGTGAGACTCGGCTGGCTACTGAAGTTTTGTGTCAAAATGGCGTTCTCGGTTGTTTGTTATCATGTTGCATTTAGCGCAGATACCTCAGTCACAGTTATGAATTGGAATTGAACTTTTATTCGTACCTACATCTACAGTCGATTTGGATCATGTGAATGGCGGTTGGAAAATTGCATTGAAGTCAAATTCACAGTTGATGAGACAGTCAGAAGAGTTCATAAGTTCGACCATGCCATTGCGATGTTCCTGAAGGCGACCACGATGCCTGGAGTTCCATGGACGTGTTACATAGGTCTAGCACAATCTCACCACCAAGCCGGAAAATTGAACGATGCCTGTGTATCGCAGAAGAAAGCGCTGGAAGTTCTCTAGGCTTTGAAGGAGCCCAACCCTGGAGATATGTAGTCCATCGCCCTCAAGTCAACATGTCTCCTCGAGCTAGGTCAGGCTCATTTTGTTCAGGTTTTCAGCAAAGTATGATCTAAATGCCCTTACTCTTGACGATATCAATAAGATACCGGCCCAGGCCGCCAAACCCAGGGATCTTGCCCAGCTTTCCATCAAGATATTCGATATCTTTGACCATACTGTAGACATCAGTCATCAGTGAGCACAAGTGTATGAGTATAACGTGTACCAAAGACGAAGAACCTTACCATTTACGACCGCTCACTTCTTCCACGACGACCTCGATGAATACCGTCCCTAGATGATCCTTATACCTTGTCGAGATTGATGTCATAATAAGCAGCACCACTGATTGATGCATACGCTTACTGATAGCTTTGTATAGCCTGCTCGTGTCGCCAACCAGGTCCACCATGTATTTGCGAACATCTTGCTGTGTCTCACCCTCCCAGGCAATCTCCCGGGCTCTCTTAGAATAAGAGATTGCCCGAGACTCCATAATCCCAATCAACTTACGGAAGATGGAATCTTTATGCTCTTCGAAAGCGTGGTGAACCTTTTCGAACTGACTCTCTATAGCCTCGTTCGCTGGCCCTGCAGGTACATGACGACTGACGAATCCAGAAATACGCGGAATAAGAGTCGAAATGAATGACAATGCTTGGAACGCGAGTGCTAAATTAGTAGCTGTAATATTCTTGAGACCAGCTGATGTTAAGGCGCCCGCGCCAAGGATAAGTTGGCGACAGCTGGAGTCGAACAATTGCAGATACGAAATCAGACATAAAGCCACTTCTGGCGCCTTGGATTCAATCCCGGATACGAGGCGAAGGAAGTTAAGTACGCCTTCCAAGCAGGTTGTAGCAGACAAAGGGAGTAAGAATGTCTCCGCTTCAATACTGGCGCCCCGGATCTCTCCTGGTGCACGGCTCTCATCTGTACCGTCTTCTAGATGGACCCCTTCCTTGGGTATTGGCGCCCAAATTCTGCTCATCTGTGTCCACGATGGCGGATCTGAAACGCTGCAATCCAGAACTTGTTGAAGAATTTCATTGCTCTCCGGCGTGAAATCTGCATCTCGCCACGTATCGGAGCTCATGGCCTGGGTAAGTAATTGGTTCTCTCTGGCGCCATGGGCCTGAATGAAGTCTCGAACTTGGCTGTCAATTAAAGTCCGTAGAGGCGCGCCAGCTTGCGCCGAAGTTGACTCGCATTCGTTGAGAAACAAGAGACTCAGAGTATAGTGGCGGATGAAGTAGTCTAACGGCAAGGTGGTTATCTGCTCAGATCGAACACGAAGAACCATGGAGATCATTTCGTGGCCGATGTCCGCTCCATGGATCAGCAGGTTAGGGAGGTCAAGTGCAATATGTATCTCTTCCTGTATTCCAACGCGTGAATCTATCTCTGCTGAACTCCGATAGATAATCGACGTTCGATTGGTGAGAGAAGTGGCGGGGTCATCAGAAACAGAAGTCTCAGTAGAACATGCGATATCTAAAAGGATACTGGATTGACGTTTCAGACTCCGCAAGATCTCTACCACAGTGGTGAAAAGCGAAGAAAAGAGCTCCTCAGCATCTGCTGGTCCGAGATCCTGGATGTTCTGAGCAAAGACAGACGGCCTTTCTGTAGTCCAAGCACTAAACCGAATATTAATTGACGCTGATGTGTCGGAGCTAGTATTATCGGTCGAATTTGGAAGAACGATTCGTAGCGCATTGCGTATCTCTAAGAGGACTAATTGTCTATAAGCCTTGAAGGCCGTCGTTATAGATCCCGATCGGTGCAGTCCGAGCAAGCTAGGCAAGAGTGCTGCCCGCAAGTCATTCGCACGATCTGTATTGACCAACAAGGCTGTAGGGTTCTGCCCGTAAACTCCTTGAGCACTTCGCGATTTCGCATCCCAAGCAAGAAGAACTTGTTCTTTTGAACCAAATTGGCTATGACGTTGAAGGTCCTGAATGAGTGTAGAATGAATTCTGGATTCAAAGACTTTTGCAACCCGGGATCTCAACACTGCCAGTTCATTGGAGACGCCTTGGGAAGGTATGGCCTTGCGTATATCCTGAAGCTGTATATCGGATGATACCTGGTTTTTGGCAGCTTGGCTATATTCACCAGCCATCAGGGACTCAACGGCATCGAACTCATCCAGGGCCTTCTCAACCTGTCCTTCATCAACGAGCAACTTGCAGGAGGAAACTCTGTCCAAGATACATTGTAATTGTAGCACGGCGTCATGAAAATGTCGGATGTCCCGGTGTACTCGGAGTTTCTGCGATAGCACCAGTCCTTTTGTCCTTATATCATGCTGCAAAGAAGATAGATCATTGCGGAGCAATGCTATCCTTTCTGCCGATTGTGCCGCTTCGGTGTGCAGTTCTTTCAAAGAACCGAGAACGGAGAAAGCGGTGGTTGAAGCTATTGAGATGGAGTTGGCCAAGTGCATTTCCACTATGTCCATATACCATGATAGCTTCTCCTGAAGAATGGCGTTTGTCGCGATGGACTTCTTCGGCAAAAGGACACTCCCGCCGCTCGTCTTGCCTTGGCGTGACCACTCTGATGTAATCTCAGAGTGCTCACTAACTACCCGGAAGATTCGTGGATTCTCTAACTGGAAGTTTTGGTCGAAATATACATCAGGAACAGTGGCCAAGGGAGGCACTTCATGACGAAGCTTGCGATCAAAATTACCGCCTCGCTCTTTGGAGTAATAATTGTGAGAAGTAGGAGTGGGAGAGGTGATAGGATCACCCACTCGGGGCTGAAATCGGTGGTTAGTGTGCGCAAGTTCCTCATGAACGCTCACTCTACAGGCTTGCTTACTGTAGCTTCTCCTTCGTTTTCTTTCAGTCGATGAAGTTGTGCATACAGAGGAGCCATTCTTGACACATAAGATCGAAACTCGGCAGCATCGACATGTGGTGTACTTGATAGAACTACGCGAGGAATCTCTCGAGGGATTGACATCGTGGGCAAAGCTCAAGTTGGCCCGGAATGATCGGCGCTGTCTCAATAACCGCTTCTCTAAACATACAGAAGAGAAGATTTTGTATTATTCGATTGGGGGATTGCTCGAAGTATGGTACCTTTCGCTTGAACAAAGCGAGAAATTGATGAAAGGTCGAAAAGCGAATGACGCGGCGTTGGTCGCGACGTTCCAGGGATGTTGGTTGGTGCCTCCATGTCAATGAGGCCGATGATTATCCGATTATGAAAAACAAAACATTGTAATGAAGAGAAAAGAAATGAAGCGTGATTTATTAAGTTGTCACCATCATTTTTGTTGAAAACTGTTCCATGTTGCGGTGTAAGTCCTTTAGTCTTTATATCGTGGTCAGTTTGAGGGCAACACATAAGGGAAAATACATCTGGCCCACGAAACCTGACCAAATGGAGACCTTCTAGCATGTAAACCAATACAATGAGTGGTATTTATCTAGCCACGGATGAAGTTCTCAGAAAACCCCGGGCGAAGTGGGAGAGTGACAAGAGATTGATATAATCATTTGGGCTGGACGAAACAGAAAAACATGCCATCTACGAATGTATGTTCTCAAAACAGCGCCGCGTTGTTATTCCCTCGCGCAAGGATCTACGTAACAGAAAAACCGAGACTGATCGCTCACAACAAGGATGCGAAGGCGCGATGCTTTTGAAAGTTTATACGATGGATAAACATTGCGGCCCGAAAATGATACATATCCACTCTGTAAGCACGCAATTTGAGTTCACCGTGTCGTTGCCCATGGATCCCTGATAGGAAATCCACAAGAAAAAAAGCTTTTGTGTGGCTGATGTTCATGACGTTCAGTGGCAGTACACGCCACGAGATGTTTAGATGTTTTGATGTTTTGAGTATCGACACGAAAACTTTGTTGTTTTGGAAGTCAACAAATACCGTGAGACGTACGTGGCTTTCTCAAATATTTTTCCATGCGTCAATGATGTTGAACATTGATCCTTTAATTCCCAAAGAATAAACCTTGGAAAAGAAGCCCTTGCAGACAAACCCTGAGCGTCTGGATCCTCTTATCAATCGTATCTCGTAGCTGCTCCATCGCCGGCCCGACAACCCACACGGCCCCGTGTTACCTTACCAGGACAAACATAGACATTGAGCCCGTGAGTACAGACGATTGTCGTGCGCGATTACTTCATCGAGAACACCCGCCAAGAAAAACGTGCTGTAAGAGAACTGGGTCTTGATCGGCCTCGTCCGACCAGATCTGCAAGGCCTTTTATAAGATGGCTTCCCAATTCTCTGTCCCTCAAGGCGCATCACAATCCAGCGCAGACATGGCATCCAATTCTGAAAAGGTCGCCACAGATGGTGGCGTCCAAGCGACAGACAAGAGAGAGGATGTTGCCTCCATGGGATCCCTCACGAATGGGTCCGTGAGCGGGAGAGCCCAGATCTTGGGTGCGAAACCGGAGGAAATCATCGAAGCAGAGGAGCATGCGCGTACGATGGACTTGGATGAGACAAAAAGAGTGAGAACCCCCAATCTTGATCGATAAAATTTGCTAACATCGACCCAGCGCGCTGAAACCCTGATTTACCTTCATGAGCATGACCCCAACTTCAGCTCGGAATCCATCATTCGGATTCAAGAATTCCTGAGCAATGAAGATATCTTCGCCAATCCTCATAAGCACTCAGATCTCATCTTAGACATCAAGACCGAGATTTCACTCGTCACCATCAACTCACCCTACACAGAAGTCCGCGCCGTGGTAAGCAACAAGGACGACCCATCAACACCAGCTGGAACAATCCGCGCCTGGACCATTGGTTTATTCTTCGTGATCGTGCAGAGCTTCGTGAACCAACTGTTCTCAGTGCGGCAACCGACTATCCGACTCCAAGCACCCGTCATCCAACTCCTGTCGTTTCCGCTGGGCAAAGCTTGGGAGAAATGGCTTCCCGTTGGCGAGTTCACTCTGTTTGGCCAAAAGTTGCAGCTCAATCCTGGAAACTTCAATCAGAAGGAGCATATGCTGATCTCGATCATGGCGAATGTCTCGGCGAGTTTACCCCATTCTCGATATATCATTTTCACAAGTTGGTTGAAGAAGTACTTTGACTTGCCATTTGCCGCCGACTTTGGCTTCCAGATCTGCCTCTCGGTGAGTAGGACTGCGACATAACTTACGGAGCTTTACTAACCACAACAGTTGGCTATGAACTTGCTGGGCTACGGTCTTGCTGGACTGGCGCGACGTTTCCTGGTCTACCCGTCATTCTGTATCTGGCCTCGCTCCCTCGCGACCATCGCCCTCAACCAGAGTCTACACGATGGTAAGTCCCCGGAAGCCGCTGATATAGTATGTCAAGTTGACTGACCGCCGAAGAATCTGGAAATGCAAGCGTGCTTGGTCCTTTCAAGAAGATGTACACCATGTCCCGGTACCGCTTCTTCATGCTCTTTTTCGCCGCTATGTTCATCTGGTTCTGGTTCCCCGAACTTATCGCTTCATCACTGTCCCTCTTCAACTGGCTCGCGTGGATCTCGCCCAACAACTTCACCCTTACAGCTATAACCGGCGTGACTAAGGGCCTTGGATTCAATCCTCTTCCAACCTTTGATTGGAACGTTGCCACATACTATATGGATCCTCTTCTGGTTCCCTTTCATGTCACTTTCAACATGTTCATCGGTGCTCTGTTGGGCGGTGTTACCATCATAGCGATGTATTGGAGCAACACGTACAATACTGCATATCTCCCCATCAACACAAACACCATGTTCGATCACACCGGCGCCAAGTACAACGTATCTTCGATCTTGGATGATCGTGGCCTACTCGATGCAGACAAGTACCAGGCTTACAGTCAGGTCTACATCGCCGCCTCATCCGTCACATACTAGTAAGAGCTTCTCTCTGACTCGTAACTGGCATGTAACTAACAAGAATAGCATCTACTTCTTCGCCGTGTATACCGCGATGATCTCTTATGCTGCCCTGTATCACTGGAATGACATCAAGCTTGGTTTCGTGTCTCTCTGGCAAAGCTTAAAGAAGAAGAGCAATATCAACGAGTTCAAGGATATTCACACAAGACTGATGGAGCAATACCCCGAGGTCCCAGAGTGGTGGTACTTGATACTCAACGTAAGTTCTTTGAAGAAGCTGAATGGCCTTGACTAATGCGATGTAGATCGTTGGAATTGCTTTCGGGATTGCCGCTGTAGCAGGATGGCCCACCAACACCAGTGTCGGCACCGTCTTCTTTGGTCTTGCTCTTGCCATCCTCTTTACCATTCCCACTGGAATAATCTTTGCCACTACTGGCATCGAGGTTGAGTTCAATGTCCTCGCTGAGTTCATTGGAGGAGCCTGGCAGCCTGGCAATGCCTTAGCTGTAAGTATCCGACCACCAAGACTCTAATCTTCGCATCTAATATGAGCAGATGAACTTCTTCAAAGGCTTTGGATATGTGACAGTCGCTCACGCCCTCGATTTTTCCAACGATCTGAAACTTGGTCACTACCTCAAGATTCCTCAGCGCCAGACCTTCTGGTGCCAGACAGCGGCCAGTAAGTTACACTTCAGCACTTCTTTATGCACCCCAACTGACTGTATATAGCTATTGTCTCCGCGTTTGTCTGTACCGCAGTCATGAATTTCCAGATCCTCAACATCCCCGACATCTGCCAGCCTACTCAGAAAGATCGCTTCACATGCCCCGGCGTTGAGTCTTACTTTACCGCCGCCGTGCTTTTTGGCTCTCTTGCCCCTCAAAGAGTATTTGGAGAAGGCGGCGTGTACACCGCTCTACTCGTTGCGTTCCCAGTCGGACTGGCATTCCCTATCGTCTACTACTACGCGACCTGCAAGCTTTCTAAGACACACTGGCTTACAAAACTTCATCCCGTCGTTATGTTCAGTGGCGGCCACATCTGGTCTCCCTACAACCTGGCCTATGTCTGGCCAGCTGTCATTCCAGGATGGATCTCTTGGGTCATCGTCAGAAAGAGATATCTTCAGTTCTGGAGCAAGTACAACTACGTCCTCGCAGCAGCCTGGCAGACTGGAATTGCCCTCGCTGCGGTGGTCATCTTTTTTGCTGTGAGCTATCACGGGGCGTCGATCAATTGGATCGGCAACAGTGCAGACAGCGGTTGCGAAGCCGAGACCTGCACGCGGCTCAAGCTTCCCAATGGAACCATCTTTGGCCCTCAGCCAGGAACCTTTGCTTAGATATGTTGCAAATAGCCAATTATATGGCAAAAAAAAATTTTTTTTTTTTTTTTTTCTTCAATTCTCCAATGAGATAAATGAGATCAATAGCTTATGGGCAATATTGAATACGTGGCTGTGCCGCTGATCCTACGACATCATCACGCCCGTTTTCTAGGCAGAACTCAATTTAGCGCTTCCGCTGCCCAAGGTTATTCTAACGCCTAGGATTCAGCTCCCAACACTCAACTCGTTATTTAAAAATGCCACAGTTCCTTGACAGAATATGCTTCACATGACATCGTCATTTCCAAGTTCACCAAGATGGTTATCTACCACCCAACCAACATGGCGATTGCCTGAAATGCTATCTTGCCACTCCATTCACAGATGACGAACTGAAAGCTTTCAAGTCAGTCTTTGAGCTTGGTGCATACTACAAATCCGCTCCCATGATGCAAATCATAATCATGCACGCGCCGGACGATTATCTGGGAAAATCGCATCAATACATGCGTGCCAAAGAAACCGAAGCTGGCAACACGGATCCATTCATCGTCGTTGATGAAGAAGCCAAGAGCAGACGCGCAGTCTGGTACATTGATCAGTTCGCCGTGGAAGACCAGGTCAAAGATGGCACTGCTGAGAGCACGGATGTTGTTATGAAGATCCTCATCCAGACTGAGGGTTTGGGTATCAACCATATAAACTACGCCCTTGCCAAGTTGAGCATTGAGGAAGGCCTTGATAATTGCTCGGTGGAATTACCCCTCACCAATGACTTTTATCAGCCCGACCCGCAAGATTGCGGTGGCCCAGACTTGCAAGATGTCTGGGTCATTGCTGAGCCGAGAGAATTCGAAGAGAGCACCGATCCAAAGCTGTTGAATGATTTCTCCCCTCGTCCGGATAAGGTGGTTAGGCTGAAAGAGGATGCTGCTGAGTCTGCTTGGCTGGTCAGCTCTTGGACGATTCCAGGTGATGTACATCCTATCGACTTGGCGCAAAAAGAGTTTCCCGAGGGAAGCGTTGTTTTACAGCAGAAGTATAAGCCTGGCTTTCCATGGCCAGCAGACTCACTCTAGGCGGAAGATAACCCGTCAAGCGGAATGGAGTAGAAAACGGGCTTGACTGGGCATCCTTGTCTTTCGATGCTTTTGTAGCGACCAATGACATGTAATTACGCTCTTTAGCTCCGCCCTTCAAGTGATCATACCTTATCGCATATGATATTCCCCACGATGTCGGAACCGAGCATATCTCGACCAAGATAAGCGGGACGGACAAAGACGATCTTTTCCCGAAATGCACCTTATCATCAGTCATTCTTAATCGTGCGTTACGCTTTCCCACATTCAGAAAGTGCATCCCAGCCGTTGAATGGATACAACTTCCCAACGGAGCAATTTTTGGAGAATCGTGGTGGGGAGGAACGGGTGAATCATCAGCTCCGCACCAAGGCGACCAGATCCAGCATTAAGAATAAATAGTTAGCAACTTCGTCAATAATTATTTTCACCCGATTAACAACAGCTTTAAGATTCTCAACATGTCTTCTGCTCCCCACCCGCTGTGCCCGCTGACGGGCGATGAGATTCAGGCTAGCGCACGCTTGATCGAGAGCGTCTGGCCGCTGTCAGTCTCGCTATCTTTTAAGGTTATAACGCTCAGCGAGCCAGCCAAGGAGAAGCTTGCACCGTATTTGGAAGCGCTCGACAACGGAACTTCCCCTTCGCCGCTTGAGCGGTTGGCGTTTGTTGCGTATTATATCCGTGGAACGGTGAGTCGACCCCACTTAGGTTATTATCATGCATGATCTGACAGTCACAGGACATTTTCCATGAAGCCATTGTCAACCTGACCACGGGGAGAATTGAGAGCAATGTGAAGCTTGGGCCCAACGTTCACGGGAATGTTGACTATGACGAGGCTCAGAGGGTTGAGAAGCTTGCCCTCGAGGATCCGCAGGTCTTGGCTGAGCTTGAGAAGCTAAAGTTGCCAGAGGGGACAGTCGTATGTGCTGATCCATGGATCTATGGTAAGCACTATTGTTGATTGTGAGATGAATTAATGACTGACATGTGTAGGGTCCGACGGAGTTGAGGATGATGTCCGTATGTACCAGGTCTTCCTGTACATGCGAGACCCCGCAAACTCTGGCGAAGCTGATTCCAACCACTACGCATTCCCCTTGCCCGTATCGCCGGTCATTGAATGCGTCAACTACAAAGTAATTCGAATTGATGTACTTCCAACTGGAGCCGACAACACCATCAAGCCTCTGGCGCCGTATCAGCCAAAGCCTGCCAATGAGTACATCCCAGAAGCGCAAGAGCTGCGAAAGGATCTCAAGCCACTGCACGTCAGCCAACCAGAGGGGCCAAGCTTCAGTGTAACCCCGGTCGGTGAGACTGGAAACGTTATTTCATGGCAGAAGTGGACCTTCTTCGTCGGTAAGTCTGACATCTTGTCTTACTTAATGATCTCCAACTCACAGAAACAGGCTTCAATCAGCGTGAAGGCATGGTGTTGTACAACGTCAAGTATGACAACCGTCCCTTGTTCTACAGACTATCCCTGTCAGATATGAGCGTGCCCTACGGTGACCCACGACACCCGTTCCACAAGAAATCAGCATTTGACTTGGGTGATGCCGGAGCTGGTGCTACAGCAAACAACCTCAAGCTGGGCTGTGATTGCTTAGGCAGCATTCAGTACCTCAGCGGTGTGATCTGCGATGATCAAGGCAAGCCTTTGCCAATGGAGAATGTCATCTGTATTCATGAGCAAGATGCTGGTATTGGATGGAAGCACACGAACTACAGAACCGGAAGAGCCGCTGTTGTACGAGCACGTGAGCTTGTGCTGCAGTCCATTATCACAGTCTCAAACTATGAGTATATCCTCATGTTCCTTTTCAACCAAGCAGGAGAGGTCACATATGAAGTCCGCGCCACGGGTATCCTGTCTACACAGCCGATCGACCACGAACTAGACAAGACAGGAGTGCCATTTGGAACTGTCGTGCACCCTGGTGTCCTGGCGGGCGTTCATCAACATATCTTCTCCCTACGAGTCGATCCTATGATTGACGGTCATACGAACCAGCTGGTGTACAGCGAAGCCCACAGAATACCTCGTGATCCCCGCCTGAACCCTCATGGTACCGGCTACGAAGTTGTCGAGAAGACCATTGACAAGACAGCTGGCTTGGATATCGATTATGACCTTAGCAGGGTCTATAAGATCACCAACCCCAACTCCCTCAACCCTATCAACGGCAAGCCCGTGGGTTATAAGATTATGGCTCCGCCATTCCAAAAGCTTATGGGCGACGAAGACAGCTTTCTGCATAAGCGCGCTGAGTTCGCAGACCATAACATTTATGTCACCACCCATCGCGACCGCGAATTGTACGCGGGAGGATGGTACACCAACCAGTCGCGTGGAGACGCAGGCGTGAGAACTTGGGCAAAAAGGAACGAATCACTGACGCCAGAGTCTGATATTGTGCTTTGGGTGCAGTTCGGTATCAACCATATCCCACGCATCGAAGACTTCCCTGTCATGCCGGTCGAGATTCTAAAGGTGCACCTCAAGCCTGTCAACTTCTTCACCAAGAACCCCGCGCTGGATGTGCCGCCTAGTGAGCAGAGCGTGAACCAGAGCACTCTTATTGAGAGCAAGAAGGAAGTGGTTTCCGACAGTTGCGGATGTGATACATCGAACGTTTCTTCAAAGCTGTAGTCTGGGATTTTAGTAAGAGATGCCTCACGGTGCCAAGAGTTGTGACATGAATGAAGCAATATTAATATTATTCGTTTACTGAGCCGATTATGGATAAGGCCCTATGTGTTCAACGTGAACTGTTGTTTCTTCTGATATTTGTATCCCATCCAATCCCTCGTTTACTGTCGGTGGAGGCGTTTGATGTCTCCACGGACTCGAAATTGTGATCTCTGTCCCGTAACTCCACCCAGCATGTGAAGCCTCAATGTCATATCCCGCTGGGATATCGTCGTTCATTACAAATTCGCATACGGAACTTGAGCCGTTCTGTACTGAGGCTTTAGTGCCGCGGCTGCCCTTGGTGCCGTATTCTGGTGATAGAGCTGAGTCAACGACTGCGCGCTTGCTTCTGTGAGAGGCAAGGAACGAAGAGGGGACAAGCTTTCGAAATACAGGTCGCAGCATTGGTAGTGAAACTAGAGAACATCAATTGAGGTTTACAATATTGGGCTGGTATGATATACCCGAAACGTTGGCGAGATTGCATTCCGCTGCAGCCAAAGACCCGTGATAACCGATCTTGAGGGCGATTTCTTTTGAACCGCCATTGAACTGGAAAGAATTGTGGATGACAAGAATAGATAATACACAAACACTGTTCACATATTAGTCCAGGACACAAGGTATCACCACGGGAAACACACAGAGCACCGAAGCCAAAGAGGGCCATTACAGCAAGTTTTTGACCAAGCGGAAGATGCATTTTGATGACTTCAATCAGAGGGAGAACAAGAATGACAATATCCAGAACAGCATGCGTGAGACCAGTGGAGAAGAAATAAATATTGCTCGTGACATGGCAATGGGTAGCTCGTCGGGCAAGATCCCAGTAGGCTGACGTCGGCATACATGACAGTGTCAACAGGAGCATTCGGACGATGAACCATGCGACAGAAAGCACAAAGACAACTTGGATTGCGATGCGCGAACTAGAGTATTTGAAGAGGCGCCAGTAAAATGTCAGGATGGCGAATTTAGCAAAGCCGATGCCGATGGTATACGTCAGGCTGCTCAGCCAAATGAGGAGGTATGATCGTTCGAGACGTTCTTCTTCGCTGAGATGCGACGGGCCATTTTTCAGCGGGCGACCGAGACCGAAGGCGAAAAGAACTAGAATCGCATTTAATTATCGCAATTGACGCAGTTGGAGTGGGCATGTTCTTACAGACAAGGTTGTCAATCGAGTACGCGAGCGCTCCAATCTACGCACGCATCAATTGTCAGCGATCGTTCTTTGGTGGCAAAATGTTAAGCATAACGCACAAAGGCAACGACGGCCAACCAATCATCAATCCCATAGCCCGCCCTCGTCGTCCGTCTCGCCAAGAGTCTCAGCACCAGCACCAGCGCAGCGAGCGGCAGGGTAATAAAGATAGAAGCATAGACATTCGGTCTATAATCCGCTTCCATCGTGCATCATCAAAGACAGCAGGCTCTCCCGAAAGAAGAAGAGAAGAAGAAGAAGAACAAGTTTAGAAGGAAAAGAGAAGGGATGGGATGGGGGAGGGGAGATAAGACGAAAAGGACCTTGTCTCACATTGAACAAGTCAGCTCGGGCGAATGATTCAAGTGACGACGCGCTAATGGGCTCGATGATGTTATCCTGGTTGCGCTAAGGGGAACGGTTCGCGGGGGAAAGGAGATGCCGGTGCGGGGAGGGGGCTTTAACATTTGTCCGTGAGTGTTTTTACTGGTGAAGGGCAAACGCTTTGACTTTGTTATGACCGTGGTTGTTGTTAGTGTTGAACATCATTTGTCGGGTCAAGCGGGTTTAACGTTGCCAAGACCTTCGGCACTCGTGCGTATCTAATTTCCAGAAGTTCCGAAGCGTCAATGCCTGGCATCTTGGCCCTGCTGATCCCTCATCACTGAATCGAATCTCCTGACAAATGTATTGTACTTACCCTTACCAGCTTCTGCACCATTACTCCCTAGACGTCACTCTACTGGGCGACAAAACATCCTCAGCTTACCAGATTAACGACATGTCAGAATACTTCGACAAAACAAGCATAGCGTTGCTTTTCAGCTGCGACATCGCTACATTGCTTACAGTACGACCAGCAGATCCCAACGAAAAAAAAAATCTCACGGCCATCTAGGGTAGCTCATTACACCCGGCTGGAGTTGCTGAACAACTCCAGCGTCAGCAAGAAGGAGCCAAACCAATTGAAGTATGGAACTTCTTCAATTGATGAGAAATTGTGGATTTCCGTTTATTAAAAGAACGGGATACGGCCATATACTTAAATCCATCTAGCCCTCCCGAAAACATGTTTTTGCATCCTGTCTGCTCGGGTTGTTCTCATGGGTTCATATCCAGGGATACCTCACAAACGGTAGCAGCTTGAGAAGCTCCATGCGAAGACGATGTTGGAATTCAAATCAAGTTCTACTTGGTCCGTAGAGATATGTCTGAACGTCATTGCCTTTATGCCGACGTCTGCGCTTCTATCGAATTGTGAACCTGATGCATGCAGTGACGAGAGGATATCCAACAACATGTATCATCGATTGCCTGTAGAACAGAAATTCCCTGACTCGACGGATGGAAAAGACCAAGAGAGAATAGAGGTACTGACTTGGACAAATAGCTCCAGTTGCAACAACTGTAAGCACCTTCAGGCATAGCGCTTGTGGAACCCGTCACGATATTCAGATGGCACCTTGGACATTGTTGCAGCATCGAAAGCTTCTACAGTACTCATACTAGCCTCCAAGCAATAACTGAGATCAGAAGAGCGCGCAAACACGTGAGAGATAGACAGTCAGCATCCACTGTATGATAGTTGATGCTTGTGATATCTCAACGAGACATATCAAGCTAACACACTGGAAACCTTAGTTAACTTCAGCTTTGCAAGGCAATATGCACATGGAGCAGCTAAAATATCTCGACCAAAATTCGTGGAGACAACCAAATATATACATGTGCTCAGTAAGCCTGGGAGGGGCGAGGCTAATCTCAACATGGAATACGCAAGCGATACTGAGCTCTGAGGTCGATGCGTCGTGGAAACGAGAACAACGTGAGCTCTTCTGTTCGAGCTTGCATGGGCTTGGACTGATCACCTTGCTCCTCGTCTTGTTTCCACTGTCCAGATAGAAAGTCTATGTACCATGACCACTGGACCAAGATTAATCTGTGGCATAGCTGAAATTGTTGGCCGCTTTCCAGACCTGGGGTTTTCCAAGCCGTATTGGTCGGAACGTTGGCCTTAGTATAGTAACCAGAAGGGTCTTTGGGGATATAGTCATCCAGGTTCCCATCAAACCACAGGGCGGTACCAAAGTCCCTTTAGCCGCCAGGTCCGAAGATGCCGCGGAGAAAAATTCAATAGTTAGACTAATGCCCCCGGGCACGTTGCTCAGCCTTTCGGAACGAGCGCTTGGAGGGCCTCAAAATTCACAACTATCCTGCGCTTTTGCGTGATTTGCTACTACGATTGAAATGCCGAATTCGATGGGCATATTATGCAATATAAGATAGGTTTAGTCTATTCGATACTTGAGGATGGCGCAATCCAAAATGGAAAATGGCCTTATCGTTTGAGACATCTCCTCCCAAAAGTGGTATAGGTAGATTTCAAGGCCGAGCTGAGAACCCCTGCTCAATTGCCAATAATATGCTACAATTTGCTCTTTCAATTTCCAATTCGTAATCCAACAGTTGTGGCGGTTTCGGTCCGCGCCGTTCAACCTCCCAATTAGTGTAGATTGCGAGTCCAGGCCTTATGTCACGTACATCATCACCACGGACTATACTGGAATCATCGTGAGGGCTTTTGACTCCATAGCGTATTCAGCTGTCCAGGACTATGCAGCATGGCATAGCGTCATGCAGTTCTGTTCACAAGCGCTAAAAGCAATATCACCTCAGACTCCAGCTTCATCAGGAAGTCGTGATGATGACATTGTGACCAGAAACACCGCGATATTTGCTCTTCACCTTGCAATGACATGATCTTTGGACCTTCACGGTTAGTTCGTCCTCTTGTGGCCTAGAAAATGGCTGGCTGAAAGTAAGACAAACATTCTTCAGCAATGATAGAACGTGTGAACTAAACCATCTGGGTATTGCTTCACCGTCGTCTAAGCGCCCAACGGAGAGCAATCCCTTGATGAGACTTTCCTATCACACTCTCTGCGATTTCTAGTCTGTCTTTGAAGGCACGGTACTGCATTTGAGCCATGGGACGAAACCTATAAAAGGTGGAGGAGTTCCCGACCCAGAAGAAAAGAAACATCCTCATCAAGCACATCAGATCTTCTCAAGAGCAAACAACAACCAGCAAACTCCAACCCCCTTTCAAATCTATCGCAATGGCCTCCGCTCTCTCTTTCCCTCAGCAGCAGCAGCAGCCTCAGGGCCTGCCCATCCAGACCGCAAGCTCCAGCTCCGTGGACGGCGCTCTCCTCAGTGCTCTGGCAGCCTACATCACCACCGGCCCTGACGCCCGCAACACTACTGAGCAGGAGGTCCATGACCTGGCTGCTGACGCCATCTCCAAGCCTGGTGGCAGAGCTCATCTGGAGGCTCTCATCCAGTCTGAGTCTGGCGTCGAGCACAAAGTCTGGAAGAAACATGCTCCTGCCCACGGAACGCTTAAGCTGACCAAGACTGATATCACCGTTCACCTTGGTGTCGACTCCCTCAACCTCAGCTTCGATGCCACTGGTTTCAATGTTGCTAAGCCTGCTAGTGCAACACTTACTTCGTGAGTGGCTACCTACTACCCGATGCCATAGCTTACACGATGCTAACAAACCTATCAGTGGCACTTTCTACTACAATGACTTCCAGCAGTTTGGACAGGGAGATGCCACCTTCAAGCTCCACGTCAAGGGTGTAAGTGGACGACTCCCACTATCAAATAACAAGACTTAACACGCTGCAGCTCAATCTCCACGTCAGTATCTACCGTAACCAGGTCTACGTCGGACACTTTGAGTTCCAGAACGCCACCTTCACCTTCCCTCCCGGTGGTGTCGAGCTCAACGGCTCGATTGCCTGAGCGCCGTGGTCTTTGGCTTGGACATGTGTTCTCTGATCATCAGATGTCATTGACTTGGAACTGGTTTTCCTTGAAGTTTGCTTTAGTGTTTCTGTTTTTAGCTAGCTGTTTCGCTCCTTAATCTGCAATCATCATTCCCGGGACCAACGGACTGTTCTTATGAAAGTTGTGTATCTTGTAGGGGTTTGACTTGACTTGTAACCTCCAATCGTCTCGCTTCCCACGCTATCAACTAGCCAAGTCGGACCTTTCTCCACATCCTCAAGCACTCCTGTAGGTCCATTGAAACAGTTCCCTCCAAAGCAGTAGATGTATCTCGAATCATAGCCACTAATAACGACGCATGTGCAAAGTCAACTTGATCATCCTGAACTGCCTGGTAGTCAGAATGTTTCATACCACCGACATCAGCCCAAGCCTTCCACTTGTCCAGCATCCGACAAATATTGGCCGCGAACTCCCCATCCAGGACCATACGATGTAACATGAAACCGACGACATCCTTTACAGTGAGAGAGTCATCCCAATGACCTTTCCCTTGGAGCCATCGTAGGCAATGCTCAGCAACAAGCTTTGTGTCCCACTTGGGGCTCCGTAGGGCTTCCATCATGCGGTTGTCGCGTCTCAGCTGGACAGCTCTATGTTTCTCTCGCACTATGACATTTCATGTCAGCATGAATATGTCCCTGTATTCGATCGAGCTCACTTACTCTCATCCATCCGCTCCTGAGTCTCCTTTTGCATCCGAGCCTGTACTGCTGCTTGACGCTGAGCAGGAGGCAACAGTGCTTCCGCAGCTATCGCAGCTATCGCAGCTCGTTGTTCTTGAGCCTTTCGCGCAAACTTGTGAATGTCTGTTCCATGATCGTCATGCCTGGTCGCCCATGTTGGTGTCTCTGATTCGTCAACAATGCCTAGAACAACCAACACTCCGCAGGGCACAGTCGCCTTCCGTGCGAAGGACAAGATATCGTCTGGAATTTTATAGTTCCATAGAATCGTCTGACTGGATGTTCCAAAAGCAGTGGCTGCACTGGAAAACCAGACACCATCGGATTTGGCAGGCTGAATTCGCAGATGGTCGATGTAGAGGCTTTCTAGGTTCAGAGTAGTCTGGGCACCGTAATGGTCCTGCTCGGTCAGTGCAGTGACAAGCCCTGACATGGAAATCTGACAGGTGATTGCACTTGATTGTGTGGGGGCTTGGTTAGTTCCTGGGCGTGAGTCGGCTTCCCGGTCCTTCCCTGTTGTTAGTCCGTCCTCTGAATTCCGAGCTGAGTGCTCTGGAACCTCCGAAACGCTTCCAGCCTCGTTAGAGCTTTCTCTCTGAGGCGATGGGGGCAATCGGACCCAATATGGCGGCAAGTTGGAATAGTCTCTTGTGATCCAAGAACTAGACCAGGCAACAGTCAAGGAGAGATTGCCATCGGAATCATTCGACGGAGCGATTGTTAGCGCGTCTTGCCGACCTTCCGGAGACATCATCAAGCAACATCCTACAGGTGTCCAAAGTCCAGACGATCTCAGTAACTTCCATCCGTGCGGATTCGGGACAGCGCCAAGATCGAGAAGGTAACAGACGAGCTCATCGAAAGCTACCTCGACTTGAGGTTGTCGGACTTGATCAGCATATTCAACTCGCTGAGTCTTCATACCAATTGAGTGAGATTTCCAGTTGAAAGTGGTCCAACTACCGCCAGGGATAGAGCTCGGATGACGCGACAGAGTCCAGTACTCGGAGCGATCCTGGAACCTGTCCAGCGGCATGACAGCATAGCGCGGGAGCTCTATCTCGATGACTCTATTGACGATATCGCTCCGTGTAAGTGCTGTTAGACGACTATGCCGCAGCATACGCTTTATCTTGGAAAGGGAGATGAGCGTGGAGAGCGTGTTGTACAGAATTGGGAGAACTGCCGGGGTAGTTAGTCGCTTGGCATGCGGTATACATGGGGAAAAGCGCTATAGGTACCCCCCAAGACCGCCAACGGCACACCGATATAGGTGATGATGTCGGTTGGCGACTTGCCATTGTCTGCCATGCTGATCAGAGTCGCGACGATTGTCTCTTTGTCACGAAATATTTCGAAATTGGGAAAGGGGTTTTCTCAGAGTTCAGCTGAAATGAAAAAAGCCGGCTAGGCTGATTTGGGCATGATCTGAAGCTAAGACAGCCACATACCGATAGCGGAATAGTGTCTTTTATTCTCCCTTGCAGACTTGCAGTAATAGACTTCCATACGTGAAGATGTTCTTTTATAGATTGAAATGGCTATAATCAGGCATAATTCTTAGTGGTTGCTTGTGAGGCTGGGTTACCTGGATGGTCTCTCTATGGAGATGTTCGACACGGCCCCATGGCGGTGCAGCTACGTTTGTTGCATTTGTTGTTAGTCAAGATCGCTTGTAGTTATTTGTATAAACCTATTCATGAGAAAGCCAAAAATAAACATCTATTTGTTCACTTGTAAGCTAAACTTCCTGTTTCCTTGTAAAGAGTTCACATCGAATATGAAGACAAATGGCTCATGATATGATAAGAGCAGAGCTGCTTCAGGGTAGCTAGCGCGACGCTCCCTTGCAGCAAATCATGTGCCTGAGATTCCAATTATCAACTCATTGTTCCCCGCCTTAACGCCCAAAATTTTACAAACATCGCGCCTCTCCTTGCAGCCGCCTAGCATGTCAGAACAAATTGTAATAAGGAGCACTGCTTGATCAGACGTTTTCTAATTGAGTGACAGGCTGTTGATCTGGATTACGACTCTGCTATCGGAATTGTAGGTCCTTTCCGACCCCACCAGCGTCAATGCTCACAAAGAAAGCCACTCGACGACTCGTTAAATTTATCACTTCGATCAAGCCTGCTCCATTTTGCGCAAGAAAACGGACGGACCTACCACAGGTTAAGTGAAGGGAGTGAGAACAATTAGACTGGACTCTGCTTGACTGTGGCTGACCAAAATAGAGTATGCCTACCCAAATGACGATGTGAGCCCACCATGAAACAAACTGAGTGCTTAGTCTGACCGCATTGGAGATCGAAAACGATAGACTCGGTAAGAGAGCCCTTCAAGGCAGATCTTCTAGTACTGATAGCAGGTAGACTTGCAAGATGGAATGTATATCATTACGCTTGATGGCAAGAGGGCCTTGAATCCCGGAGCTGATACAGCCAAGAGGGTTTTAGATTTGGGTACCGGAACAGGGATCTGGGCATTGGAATTTGGTGTGTTTGTAATGAAGACTTATTGATGGAACCTGGCTAACTAAACACCAGCTGAGGAACACCCAGCTGCCGAAGTATGCCACTTACAGCCCTCCATTGACTAGCCTAATGTCTCGACAGGTGATCGGCGTTGATCTGAGCCCTATCCAACCTCCATTGTTGGTCCCAAATTGCCTCAACCTTTACAGTATCTATCTAACGTTTTATACAGCGTACCGCCAAACTGTAGTTTCGAGATCGACGACCTTGAGAAAGAGTGGACATGGACAACGCTATTTGACTTTATTTTCTCTCGCATGATGACGGGAAGCTTCTCGGATCCAGAAGCGATAGCAAGAAAAGCATTTGAGTAAGCTCGCCGAAACAACATTTCAACCTACGGATATTCTACTAACGCACTGTAGTGGTCTAAGCCCTGGCGGCTGGTACGAGATTCAGGATATCCAACTCCCCGTCTTCTGTGACGATGGGACTCTGGACCCAGAAACGTCTCCACTCCTGAAATGGCAAGAGTGCCTTATCGAAGGCTCTCGTAAACTTGGTCGGCCGCTCGGTGAGTCTGACAAGTACAAAGACATCGTCGAGAAGGCCGGCTTTCGTAATGTTGTGGAGACTATCTACATATGGCCTACTAACAGCTGGCCCCAAGACCCGAAACTCAAAGAACTCGGGAAATGGAACCTCATCAACTTTGAATCGGGTCTTGAGGGCGTGAGTTTGGCTTTGTTCACCAGGGTGCTTGGTTGGTCAAAGGATAATGTGCTATCTCTTTGTGCGGATGTGAGGAATGAATTGAGGAATCCGAAGGTGCATGGGTACTGGAAGATGTAAGTTGCTCTCGTAATTATGTCGTGCCTATATTGACAGTAGAAGCTATGTGGTCTATGGACAGAAGCCGGAGACGGTTGCACCTTGATAGAAGGAAAATTAGCCTTGAGCGAGTGCAATGTCGACGTTACGATAGCCACGGTCTTTTCTCCCTGACGTGTAGGATAGTGGAGCTTTCGCTGTTTATTCAGTCTAACGCGCCAGATCAATTGACTTGTATCGTCTTGCTGAGAAACGTGTTACGTGAAAGATGAGCAAGGAGTCCATTCCATGAGAGTCGAGACCATCTCAATGTCGCCATTTCTCAGACTACTCATGAACCTAGGATCATGGGCTGACCACAGTGAGTTCCGAAGCCATTCCGCCTTAGTTTTACTCTTGTCACGAGCAAAAACACACCATGCGACTGATTTGACATAACTGGTTCGTTTCCAAGATGCTGTACCCGAACCAATCGGTACCACCAGAACCTACCCCAGGTTTGCTTCGGGGCAGCCGGAGCCGGAGTGGACACCAGTCTAACCCAATCCTCGCCCCGGCAAAAAGTCAGAACACCATCTCGCCCCGTCCAACTAAACCCAACACGCACAGAATGAGGGGGAGAAACCAACCCTGCAGAATCCGGGGACGACATCGGACGGGCGCTGCATGCCGTCTGGGGTCCAAAGTCCGGTCGAATATGCATGCAACTTGACTTATATAAAGACCCATTGAGCTTGGCCCTTTGATCGACAGTCTTTCAATCTTGGCCTCAAGTCTCCACTGATCGATACTTGGACATTATGGACTACAAAGCTGATGAGAAGGTCGCTGTTGACCATGGTGACGAGGTTCACGATGCTCATGTCGCGGTGCAGCTTGCGCATGATGTTGAGAACCAGAAGTTGTCGCCATGGACGCCTCGTATGTTCAGGTTGTACTTCATCCTGGCTTGCGCATACCTCTGCGGTTGCTTGGTAAGTTTCTCACGAGAGGATGATGAGCTTGTCGCTAACGTGAGAAGAACGGATATGATGGCAGTCTTCTCGGTGGTATCAACGGCATGAAAGCATACCAGCGCTACTTCAACATGTACGTGAAATCACCAAGAAAAAAGACTTGAACTAACAATCGCAGGTCTTCCGAGGGTTCTTCGACCGGTATCGTCTTTGCCATGTACAACATCGGTTCCATCGCCGCCGTATTCTTCACCGCCCCTGTAAACGATTTCTTCGGTCGACGATGGGGCATGTTCACCGGCGCCATCGTAGTCATCATTGGAACATGTGTCCAAGCTACATCCACCGGACGAGGTCAATTCCTCGGCGGTCGCTTTATCCTCGGCTTCGGCGTCAGCTTCTGCTGTGTCTCTGCCCCTTGCTACGTTAGCGAGATGGCGCACCCCAACTGGCGAGGCACCATTACTGGTCTGTACAACTGCACCTGGTACATCGGCAGTATCATTGCTAGTTGGGTCGTTTACGGCTCCAGCTACATCGATGGCGACATTGCCTGGAGACTTCCCATTTGGTGCCAGATGATCACTTCTGGTATCGTTGCGCTTGGTGTTTTGTGGCTGCCTGAGTCTCCTCGATGGCTCATCGCTCAGGATAGAGTTGAGGATGCTGTCAAAGTCCTTGCTACGTACCATGGTGAAGGTGACGAGAATCATCCTATGGTTGTGTTGCAGATCAAGGAGATGACGAACCAGATTGCTGCTGATGCTACCGATAAGTCCTGGTGGGATTACCGTGGACTTTGGAACACCCACAGTGCGCGACGCCGACTTATTGGTGTCTTGGGTATGGCTGTCTTTGGACAAGTCAGTGGAAACAGTTTGAGGTACGTCCCAAGTCCTTGGCCAGTCTTTCGTTTTCTCTAACCATGTCTAGCTCCTATTATCTCCCCGTCATGCTGAAGCAAGCGGGTATCACCGACGAAAAGAAGGTGTTGGCCCTGAACGGCGTCAACCCTGTGCTCTGCTTCTTTGGTGCCATTCTCGGAGCTCGTCTCACTGACGTTATTGGTCGCCGCCCTCTTCTGATCTACTCCATCATCTTCTGCTCCTGCTGTTTCGCCGTCATCACCGGCACCAGCAAGCTCTCCCTCGATCAACCCGACAACGCCTCCGCTGCCAACGCCACTGTCGCCATGATCTTCATCTTCGGTATCGTCTTCTCTTTCGGTTGGACTCCTCTCCAGTCAGCATACATCGCTGAATGCTTGTCCACCGACATTCGAGCCAAGGGCACTGCCGTCGGTAACCTTGCGAGTTCAATTGCGTCCACCATCATCCAATACAGCAGTGGTCCCGCGTTCCAGGACATCGGTTACTACTTTTACCTTGTGTTTGTCTTTTGGGATCTGTTTGAAGCTGTATTTATTTATTTCTTCTTCCCCGAGACTAAGGATCGTACTCTTGAGGAATTGTCGGAAGTGTTTGAGGCACCTAACCCCGTCAAGAAGAGTCTTCAGAAGAGGGACGCGCAGACTGTTATGAACACTCTGAATGTGACGGGAGATACGAAGCTTGCGGGAGAGGTTTGATCTGGTCAAATGCCAATTGCCTCGTCATGTTCTAGTCTAGGTAGCCATACTGAAGATAACTCCATCGCAATCAATATGATGCATAATGCACCATCATTACTCTACAAACATTTGTCTTTTCAATGTGATAATTCAACCATGATCAGCTTCAAAGCAGTGACTAACTGTAAAGATTTCCCGAATTTGTTGTTTCAGACCCTCAATTGGCTCGCGATAATTTCGTATCGAATGTCAATTGAGTTCCTATTAAACTTGTCTGCCGATCGCCAAAGCCTCGGCCTCACTTCCCGATCTGCATACCACGTCGCCGCGAGCAATGGCACCTCATGACCTTGATCTGGACCCCAGTATTTCCACGGTCTCATGCCCATCAAGCTTTTGCACCAACCTCGCCCTCGCTCGCAGACCAAGCAAGGAAGTGTCCAATCGGACAAGGTCACAAAAGCTGGGGTAACTAACGCATTCATACCCCGAATGAATTCCCGCACCAATCACAAGCCTCAATTGACCTCGGACCGAGCATCCCCGTGATCCATCAGATGATTCACAAACTCCTCCTTCATTATCTCCTCTCTTCCCCACGTTCACGTCGGCCCGTACCGGAGCGAATTGCTGTTCAGTTCCCAGCGCAATGGATCAAGCAAACGATGAATGGCCTGCGAGGAAGAGGTTGAGGACGTCGCATGCAGTGAGTTTGCAAATCATGTTTGCCTCTCTCATGTTGCATGTATGTGCTGACTGACATTAGTGCGATGCTTGTCGTACCCGCAAGACAAGGTTGGGTGATCTGCCAGAAACTTTGACAGCTTGGCTGATAGCGATAGATGCGATGGTAACAATCCTTGCGCAACATGCGCGTCGATCGGTCATGATTGTACGTACGGATCTGAAGCCAACTCGTAAGCCTCACTCTTCAATCTGCTACTCTCCCCCAGCAATGTAACGCTATTGTAGGAGGAGCAAGAACGATCTCATCCTAGAAAGTGTTCTCCGGGTCGAGAAGACCCTACACGAGTTAAGATCTGCAATCGTAAGCCATGAGCATATCTTCTAGATGTCTAGCTTTGACCATTGTAGCCGAACGGTGTTCAACTTGCCAACTCACCTCAAACAAATCGCACCAACTCATTCTCAGGGTCCTCGCCAGATCTGAACCTTCGTCGGCAGAGTCATGCGATTCAAACACCGACCAGTCAAGACCAACGCGAGAATGTCAACAACTTGGAGAATGCCGTCTTGGACTCTATGCATACTTCGACAACGGAGTCGATACTCCAATGGCCCCATTTTGATGTCTTTCCGCTGCTCCGACACGATGGAGACTCAATTTTCTATCTTGAACAAGCAAGACCACCGCTAGCAGTTGCATCAAACCCCATGTACCCATACGTCGATGCAGAAGACATAACCTCGATGCTAGAGGCATTTGAACGAAACATCAACTTCTGGTACCCTTCCATGTCACAAGAGCAACTCGGCAACATACGTGGCACACTTCAAACCGGAATGCCTTCGGAGGATACGGTTCACTCTTGTCTTTGTTTACTCACATTGGCGTTAGGATGTGCAAGCCAAGCTGCCGAAGACCTTCGCTTTACCGCCGAACCCGACGCGGCAGAGAAAGACAGAAGACTTCGGAAGCGGAAGCTAGGTGATATCTATTTCCAACTGGCTCTGAAGAAGCTCCACGTTGCCCATCTCCAGGTTGACTCTGAAAGCACCCAATGCCTCTTCTTCACAGCGTAAGCTCAGTTCGTCTTCCAAAGTGTGTTTTTTCTAACTTGCCAGACTTTACTTCGCCTCACTGGTCCGGCCACTTCAGGCCTGGGAGTATCTCAGTGCTACAGCGACGAGATGCATGCTGCTTCTATCCTACCCACCGAACACGCACGACGACGAGGCCGAAGAACGCATTAGAAGGATATTCTGGTCTTGCTACATTCTAGAAAGGCAAGCCATGTTCCATACCTAGCAGAGTTAAGATAAGGTACTAATGTCTGGCTTAGTGACTACATGGCTGAGCTCTCAGCATGTCCCCCTTCAGGAATCGCTCGCGTAGAGTCTTCCATCCCCCTACCAAGTACATATCACACGCACCCATCCGAAATTGTAGAAGAGGAATCGTCCCTCTACTTCTTGGCCTGTATCAGTATGCGACGTCTCCTCAACAGAGTCCATCAACTACTTTACGCAAAAGATACCGGCGCCGCTTTTGATCACACTCGCTTTCCACGCATCGTAGCTGAACTCCAGCGGCAACTGGATGACTGGCGCGAAGTTTTACCAGCGTCGTTCTCCTTCAGCATCGATACAGAGGAGGCAGCAACAGCGGCTGGCGGCTTTCTTCGGCAGCGATATCTCACCTGCAAGGGGGTGATCTACAGACCGTACCTGATGTGGATGCTGAGTACTAGCTACGCTGAAACGAGGGTGCCTTCAATACCGGATGCTATGCAGAACTGCAAGTTATGCCTTGATGCGTGTTTGCTACATGCGTTAGATCTGAGAGGGTTTCCGCAGACAGTTCTGATTGATACCTGGATATGTTCCTTGTCGTAAGTTGATAACAGCTTCCGACTGACATCGTACTAACAAGTAATAGCATGTCAGGGGCAATGCTAATAATTCTCGCTGCATCACACGTGCCTGCTCTGAAAGAGTTCATAGGTTCACGAGCCACTCTTGTAGGGAGTCATCTCGAGAAGTTGTTTCGGAACTGGCGTGAGGTATCATTTGGTGGAGATTCACCGAGTGTTGATCGGAGCATGTGGCTCATACAACAAGCGGATAGCTACATAAGGGATTGCTATTGACTGAACTTCAAAGGTATCATATTGTGATGCTGCACACAGCAGGTGGACAAGTATTTGGGGTAAAGCTCTGCGTGGAGCTTACGATGTAAATTTAGTTGTGTTATACGAAACAAATGAACGAGAATATTCGTCTATCTACCGACCGCACACCTGCTACACCCGTCAGATCCCAGGCCTCTTGTACCAAATATATCTTGAAGGGGGTGACTGGGTGAAAAGAATAGTCTCAGAGAGCAAGCAAACGTGTTAACAAGGTGCCAAAACTCAAGTCTTTTCGTCCCTTAAGATAAAAAGTGGATTGGCCTCCCCCAGACTGTAGCTTAAAGCTTCCTCCCAAGCTCTTGATGGGGTTCAGTTGAGGTCGCCTTTGCCTCCTGAGTCGCAATGCTGGAAGCTGATTTCTGGTCCACACTCAGCACTGTGATCAAACTTGTCCGCCGGTCCGATGAGAAGGTATCCATCCCAGGTTCCACCGTGAGTTAGGTTCAAGCATTCGGTGCCGCAAATCTTATGTCCATGCCTCTTGATATGGCGCTCGATTGCTCCTGCGATGGTTTCCTGCTCAGCAGTCGTGTCACAGTGTCGGCCGTTAGACTGTGATCCCCCGTGTTAGATTCTTATTCTCTCGTAAATAAGAGGCCGTTGCGGTTGACTCACATGATAGCGGTAGAAGAGGTTGCCTCCCGGGCCAGCGCGTCCAGTAAAGGTGGTACAGGTCTGGACATTTGAGGCATGCTTAATGGCAGAGCCTGAGCTTTAAGTTAGCTCACAATTCACATCACATTATCGTCTACTTACTTATCTGGAGGATTCCGTCCTAAGAAAGCAATGTTAAAGACCTGTAGCTGTTTCAAAGGAGTTTCTTTATTCTTACCTTGAGAGCGTTCCCGATCACAACGCAGTGAGAAGTAATTGCAAGAATTCTCTCGCAAACCTTTGGAGACGTTAAACATATGGAAGAATCTTAAGATACGTTGACTGACTCTAACGTTTCTGCGCTTTTCAAGGGCAGACTCTTCAGACTCAAAGTCTTCAAGATGGTACAGCGCGATCAAATCCGGCATCTCAACGGCCTCGGTCACCTCTGTGGTGGGCATAGAGTAAACAGACAAAGGCAAGGACATTAATACGAAGAAGCTCATAAGGGCGAGTTTCATCTTGACTGAGGAAGGCAACGAGATTCGCTGCCAGGAGTGTTGCGGGAAGAATGTAACCTGCTGACGCTTGAACGATTCGATCGAGAAAATGAGGCTCGAGCTGAGGTTCTGGAGTCATTATTGTGATATGAAAGCTAGATCTTGGAGAAGAGCTGGTCCTTTATAGGATTTTGATGCAGATTTTGGTGATATGACGAGAGCGGCTGCCGAGCTTCAAAAAGTCCGGACATGAAGGTATCCCTCGGCGTGAAAGTGAGTATGCCACTTTAGCCGATCCTTGCGAAATGCTGTTGGCTCTCCAAGAACACAGAAACTTACGAGAATAAATTAATCACAGAACCAACAGTATTTGACTGTAGCCAACAACGGTTCTATTTATGTGAAAATGTCCATGCGCCTCGGGTGACCGGCACGGCCTGCAATGATGCACGCCACGAATATGCATCTCACAATTTGCAGTATCCGACCATGCCGGTTCCAAGGACAAATAAATATGTTTTCAGGGCTCTCCAATAACTTCTAATTATCACTCTATATTTTCAAGTCCGTACCGTGTGTAAAAGTACATATATCAATGTCAAGACCTACGTGCTGAGTCATTGCTATAGCCTTGCAGTAGACGTATTTCTCGGCTCTTTCTATTTAACAAAAGTCATCTACTGAAGGGTTTTATCCCTGTGCTTCACTGTGCATCTTAATACCAGTAGTGTCAATGTTGGCTGCAAGCACAAACCTTCATCTTCTACGCCTTTCGGTTGGTCATTCAACGTCGTGTGATCCTCTCTGTGTGCCGAAATGCCGCAAGAATACCTGTCTCGACGATTAGACCCTTGAGCAAGTCCAGAGGGTTTTGTATTCTCTATCGCCTCCTCTTGCTACGTTGGTGGATCGACGGGTCTGGTTTCCTGGAATCCTTGAGGGCTCCTTGGAACTCCTTGAAATAGGTACTGTTGAAAGAAGCATGTGACCAAAACTTTGCGTTATGGGTAAGAGCTCTCTCGGGTTGGTTGAATTTGAAGGCCAAGGACGCAATTGCTGAAGAACATTCCAGCCGTCTGCGAAATAGGTTCACAGTCAAGGTTCCCTGATACCGAAGGAGATTATGTTCAAGTCAATGAAAGGCTTCCACGAAACCATTGAACTTACAGTACTTCTACTTACCAGTCATTTAGACCACAAGAGTAGAGAGCTTATAAGCGGATGAGGAGAAGCTGGTTCTCTCAGTGTCTGGCTAGTGATGTCTAAACACAACCCTAAAGTAAATAAGCTCATTCTCCTGAGCTGTGTTCCCGGGACTTTGTAGACCTCAGTACCATTGGTGTTAAAATCACTCAAATTTTCTAAAGTAAATTTGCTTCATATGCTATCGACGTAAGGAGTGCGTTATAATAAGTTACATGTAACAGATGAGTACAGCGACCATTATGCCGGTATACGTAGCATTTACTGCGATTAATATTCTGTCAAACTTACCTGACTCTAGCACTGGTTCCCTAATGATTCATTCCTTGAAATCTCGTTTGACTGCTGCCATTCCTAACTCCGCTGTCAAGTACGCTTAATCTTCACAGCTCACGGTCGGCTTGCTTTTCTTTCTCCTTCTCAGCTTTCTCCTCTTTCTCCTTCTCTGCTTTCTCCAAACTCTCCAAATCCCACATCATGGACACTGGAATAACAATAAGCTTAGGCCCGCATTCTATCTCATAGTCGAAGCCCTTAGTCGGTCCAATGAGTAAGTGACCGTTCCAAACCCAATTGTCAGTAAGGTCCATGCATTCGGTGGTACGAAGAGTTGATCCTTCCCTTTTGATATGCCGCTCAATTGCCCGTTCAATCTCGATTTGTTCGATGACGGTGTCGCAGTGGCCGTCATCAGTCTGCCCTACTTTAGCCTTCTGGCGTGAAGTTATATAAAGGCGGACGAACCTCATACTGATAGTAGATCTCTTTGTTTGGGCCGGCGTACCCACTGAAGTGCCCGCATTCTGCCAGACCAACGGCATGCTTGATTTCGAAAGCTAGATACTCAGTTCACGTCCATATTCAAGTCACAGATCGTCTGCTCAAACTTACTCCATCGGAGCCATATTATCTTCGATCTATACGTTAGAATGGTTCTTTCAGGTAATAGAGACTGTTATACCTTTAATCCCTCTTTAAACTCATGTGATGGCGCAATCGCATCCCATGCACGTTCATATATCTAGAAATCAGCTACAGATCTGTAAAAGATAGGAATTTGATATCACTAACAGATCTCCGTTTCTCGGGCACCTTGTTCTTTGGCTCGCCATGCTGCAGTTGTTCCAGTGCATGAAGCAATTCAAGATACATCTCCTGGTTCACCGCACTCGGCCGTGGACCATTAGCCGAACCTGTCGCCTCTAAGATAGGCTCCAAGCAAATAGAGGTTGGCAAAGACGTTAAGGACAGTAAGATCATAAGTTTTGGATGCATCCTTGTTGATGTAGGTAATCAGGTTCGTTACTATGAGAAGGAGAGGCACGATATACCCGGCTGCTGCCCGGTTGAATCTATCGATAGTGCCGGAGTCGAAAGAAATGTTTGGTGACATCACAATATGTCGGGTGGTATTCCAAGGGTTTTGTGGCTGGATTAGCGGTTTGTTGGTGAAGGTAGAAGAAATGGGCGAAGGGGACTGGTGATATGACATGTGCAAACGGGGCTATGCCAGGTGATATGTGCCGGATATCCGGCGGTGGAGACCTCGTTGGTTGAAAACGCGTTGTCACTTACGAGGTTCATGAATATTCAGAACCAACATGCTCGAAGAGAAACAGTCCATTGGTCGATAGTGCAGTATCTCTCCATCTCGGAAGTTTGGCAACTCTAATGTGAAACGCGGCCACATAATCACATATCGACCTTATCTTATCGCCAGCGATCACTATCTTATTGAAATAATATTAGAAAGGCAAGGTTAAAAGGAAAATATCTATATATTTAGAACGTATACATTTAAAAAGATACATATGGGTTAAAGTTAAGCAGTTGTCTTTGTATTCCGTAGCTCGGCCAATCACTGAGTAGCTTCTTAGTCGTTGCTGATCTCCGGTACCCGACACTACGACATGGCGTAGGCATCCGAGGACCATAGAGTGTTTTCTTATATATTCTTATGTCTTGTATATATGATATTTCGCTGGAGTCTACCTAGATTCTGATGTACCCTCGACCACACAGAGTTGTTGGTATAAGAACTAGGCGTCGTGCTCGGGGAATGTTCAGCCATGTACTTCGATGGAAGACTGACTTGACGTCTGACACCGACGCCAATGAGACTTCAGCCCTAAGAGTGGACCTCCATTCTAGACGGTAACTTAAGGGGCTAGAAGCTTGCCTGGCTTCCTAATAATAGATTTTGATATGCAAACAAGTCCTCTAGTCTGTGAGTCTAGAGACCCGTCGCCCATGCCGAGAGAAGTAGAGAAGCTCACTGCCGTGACCAATGGAATAACATGGTTTTAGAGAGTAATGCACTTTGTTGCTCATAAGTATGCCTTGTCATGCATGATTTGTTAGCATGTTCTAACGCTTTAATTATTATGGTTGGTGAATTATACCAGCCTTTTACTAACACAGTGCCTGACTTGAAACATATTTCACTACTCTTGTCTGTTACTCACATATAGATCGTTTCCACGTTTTCTCCCTACAAAATTTTGTAAAAGCCGTCCCCTTCTATGACTGCTCTCATCAGATCGGACGCCAGCGGCACGTAAAGATTTCCTCTGACCTGTTCCGCTGTCGGGTAGTTACAAACAGTCTTGCCCCGCTCCGGCTCCGACATCCCCGGGCTGTTCCCCTCTAATCCCAATACGATCTGGTGCATTCAGGCTGTTCCACCAAACAAGACAAGATCAACACCAAACGAGCCACAAACCCGCACCTATCATGGATGCTAGTGGAGCCCTCTCTTCCCCGAGAGTCAATCCGAAGCACGTGTTGGGTAAGGACCAAGTTGTATCACGATGCGGGGGCTGTGCTATCACGGAGGAACAATTGCAAGATAAAAGTCCAAAACTTCCCGAGACTTGGTCTTTCAATTCATTTCAATCATTCTTCTTTCACCGTCAAAATGGGAGACAGCATTCAGCATGAGCCGAGGGGCATTTCTCTCCAAGAAGATCCGTCCCGCCCGGACTACATCAACGAGGCTGTCTTTAGGAGAAATACCCTCCCCACCCGTTCGTATCATATTCCTGACACCTCAATCTCACTGAACGGAACATGGGACTTTTCTCTCGCCGGCACAGTTCTCGAAGCACCTGAGCCAGGCGCAAAAGATGTCGCTTATGGTCAGATCCAAGTCCCTGGCCATTGGCAGCTTCAAGGCCACGGAAAGCCCTGGTATACCAATGTTCAGTATCCAATTCCCGTCTGCCCGCCATATGTCCCTACTGAGAACCCTACGGGAACATATCGCCGAGAATTTCATGTCCCGACGGGTTGGGCTGCGGATTCTCAGCTGAGATTGCGCTTTGATGGCGTTGATAGCGCTTATCATATTTGGGTCAATGGCACCCTGATCGGATATGCTCAAGGTTCAAGAAATCCTTCTGAATTTGACATTTCGTCGTTTGTTAGCCGAGAGGGCCCAAATGAGCTCTTTGTGAGAGTTTATCAATGGTCTGATGCGACGTACATCGAAGATCAGGACCAATGGTGGCTGTCAGGTTAGTAGCTCCCGAAACGCCAACTTGACTGATAACTAACCAGTTCAGGTATCTTCCGAGATGTATATCTCATTTCCTTCCCAGCTGCCAGAATCGATGATTTCTTCCTCACGCCACATCTTGACACTGACTACAAAAACGCTCGGCTCGACGCATCCGTCGACGTCTCTGCTCACAAGGGCGTCATTGTTGAGCTCAAAGTTTCTGAGCTTGCAAAGAATGGGGGAGCTATCATTGGATCTACTAAGATCTCTTTTGATGGACAGTCAAAAGCTACTCTCAGTCTTGATGTTGAGGATCCAAAGAAATGGACAGCAGAGACACCATATCTATACTCAGCAGAGATAATACTCAAGTCGGCAGACAAGCAGACTGTCATTCACCAAGTCCAGCAACGCGTTGGTTTCAGAACGGTCGAGCTGAAGGATGGCCTAATGAAGGTCAATGGCAAACGCATTCGTCTCCGAGGTGTCAACCGTCACGAGCATCACCCTCTTCTCGGCCGCTCTGTTCCTCTGGAATTCGCCAAGCGTGACCTTCTCATTATGAAGAAGCACAACATCAACGCTCTTCGTTGCGCCCACCAGCCTCATGACCCTCGCGTTCTCGATCTCTGCGACGAGTATGGCCTCTGGGTTATGGCGGAGGCTGATCTCGAGTGCCACGGCTTCTACGATGCTGTTGCTCGACCCCTCGACATTCCCGAGTCAATGGACTACGGCGAGCGAAAGAAGCTTGCTTTCGGAAAGGCTGCAGAGTTCACCTCCAACAACCCCAAGTGGAAGGAGGCCTACCTTGATCGTATTCGCGCTGTCCTGAACCGCGACAAGAATCACGCCAGTGTTATCATGTGGAGTTTCGGTAACGAGGCTTTCTATGGTGACAACCACAGAGAGATGTTCAAGTATGCCACAGAAGCTGATCCATCGAGACTTATTCACTATGAGGGAGATATGGAGGCCGAGACGACACACATGTATAGTTATATGTATCCCACGGTTGACCGCCTGATCAAGTACGCCGAGGAAGAGGGTGTCAAGGACGGCAAGTACGAGAAACCCATCGTTCTCTGCGAGTATGGACATGCTATGGGTAACGGACCTGGTTGGTTGGAAGACTACGAGCAAGCCTTCCGGAACCACCCTCGGCTTCAAGGTGGATTCATCTGGGAGTGGGCAAACCACGGTCTCTGGAAGGATGACCATGAGGGAGCAGGATATTACGCTTACGGTGGTGACTTTGGTGACATACCCAATGATGGAACCTTTGTCATGGATGGTCTTCTGAACAGTCAACATGAGCCTACCCCTGGCCTGACAGAGTTCAAGAAGGTTATTCAACCTGTTGGGTTCTCTTTCAAGGATGGAGAATTGAAGATTGAGAACTGGCATGACTTTGCTGGTCTGGACCACTTGACTGCATCTTACAAGGTGGAGCAGTTTGGCCAAGAGTGAGTCTATTTCCTTCCAAGTAAATTTGAGGACGCTAATGATGAAGTAGGCCAACACTGATTCACTCCGGGTCATTCGACATCCCTGAGATTCCAGCTGGCGAGACACGTTCCGTATCTCTTCCAGTCGACGCCAAGCGATACAACAAAGACAACGAGGTCTACCTGACAGTGACACTATCTCTAAAGCACTCCACGGCTTGGGCGTCTGCCGGCCACGAGATTGCTTGGTATCAGCAGCAGCTCCAGGCTCCTCAGACTGATGCCAAGGCGGCTCTCGCCGCAAGCAACACCCTCACTTCTAAATTGTCGGTGACCGAGAAGGGTGCTACTGTGTCAGTCGTTGGCAAGAACTTCGAGTTTGTCTTTGATCGCGCCTATGGTGCTCTAAAGAGCTGGGTCTCAAACAACGTGACTGTTCTCACCTCTGACCCCAAGACCCAAGCCGCAATCATCCCATCGTTCTGGCGCCCCAAGACCGACAACGACGTCCCTGGAGCCGTTCCCTACTGGGAGCGGTTCGGTGTTGAGCAACTGCAATCTCAACTTCGATCATTCTCCGTTGACGCCTCCAGCTCAGACAAGGTGATTGTGAAGTCACATACCTTTATCACTCCTCCGGTTTTGTCCTGGGGATGGGACTGTGAGATCGAGTACACAGTGTATCTCACAGGAGCTCTCAGTGTCAATGTCACACGCCTGTCACCGACAGGGTCGTTCCCTGAGCACGTTCCCAGAATTGGTCTTAACCTCTATGGTAGCAAGACCCTCGAGCATGTCAAGTGGCTCGGCCGTGGACCTGGAGAAAGCTATCCCGACAAGAAGGATTCTCAACGGGTTGGAATCTGGAACGTCGAGTCCGTATCTGAACTTCAGACTCCTTATGATGTTCCTCAAGAGAACGGTAATAGGGAGGACACACGATGGGTTTCTCTTCGAGACTTCAAGTCTCCAAGCATTGGACTACGTGCGACGCGATTGGATGGAAAGAATTTCAGCTTCTTGGTATCGCATCATAGGGATACAACTATTCATGAGGCTAGACATCCTCCTGATTTGAAAGAGGATGATGCCGTATTTATTAGGCTGGATAGCAAGGTTGCTGGTGTTGGGTCGGGTGCTTGTGGACCCGCTGTTCGTGAGGACCTCATGGTCAAGACTGAGGAGACGACCTTCGGATTCCTGCTGGAACCGCTATGAACAAGATTGATAGATATTATGAGTAAGTGAAAAGATACATAAATTCGAGCGATAGACGTTGCTATGACACTGCCCTTTCGATGTTTGTGGAATTGTGCCGATCATCTAAAGCTCCGCCAGATTGCCTACTTCAACTTTCTCTCAGACTCGATTAAGCCTTTGTACGGAATAAAGAGGAGCTTCATATGGTTTCTCGTCATTTCTCTTGCCATGAAACGGACATTCAATGGCCTAAGATTGTTTTAGATCCCCGTCGTCGGTGATGATCAATTCTTGGTTGCAATTCGAAACCAAGAAGACCACCCGAATCATCATCGCTAACTTGGCCGAGTGGTTAAGGCGCTGTGTTTAGGTTCTTATCAGAAACCAAACCCGCAGTGGGAAACCGCGGAGGTTCGAACCCTCCAGTTAGCATAACAAGCGATTCTTTTTTTGCGTTTTATGAGACTAATTTGATTCTTTCTATGCCAACTGTACAATAGTGACTGAACGCACCCGTAGAGTTACATGTACCATGACGCGACTCTCCAAAGTCCCCACGTCCCGCCGAAAAGAGCAACCCAAGACAACAACCCTTTCGCGATAAATACATACTTCACGATCTGGAAAGTTTTTTTCTCATTCAATCGAGGAAATGGTTCACCCGGAACATCTTTACCCAAGAATTTGCACAGTGGCTCCCATCCATCTTCTGCCTTGAACTGGAGAACCTCTCGATTCCTCTTCTTCGCCTCAGCCAAAACATCCCCGTTGTACTTGTTGTACATTTCCGCCGAGAAGATATTAGCTGAGTCATACTTCTCCTTGCACATCTTGATGCTCTCCATATTGAGTGTATACCACATCCGATCAGCAGACCAGAGCAGGCCAACCCAGTAGAACCAAGGACTGAAGAAGAACCAGAAGCTCTCCTCAGCGCTCTTAGCCCAGACCTCGGGATCGGGTCTTTGATTGAGGACAATCTTGGCATCTGGGTATGCGTCCATCATGTCTGGTGTGAAGTACACAACAGGAAGATCGCAGATGGAGCGATGGCCGTGAATGAGTTGCTTGACCATCTTTTGCCGAACTTCAGGATTCTTCTCGCGCAGCGCGGCGATGAAGAGGCGTAAACGCGAAGGATGAGGGAGGATCTCTGCCATGTGCATACATGGTCCGCAGTCTAGCTTCTCAAATGCCGCTTGCATTGATGATGTGGCTGCGCGAGGGAGCCCAGCCCCAATGACAAGGAGAGGGACTTCCTCAGAGTTTGGGTCACCCAGGCCTCGAGAATCCGTAAGGAAGCGCATTGCCACAAATAGCGATAGATAAAAGTCAGATAGATTAAATTGTAGGAAGCTAGAGAGTCTTTGATCCTGTGAGATTGGGGAGCAGTCGGTTTTTAAGCTCACATAATATTGAAGCATAGAAATAGTGCTGACGCCAAGCGGCACAGCGAATCTATTGTCAGATTCTTGCTGACTTTGCATCAGCATAGCGCCTTTCAAATGGCCTTACATGCTTGTGCCCATCGTTTAGCCTTGAATTGTTTCTGTAGAGCATCGGCAGTTTCCATTTCGAGTAATTGTGAGACTCAAGTGGTAGAAGCGCTAGTCACAAAATTCAAGGGCATGCTGGACACTAAAACATAGCTTTCCGGTCCAAATAGCTCGGCTTACGTACCCTAAATACATTATTACAGCCTCAAAGGCCTTGGAAATGGCCTACAAGGTAATGGAAACCAATCACAGGAACGACAAAAGATCCTTGGCTGCGGATGCCGCAGTTAAAATATTCTGGCTTTTATAGTAAGCTTCAACCCTCACGATCGTCACATGTGCGGCCTCTAACTTTAGACTACCATCGCTCCTCTCACCTGACGGTCCGTCATCATGTTCAACCTCGGCTGCTAATCGAACTGGGAGACCACGGCATCCAAGCTGCAGGTTCATAGCTTAGTGTTTAAAAGTACCGAACTTTTTGAAGCCACAATCTTCTTCTCTCTCTCTCTCTCCCGATAGTCCCACGGCTAAGAGTAATAATTACATCATGCACATATTGCTAAGTACATGCTCGACTAAACAGATCTGATCCTGGATGTCGATGGAAGATCGGCTCTTTGTTTTCGCGGTCTTTTGTCATGGTTGTTGTAGAAATCTCCCCAGAGTCTCACCTTACGTGACGCCAATGCAAGAAATCAGGGGAAATGCCCGTTGTGGCTTGAACTAATTAAACATCGTGGAGTCAAAAGTCGCATCCGCCGATCTGCCGTCAAGTTTTAGTCTTGTTTTCTCTCATCACTCGCCTATAGACTAACTCAATAGGTTGAAGGCTATGCGCTCAGACGCTGCAGATTTTAACCTGACCTGAAACAAAACAAGCCCAGGTGGGCCTCAGTCCGCTGTGTAACCTGTAAGCCAATACGAAAAGAGACGGTTTTCTTTTCTTTGTATACTCTGAACCTTGCTGGCCAATTGGAGGACTGGTCTTTTCGTAAACCCGATATTGAAGGTGGTCGCCTCGATAGCTGAACTGCACCATGTGAGCTGAAAGTACGGTACAGTAGGTGTGCCGCCTGCGGTGCGATGGATCTACGGGCTGTGCGTCTGATGTCAGTCCTGCTAGAACAAACATGCACCAGAAAAGTAATCAATAAATAATATGACATCCTCCAGCCGGCTTGCTTCTGTTCCAGTTCATTCACTTCATTCACTTCTCATTCTTTTCCATATCTTACAATTATCATTCGTTTCTATACCTTTCGCTACAATGAAGTCCTTTTGGACACTTGCTTTTTACCTCGGGAGCGCTAGTGCTGTCGCCATCTCCCAACCAGCATCGAAAGCTGAGACTCCCGAAGGATCCTTGCAATTCTTGAGTCTCAGAGCCTCAGCTCCCATCGGCACTGCTATCAATCGTGACAATTGGAAAGTCACCTGTGATAGCCAACACCAGGGAGATGAGTGCTCCAAGGCCATTGATGGTGACCGCAACACTTTCTGGCATACTAATTGGGCTGCTGGGGCCACCAATGACCCAAAGCCTCCTCATACCATCACTATCGACATGGGCTCTTCCCAGAATGTGAACGGCCTATCTGTTCTTCCTCGACAGGACGGTAGTGATCACGGTTGGATCGGCCGTCACAATGTCTTTCTAAGCACAGATGGGAAGAACTGGGGCGACGCTGTCGCAACAGGAACATGGTTCGCTGACAACACTGAAAAATACTCTAACTTTGAGACTCGCCCTGCTCGCTACGTCCGTCTTGTCGCTATCACTGAAGCAAACGGCCAACCGTGGACCAGTATCGCCGAGATCAATGTTTTCAAGGCAGCTTCTTATACAAGCCCTCAGCCTGGCCTTGGACGCTGGGGCCCAACACTTGACTTTCCTATCATCCCAGTAGCTGCTGCAGTTGAGCCTACGTCTGGAAAGGTTCTCGTTTGGTCTTCCTACCGAAACGATGCGTTCGGTGGCTCCCCTGGCGGCGTAACCTTGACTTCGACTTGGGATCCTTCTACGGGTGTGATTTCTCAACGCACAGTGACTGTCACCAAGCACGATATGTTCTGCCCTGGTATCTCCATGGATGGAAATGGGCAGGTCGTTGTCACTGGTGGCAATAACGCTGAGAAAACAAGTCTTTATGACTCCTCTAGTGATAGCTGGATCCCAGGCCCTGATATGAAAGTTGCCCGTGGCTACCAGTCATCAGCAACTCTATCGAACGGTCGCGTATTTACTATCGGCGGGTCCTGGAGCGGCGGTGTATTTGAGAAGAATGGTGAAGTCTATGACCCATCTTCAAAAACATGGACTTCGCTTCCAGGAGCTTTGGTCAAGCCAATGTTGACTGCCGATCAACAGGGCATCTATCGCTCAGATAACCACGGATGGCTCTTCGGCTGGAAGAAGGGATCCGTTTTCCAAGCTGGGCCTAGCACCGCAATGAACTGGTATTATACTAGTGGAAAGGGTGATACAAAGTCGGCCGGCAAGCGTCAGTCTAGCCGCGGCACTGATTCAGATGCGATGTGCGGAAACGCTGTTATGTATGATGCAGTCAAAGGAAAGATCCTTACGTTTGGCGGGTCCCCAAGCTATCAAGACTCTGATGCCACGACCAACGCTCACATCATCACAATCGGCGAGCCCGGAAGCACACCAAAGACGGTATTCGCTAGCAACGGCTTGTATTACCCACGAACCTTTCATACTTCTGTTATTCTCCCCGACGGAAACGTTTTCATCACTGGCGGCCAACAGCGTGGCATTCCTTTCGCCGACTCAACTCCTCAGCTTACACCCGAGCTCTATGTCCCCAACGATGACACTTTTTACAAACAACAACCGAATTCCATTGTCCGAGTCTACCACAGCATTTCCTTATTACTCCCTGACGGCAGGGTTTTCAACGGTGGTGGCGGTCTCTGTGGCGATTGCAATACCAATCATTTCGACGCCCAGATCTATACACCGAACAATCTTTACGACTCTAACGGAAAACTTGCGACACGTCCCAAGATCACCAAGGTCTCTGCTAAGAGTGTCAAGGTCGGTGGCAAGATCACAATCTCGACAGATACCAGCATCAAGCAGGCTTCGTTGATCCGGTATGGTACGTCAACGCATACTGTTAATACTGACCAGCGTCGTATTCCATTGAGTCTGAGAAGTACTGGAAGTGGGAACAGCTATTCGTTCCAGGTTCCAAGCGACTCTGGTATTGCTTTGCCTGGGTACTGGATGTTATTTGTGATGAACTCGGCGGGTGTCCCAAGTGTTGCGAGTACTCTTCTCGTTACTCAGTAAAGTGTCTGTCAATCCCGTTTCTCGGAGTATTTCTGCTATCTTTTAAATCTTTTGGCATAGGATATTGCATTTAATCTTTTAACTTCATTTTCTATATTTGTATCTGAGGGACATCAGGGGCCCTTTTTGTTTGCCTTTCGTGCCTTACATACATTCAGTGACATTTGTTCAGCTCAACTGTAATAATTAGAAACAGGTTTCTTGACCAGAATTAATTAATTACTGATTGGATTATTCTGTCTTCATATTTTCAGTGCTCATATCCAGCAAAACACGAGTCAATATCTTGCAAATAGTGATCTCAAGCCCTGCAATGAATCCCCATGCAGTCAAGTTCTCAGAAAGGACCCTGTCAACTTTGCACACGGACACAGACATACAACTGTCTACTGGCCGCGACAGTTTATCCGAAGATTGTTAAGTTTTGAACATATTGAGATGTTAATTTTAATTAGATAAAGCTGAACATGTGAGGCTAAAAATGCTGCCCAAGATACTAAGGTGCTGGATTACCCGAGACTTCACTGAAAGCCAAAGATGATATTATGTATAGAGCTTTCCAATAATATCAGATATCATAGCGCGATCAGCATTGATTCTTCTACAGGCGAAGTAGGTATCGGTGTGCTGTAGTGCCAATCGATGTTGATCGATATGGATCCATTCGCAGCGCTCGATGACGACAATGACATCATCACCACGATATCCATCGTCCAATCCGAGCTGCATTTTCATCCTAGCAACTCTTGGAGCGACATGATTTGCATGAAACACGCTCAAAGACTACATACAGCAACACCTCACGTCTTAAGACGAAATTGCCAACTTTTCTCAACGCAGCACCAGCTACGGCGAAGCTCATCGGAGCCGGTCAAGATGAGTTGGATGGACAGCTGGAGTCGACCCTCCAAATCGCAAGCAACCCCAGCACCCTTCTACTTGTTGCCCGGAGGCGAGGCAACTCCCTACTGTCACTCTTGCGGCAGAGTGATTAGTACGAGACGAAATACCGCGACAGCAAATACCAATACGCCAGCCAAGTACTGCTCTAGCCGATGTCGCACACAGAAGCCTGGAAAACTGGACCGCGAGCTGGAAAAAGCTTTTGTGAAATTATTGACAGCCGAAGAGAGCACATCAGACGAGGTCAAAAAGCAGGGAAAAGGTGGCAAGCATAAGAAAGGGAAGAATAGCAAAGGCGACAATCGTATCTTGGTACCCTGCAGCGCAGCAGAGGAACTCGTCTTTGGACCGAGCCGAACGTCAATGGAGGGAGAAATCGAAGAACATGATCACAGCGACGAGGAGGAAATGAATGAAACGGAACAAAAGCAAGCGACATCGGAACCCCGATCATCAGAAGATATGGACCTCTTAGGCAACATCAAAGACGACAATCACATCGACGGCGACGTCCTCGCTCGCATGTCAGTCCGCAGTGGCACTCGCATTCGTCCACCACAATCCGTCTCCGAAGTCAACGGCAGCGTCGGAGGCGAAAAAGGCCGATCAGAACGAATCCACGAAACAGACGCGATGCTCGAGAAGCGAAGACAGGGACAGAAGCGCGCGAAGGAACGGGAAATGACAAAGTGCGCCGCACGACGCGGTGTTATTTTTGGGTTCACTGTCAGCGACGCGGGCGAGAAGCGACTCTGCGAAGCAGTGATGGCGGGAAAGATCGTAGAACCGAGCTTTGCAAAGGGGGACTGGGCGATAAGATGGAGAGAATGAGATTGCTCGGACGGTTGGGTTGGGTCATGTAACAGATATGGTTCGGGCCGACAGGAGTCAATAGAGATGCTGATTGTGTCTGATTGATTGACAATGCTGATGACGCGGTTGCGATAGGGATCGACGCCCTTATCACGGTCCAAGCGTCGATGACAAGACGCTCTAGAGCGAAGAGGGAAAAGATACTGGCTATTTGTAACACCGGTTCATTGATCACCAACTAATCTGCTGAGTAACGAATATGAGTTATTTTACTGGTAGATCAAGTATTGTCTTTGACTTCATTTTCGACAGACGTCGGACGAGTTTCTGGATGCAGACATGGAACATGCCAAGCAACACCTACGACATGACCGACCGACCACGGGCGAGTGGAAGTGGAAGTGTCTCCATCGTTATCTTTCTATGGGTCCGGGGTTTTACTCCGCTGAAATTTGTCATCTGTGATTTGCAAACTCCGCTGGAATCAAACATGTGCACGTAACCTCGCCTCGCATGCTTTACCATTTTCAATACATTGGAGAAGCCATCATGTCATAGGTATTCCAGAAACTGGGAAGATCATCTTTTGGTCAAATTTGACAGGACGATAAACGAGAGTCTAGAATCATTTTCTATGCGTTTGGTCCAGGGGAAGTGGGACGATATCCAGGTTCCCCAACCTCATGCTGCAGGGTTCAGCTTTCAGCGCTCCAGGCGGTGCAAAGGTTGATGCTACAGAACACAACTTTGGAGCAACTTGGCATGCTCAGCTCGAAGCGACTGCAACGTTGTTATGCAAGGTTAATCATTAGCCCTAATTCCTCCTACAGGGCTGGATGGAATGCAACCCAGAGTCTCAATAGTCAGTGAGCAGCGCAATTCATAGTGCCATACCGCGGAGAGAGCGAGAGCGATGGCGTGCGTTAGCCGGAAATAAATCATGACATTACAGCAGAAAACGGTCAAGATCAAGGAGAGACAAGACAGACTCTGCTGGCTAATGGTTGTCCGGGGTACGCCCTAACTCCAAAAGCAGTAGGTGGTAAAATCCAGGGATCAGCCACTGGTCCCAGCGCGCTAAATATTGACGCACTACAAGCAGAGGTGGCGCCACGATGGATGATAGGGCGTGGTGAAGCGATGGTGATAGGTGAGCTGCTGGTTTCAGCGCGTCGGATCAAATCTAACGGAGTTTCTGCTAGAACAACCGAAAAATCGGGACCGAGCTTACGGGCCGGGTTGGTTGAGATGCCCCTGTCCATCACTGGCAAAGCAGTGTGAAGCTGAGGCCATCTTGTTCTCCAAGGGCGGCTTGGGTGATTTTTTCTTCAGAGCTTCCTCTTCTAGAATAATCCTCGTATGAGCAACCAACGGCGTCGTTATCCCACCTGCTGAAAAGGTCAGTGAGACGCTGGTTGTGAAGCTGTTGATCAATGCGACAGCTATCGACGCCATTTTTCTGGTTCTGGAAGGTCTGCAGTGAGTTAATGAACCAGTCATGTTCTAAACGGCCGAGTATCCGACGAACAATAGCCAACTGCTATTAGTTTGCCAGTCTGCTCAGTAAGCTCAGCTCAATCAACGTCACGTCATTAATGATCGTCAAGGAGAATATTCCCTAAACAGACAAAATCACTCAGGGACCCAGAGATGATCAGCCCTGCCAACATCTCCCCCGGACGATTTCCGCCGGTCCACTGTGCATAGCTCCCAACGCTAGACTTGGTCCAGTCACACAATGGCACTCCGGTTAGCATACCCGCTGAGAAAGTCGCCAACGAGTCAGTTGTTCTGGAAGCCAAACCCAGTCCCCCTTTACCCCAGAGCCTCAGCCCGTTAAACGCCTTTCTCACCCCGGATTAGACCCATCCAGATAAGCGTCAAGGATCCTCACTCGCAAGGGACCATGTGGAAAAGGCACATCCTTCAAATGCAGATCACTCCCACAGACATCCGTGCCTGGCGTGTGTGTCTGCACCTTGCGTTGCTTTTCCTAACTTAACTAAAACAAAAGTTCGTCCAAAGTTCTTTTAACTTTAGTTTTGACAAGCCTGCGGGAGCGCAGGATCATAGCCCGTCATGAGCCTCAAGTCGGATATCATCAGTGCCATGGCCATCACGTGGGTATCGGCCTTGCTGGCGCTGATTGCACGTGTCTTTGCGAGGCGCATGACAAAGGTTCCCTGGTGGTATGATGACTACTTGTGTGTCGGTGCCTTTGTAAGTCTTGCTTGTGAAGCTTTTGAAGGAACGTTGCTGACGTGTTTGTAGGTTGTTGGCATTGGTTACAATGTTGTGATGATATACTGTAAGACTACCCTTTGCTTCGATGATGCGAATGGAGGCTGACTGATGTAGGGGCCTTGACATGGTACCTTGGCACAACTATTCCCGACTCCGTCAGCGATGAACGATACGAAGAGATCAACCTTCACGCACGACTGATGCAGTTCCTCATCTCCCTCACATACTCATACTCGATTGGTCTTTCGAAACTCTCTATCCTTCTCTTCTACTGGCGCATCTTCAAGCAATCAGCTATCCGAATCCCGATCCAGGTTATGCTTGGCATCAGCGGCGCTTGGCTCATCCTCCGTACATTCATGGTCATCTTTCATTGCATACCGGTTCAGGCCTATTGGGACAAGTCAATCGAGAACGCCGTCTGCAAGATCAACGACTCACAATTCTTCTTCGCTACATGCCTTACTCACTTTATTCTTGATGTGGTCATCTTGGCGCTGCCAGTCATTGAAGTGTTCAAGTTGCGACTTCGTCTGGGACAAAAGATTGCTATCACTGCCCTGTTTGCCCTCGGTTTCATGTAAGTCTTCTGCCATCATGTCGCGGTCTTATACTGACAAACAAAAGTGTTTGTCTTGCATCCGTCTTTGTCATCGTCACTGCCCTGCAATATGATCCCGCATCAAGACAAATGCCCCGCGACGTCGCCACGAACGACATGTGGGGAGGCGTCGAGATCAATGTCGCCATCGTCTCTGGATGCTTCCCTCTCCTCCGTCCAATCTTTACCAAGATCCTTCCCAAGAGATTCCTCAGCTCTGCTGGAAGCAGTCATCCCATCAGCCGCACCACTCACGGTATTCGTCTCACTACCATCAACCGTACCAACAAGGACAAAGAAGAAGACGAAACAAGCTCAACTCATCAGCTGGCTGACCCTGAACAAGGAATGCCTGGAGAGTTTGAGATGATTGATGGAAAGGGGGGACCTCGGACTTTCATCTCAAGTCGAACTACCGAGTCGCTCCATTCACGGGAGCAGGATATGGCTGGGATTTATGTGCGGAATGACGTTGTTCAAGAGGTTGAGGAGTCCAATTATACATACGCGATGAAGAGATAAGAATCGCCTCTTATTAATACTGTTTCTTAATTATTATACCCATATACGAATACATCTCCATTTCCTTATGCTTACTTTCTTCTGTATTGTAAAACAAGTTTAGACCACATTTTCAGAAGAATCTTTTGATTTGTAGATGTAATTATCATTTATGCTTATGTACTGACGTTCAATCATTTCGGCTGAGATGAAGCTTTCCATCTCGTTCTGGCCATCGTCGTTGGTGTTGGACCATATCAGCTTTGCTCTGCCCCGACTCCGAAACTTCTCTCGATCTCTCAACTGCATGGAGAGCCGATTCAGCTGTAGAGAAAGGGAATACAGACTCGGCAGCCGTCTCTTTTGCCGTTGGTGTTTCAATTGCACTTCCAAAATCGTCACTGCCTTTCACTGTGGCGTTGTTTGAGTCTCCCGTCGAGGTGATGAGACAGAACTTCTCTTCTCCTTCAAACAAACATTGCCAACCATCACAATTCAGGACCTTCTATATCTTTCAAGCATAGGTGGTTATTGCTAGCAATATTTCAGCAAGAACTCACCTCGTCACGCTATATCGCATATCGTCATTGGCGTCAATATCTCTTCATGCCTCTTTGACAGGCTCTTCGCGCATTGCCACCCGCTAACCCGTCCAAGATTCTTCGTCGAATTAAAAATCACGCCGCCATACGATTCCACGAGTGACTGCAACAACCTCTACGGCGCTTTTGACATTTCCATCAAATCTGGATATCGAATTATCAATACTATTGAATATATTAAAGACTTGAGAAAAATAGAAACCCAATTAACTAATCCTTAATAATATAAGACCTTTAAAACAATGCAATAAACACAGCAAGGAAAGCCAGCATATCCATCACTTGCTTACTAGCACCGCTAACAGTGATAGTGCTAGGGGAAGCATCCTCAGAACCGGGGGCATTAGAACCACTGCTGGAACCTCCATTAGTGCTGGGGCTTGAGCTAGAGCCAGAACCTCCAGAGCCTTCGTGAGAGCCACCGTTGGAGCTTGAGCCTGAGCCTGAGCTGGAACCGCTAGAACCGCCAGAACCAGGAGAACCAGGGGAAGTACCAGAGCTACCCGAGCCACCAGAGCCACCGGAGCTGCCAGAGCCGCCAGAGCCTCCGTTTGAGCCACCGTTAGAACCTCCATGGGGAATAGTGGAGTTCGAGCTCCAGCTGCTGCCATGGGGAGCAACGTCCTGGTGCTTGGATGGGCAGTTGTCTCCAGAGCAAGCAGGAACCTGATTGTTGCACTTATCTGGTGTACCCCATGAGTTCTGCCAAGGTAGATATTGAATGCCTTGAGAGCAGGCAGCACAGTCAGAAGCAACAAAGAATGAGTCGTAGTTATACCAGTCCTGGCATTGCTGGGGCTTATACACCTGAAGGTTGGCACAGTTGCCCCCTGAGCAATACTGGGGAATGTATTTGTGGCCACCAGGACAGGGCACAGAAATGAAGACCCACTGACCATCACAGTCACTGCCGTTGATCTGAACGAAGATGTAGACAGTAGAAGAGCCAGGGAAACATTGGCCATTGACGCAGACCAGAGCGGTAGTGATAACCTCAACGGCTGTGGTGGAAGCTCCAGTGACGGTAGTGGTTAACGTGGTAACGACAGTCTGCTCCTCAGTCACTGTTTGAGTTACAGAATCGGTGACTACAACATCCTGAGGAGCAGCATATACTGTGAGGAGTCGGTTGCTGGGGACGTTCTGACGAGCACGAAGTCTCCTGGCGGAGGAGTCACCACCGCAGAACTGGCTGTCATCTCCAGGGCACTCAATGTCGCACTCGTCAAGGTTGACCCGGCTAGCATCGTCGCCGAGCTCATCACCACAGTAGCAGGTGGTATCATAGACGCCAAAGTAAGCGCGTCCAGTACACAGCCCGGCGCAGACATCAAGATCCATGCGCTCGCTAGTCTCGACAGAAGTGAACGAAGGGAAGCCAGCAGTAGAGCCAACGCATCCGAAGAGAGTGAAGTCGAGAACACTGCCGGGAAAGCCTGGAACAGAGGTGGCAGAAGAAGAGGCGGCGGCGGTAGTAGTTGTAGGGAAGACGGTCTCACCATTGGAGTTGGTGGTAGCACCCTCGGAGTTGGTGGAAACAGTCTCTGTGGGGGAAACTGTCTCACCTTCAGAATTGGTGGTGAAGCCAGCAGCACCAGAAGATGCAGTGTCAGTGGGTCCAGTGAGGGTGACCGTCTCGCCCTCAGAGTTGGTGGTGACGAAAGCTCCCGTGGTCTCGATGGCACTCTCAGTTGTGGCAGTACCAGTTTCCACAGAATTGCCGGTTGCAATGACTATCGAAGAGATAGGAGTTGAGGTTTTGCCAGGCGCTTCTACCAGGCTGGCTCCTTTGAGGATAATAGGGATAAACGTGCCACCACAACCCTGTTCGAATGTGATCTTGTAATCGGATTTCAGGGGAAATGGATTAGTAGAAAGATCAAGAGAGCCTGTTCCGGTTACTGGCTGCTGAAGTACAACCTCGCCATCGACGAGAACTCGATAAACACAAGGCACGTCCCGCTTGCTGAGCACGTCCACCTCCCGCTTGCTGTTGCCGCTGCCGTCTTTGCCGCTGTTAATTAGTGCAGTACATTGTTCAAAGCCAAAACAAGGCAAGTAATTCCTGCAAGTCAGGACAAGCGGACCGTATTGAATCGTAGAAGGTACTGTGAATTTGACATAGCTAATGGAGATGTTTGGTGGTGTAAAGGGAAGGGCTCTAATGAAATGGCGACGGTCAAGCGAAGAACCATCATAGGGTTCGGGAGCCATGAGACTATATTTAAGTAGCTAATGTTAGGAGGGCTACAACATCGCGGCAGGTTGTGAAACTGACATGCTATCACCATCAGGTGGCGGGTAAAAAGAAGCACCCTGGCCCAAGACGAAGTCTTTGAGATTGAGCTCAACGGACGCTACGCTAGTTGGAGCAGCGCTCGTGGTGGTTGCCTCGACGGAAGAAGTAGTCTCAAAAGCAGAGGTGGGCGTCTGCGACTCGATAGCAGAGGTGCTGGAGTTGGTGAACCTCTTGAAATGGTGGATTTGCTGAAACTGACCCAAGGCACCCGAGGCACAAGCCACGAGGAGGCCAGATGAAAGACGCATGATGAAAGAGTGACTAGAAACGAATGGAGAAATTAATGTAAGAGTGAGTGTGGTGGAGAGCTAGGATAGAAGCTGCGGGACGACAGTTGGAAATCCTCCGGACTTTAAAGTGCTATTGTAAACACGTTGCCTGTCTAAAGGGGAAATCGCAGCAACTGGTAGGCATGCAGGGCCGTGCTTTAAGACATTTTATATATGCAGATAATTTCTTCTGCATCAGGCTGAGAGCACTTAGACCCCTCATTTCAAGTTTGTATCGATGATTGTTTGGAATGCAGTTTGCCAATAGTCGGCACCAAATTCCGGCCTGGCTATTAACCTGGATCAGGGATTGTTCGTGGGGACTGCAAGAATCCGCAGGGAAATAATCACATTATCCCTGCATTACCCTCCATGATATCTGGTTTGGACTCGACTACATCAAATCCGGTAGCTTAAAAGAGCCGTTCAGCCGTTGTAGATTCTTGTGAAACCTTAAATGCCCTGGCCGTTAGAAGCTAGAAGAGGGATTTATACCGGGTTTCCGTGTCTTAGATTGGTGATCGATGGAGATAGTTACAGACGTCAGCGCATCACCCCGCCAATGGTCAATTGGATTGTTTGAAACCCAGGGCTTTAGGCACTTCTCTATTCAATGAGACAGCAACGGCGAGCCTTGCCATCGCTGCGGTGATAGTTGCTGTAGGTGCATTAGAAACAGTTGTTTCTTGATGTTCAATTACAGGAAGACCCTCGGCTCGTGGGTGGCGTTTCTTGAAGAATGCCCAGCATTCCGCTCACAGCGGTTAACGGCCGACTTATCCATTAGCCTCCCCCTACAGGTTCAAGGGCCAATCGCCTCAACTAAACCCATATCTACCTTTAACGGGCCCATAAGAGCAAAAGGCTACCTTAAGGGGCGAGGAAATACAGTAGACGGAAGATCAGCGAGTTTTGGTGTAAGTCGTTCCGCTGTTTTCCCTCACCCTGAGGGGCTATAAATAACTTAGAATTATAATTTCAAGGATGCCCCCAACTGGTCTCTTTGCGACCATGCGACGTGGAGCAAGGAATGACGCAATGGTTCCTAGAGACGCATGGTGCACTTGCGCAGAGCTTAGTTCAAACGCGAGAGCTTAGGGCTAAAAAAGTTAATGCGATGTTGTGACAGAAGACCAAGGAGAGGAGTTATGAGACAACAGGAAGTAGTGGGGATTGTTATAGGGCTGAAGCCGGGCATTAATAGACTGGTCTGTGACAAAGGTATGCCCAGTCAGCCAGTGAATGAATTCAGCTGCTAACAAATCGCGAGATCACAATCATCAACCCCGAAGCTGCATTGGATAGTTAATCACAGATATCCATATACATGAGAATCAAATCACTGACAATGATTCCCTATATAAATGTCCTCAGGCCCGGTCACTGGACTCAAGCATGGCACACGTTCCGCAACTGCAAGCCGAAAATGTCAGACTTCCGCACACGCATACCTTGCAGACAGATTACCTCTCTTAGCAAGCTCTACGATGTGCTGACGAGTGAATACGGAAACATGCACTATAAGTTGGAGACAGAAAAGAACGAAAATGGTGAGCTGTTCTGGGTGGTTGGTGTCTCGTGCCATTTTGCGCGTGATGTGCGAGAACTTTTGATCACGGAGGGGGTTCTTCGACAGCCTGCGAGACCACGGGGATTTACAGCAGTGAATGGGCCAGAGACTTATGGAGATTTATTGACTGAAGTGGTTGATCTCACTGGGGATGATTCGGATGAAGAGACTCCCCCGGCCCTCGAGACTCCGAACCCGGTGAACCTACCAAGAGGACTGACTCCCATATCACGCCAACGTCTTCCTGGCGCAGAGGAAACGCCAAAATACATTACCAAGGCATTACAGAACAAACGAGAGAGCCCCGATAAAACACAACAGAGCGTTGTTGCACGAATCTCAGAACAACATGGCCGAGTTGAACAAGGACCAATCGCAGCATGCAACAGCGCAGTCGGCCAAGAAGACCGTTCGACAGGGAGGATCCCGATATCTATGCTGCTCGGGGAGCCTCAACCTCGAGCTTGATTATGTCTGGAGATCGGCCAGGCCATCTAAGTATTTGCAGAAAATTTGACCGCGCAAGTGGATAATTCGAGTTCTCTTGATTCAGTGTTTGTCCCTGCGTGCAAACGCTGGGCACCTTAAGTAGCTTACAGGGATGTTTTAGCTACAAATTTCTTGTGTAACATGGAATTGGGATAGAAAGAATCCATAGAGCAATTGACACCCTTCTGTTATCGATATCACATTTGCACCGGCAACTCTTCGGCTCGAGAGGTTAAGCATAACTTTGCGTAATGCGGCTGACATTATTTAGAGTAACCATGGCGAAGGTGGCTATTACAAAAATAACACTCAGGCACCACTAAGCGTGGGCTTTTGGGCTCACAAGGCGTTCTTTGGTAGCATTCTGTGCCTCGTCAATGAGACTAATGCTTCAGCTGAATGCGTGGACCGGTCTGGACTCTGCCCGTGAGGAGTCATATTTAACGGTGATAAGTCCTCTCAAAATAAGCGAAGCTTAGCGATTCCGTAAATAAATTAAGAAAGTATCTGCGAACAGCATCATAAAGAGTTGTTGGAGCACCTTTTGAGGATTGTGATATCGAGATGGCCAGTGGTCCGCCCTATAACGGTTACCAGGTGCCGCCTGGTCCGGGAATGTCTTACCAGGCTGCCCCACCACCAACGCAGCAGTACTCGCAATCCCCTCACTCTCAACAATACTCTTCACCTCCGCCTCATCAATATGCTCCCAGCCAGCAACCGAATTATCAATCGACTCATCCAGGCAACGCGCAGCATGCTGATCAAACCCCGCAGCCGCCTCCAGCCCAATATGCGCAGTCACCACAAGGCGTGCCTCAGCAGTACGCGCCAGCACAACAGCACAACTATCAGTCCCCTCCCCCGCCAGGCCGCTACCAAGTGAACCAGCCCGCGCAATCACCTCAGGTCCAGCATGCCCCATCGCCGCAAGGTCAATATCCTCAGCAGCAGACGCTAGGCCAGCAGCCCAGCTACCAGACGCCGATGTACGGTGTCGCAGCCCCACCAACACCTGCGCAGCACCAGCAGCAGTACCAGCAACAAGCCGCTCAATTCGCGAGTCGGCCCTCCGCTCAAGCCCAGCTACAATCAACCGCTCAATCTCTTTTCAAGTCCGGAAAAGGAATTCTGGGAAATCTCGCTAACAACATCAAGTCAAAGTACCCCGCTTCCTCACCTTCCGGTGCCCCCGCAAGTGCTGGGACTTCATACACTGGTGAGCCACCGAAGCCGACGTACAATCCAGCACAGCATTCTACGCAAACACCTTTGAGCCCGGCAAACTCATTCCCGCAAGGATATGGCCGAAATCAGCCTCAACAGGCGTATTCCAATCAGGCACCGCAGACACCGCAGCAGAGCATCCAGGCCGCTGCTCCAGGCTACCCTCCGACTCAGCACCAAGCAGCGCCAGCGACATCCCCAGGTCAGCAACCTAGCGCACCCGGTCAACCGCCTCATCTGAGCTGGCAAGAGCGGTTAGAGGCTGCTCAGCACCCAAGTCTGGAGTTTCAGCAATCGCACGCGAATGCTCACGCAGGTGTACAGGGCACCGTACCTCAGCCGCTAGTTCAATCACCACCAGGTGCTTCGCCATATCCCCAGCCCGTTTCGCACCATCAGCAGTTGAATCCGTACCAACCCACACCTGCGCCGCCAGTCCATCAATCTGTTCTACAAGGAGCGGGCTCTGCTGCCTCACCTGGGTATGGCCAGAACCGTCCTCAAGCGCTTTCACCGCATCAACAGCACCAGAGTGCTCCTCCTCAGCTTCAACAACAGGCATCATGGCCACAACAGGGCGGCATTAGTGGCTCATACAACCAGGCACTGTCATCGCCTCCACTTCCGCTGCAGACCGCTCCCCAATCCGGCCCCCCAGTCGGTCCTCCCAACCATGGCTCTCCTGCTCTACCGCAACAGGCACAGTATCACCAGCAAGCTGGTGCAACCAACCCTCAAGACCCAACAGCGGCCCAGCAAGCTGGTCAAGCATCGCCGTATCAGTCTACCCAAGCCAGTGCTCCTCACCACACGCAACAGGTCCTCCCGCCTCATCAGCTCTATCAGAGTCCCCCTCCCCAAGGATACCCGCAACAGCAGGTACCTGCTCCTTACAATCCAATGGCCGCTCCAGGCTCGCCGACCGCGCATTCGGTACCTGTCCCACCGGCACAGAGTGCTCCCATGAGCCGCCCACAGGACCCTCCTGCAACACAGTCACCTCACCAGCAACACCATAACCCACCAGCCCAGCAGCTCGTTAGTTCAGCGACAGCAAGTCAGCATGAGCAGGCACCTTTTCAGGGCGTTTCTGGGCCCCCAGGGCAGTATTACGCACCACACCAGGCGCAAGCCCCGCAGACTGGAGGTGCGCCCGGTGGTGTCCAGCCGATTGCTCCCCCAGGCCAGGCTCACAGCTACCCGCCTCCACCACCTTCGCAGCAACCGCAGCATAATGTACAATCTGTCGCTGCACCAATGCCAAGTCAATTCCAACCGTACAGTCCACCAATCGACCAGCAGGCTCCATCGGCACCATACCCGCAGCAGCCTGAAGCCGCAGCTACGAGCCCTCCAGCGCCTCAGCAGGTTACGTCGCCTCCTAATCTGCCGCCCCTGGCTGGTGCGATCAACCATGGGCAAGTGCCTGCAAACTCCCCACCGGCGGTACCAGGTCAGCAGTACCAGCCATACCAGCGTGCTCCCGAAACGCCAAACTCTCAGCTTCCGCCGACCAATGCGAATAATGTACCCAGCCAACCCGCTGCTTATGGCTACCAACAAGATCCTGTCGCTTCTCTGTCTGCGCAAATGAACAATCTGAACGTCCTGAACAGTGGCCACCCTCCAACAGCACCGAATAATAACCCGACCGCACGACAGGATGGGCCTCGGGGACCGCCCCCTTGTCAAGCTACAGGCATGTCCAGCGACATTCTTCCATACTGTCCCGAAGATAGAACTGTCAACTACTCGCTTGATTGGTATCGTTTCATTGCTGTGCCACAGTATCTCATTTGCACGAGATGCTATGCCGAATATGTTCAGAGCACTCATCTCGCAGGTCACTTCGAGAGATACCATTCGCCCGAGGGCACAGGGTCCAAGTGCGGCTTCTGGTCTCCTCGCGCGATAGAGGTACTGTGGCCACAGGCTCTTCAGACCAACGACGTCAGGCCTCTACAGGCATGGATGGAGAAGAGCCTGACTCTCAAGCCCTGCAAGGGTAGGGTATGGACGACTGGTGCCGACGAGGTCAAGTGGTGGGGCATGGTCAACGATGAGATCGATGGCTTCATATCGTGCGAAACCTGCTACGAAGATAACGTTGCCGGCACGCCCTTCGAGTCTCACTTCCAACCTTACCGCCAACAAGGACAAGACGAAAAGTGGATGTGTGATTTGTGCATACCTTACATCGCCAAAACAGCAGTCAACATGGCAAAGCAAAATCACTGGAACGGCTTTATCGAAGCCGCAAAGGTGCGCGTTCAGCTTCCCGTATGTGAAGGTAGAGATGAGGAGTCCAACAATGGACATTGGATGCTGCCGCGTCGCAAGATCAAGGACCTGACGATCTGCGAGGCATGTTATCTGGATAAGCTCGCCTTGACGCCATTTGGTAACGAGTTTGAACGTCACATACGTGCAGAAGGTTTTGACGCCTTTGTCGAGTCGATTGGCCAGAGATGGAAGTGTAAGCTCACTGATACCGCTGTTAGCATGAGTATCGCTCTCGAAGCAGCCATCTACCGCCGGGACTTTGACGTCTTCTGGAATGCCGCCAATGCCATTTCCGATCTTGTACCCTGTACTATTCACGGCATCGTGCGTGGCAACTGGTGGACGGTCGCTGGAGGGTGTGACGAATTCGACGTCTGCGAGGCCTGCTACAGAGGAATCGTCGAGACGTCTGGCCTCAAGAGGTTCTTCGAGCCTGCCCAGCGCGATCAGACTGTCGACATCGTTTGCAACTTCTGTCCGGGTACTCCCCGATGGGGCTCGTTCATCACCAAGTTCGCCGAAGCTATTGACAAAGGTGTCTTCAGTCACTACTCTGACTACGTCAAGAAATGGGCAGGAGTGCCGGCATGTCCAGGAATCAAGAACAGAGGAAAGAGTAAATGGTGGGGACACCCAGAAGCGCTGGCCTGTCAGGACTGTTGGTTGAACTTTGTGGCCGACACTCCCTTGGGAGATTCCGTTCCCGTCAAGAACGTTTACGATGAACGTACCTTGATCTGTCAGCTATGGTCTCCAAGAATGCGCAACATGTGGCTCGCAGCTTGTGCCGCCGGACCTCCTGGATCGCCCGAGTCACAAAAAGCCCTCGAAGAGTTCAAAGCATTCGGATCAAGGCGTGTGCAAGTGTACAACGCGACCGTGCCTCACATTGAGATGATACAGCAGATGCAGATGATGAAGCAAATGCAGGCTATGCAACAGGGACAACTGAGTTTGATGTACCAGGGTATGAATGGCATGGCAGCTATTAGTGGCACTACGGATGGATACCTCCATGGTAATAGTTCTGTTGGATACTATGAGACAGAACATGGGGTGACGGCGGCGAACATGATGAACAACATGCACGCTGGGATGGCGGACGCGAATAAGATGAGTGATTGGCAAACGATAATGCAGTTGCAAGCCGCTTGGATGGAGGTTGAGTAGTCTAGTTCTTGAACGTTTGCTTTACCTCGACATAAGTTTATATGAGTCGTGTGTATTAGGTATCTAAAGTCCATGCCATTGCTGGCGAGACTCTACCCGTAGCATTTGATGTTATTCCCAATTTTTTTTCTCTTCCTTCTTTTCCTTCTTTTCACCCCTTTACGCCCTGAACAGCTGACGAATGGCACTTACTCATGCCCTCACAGGTAATTCCACCTGCAGATATCCAAGACCTCCCTCCATCGTGTCTGCCGGCGCAATCAACTTCTTCAGAAGAGCAATCGCTTCATTTCCGCCACGACCATCAGAAGTCCTCCGATCCTCCCAGTACTGATACAGCTGCCACCACCAGCAGTGAGTGACCCCATCAAGACCCTTGTACCCAGCGACTCCATCTAGTCCAACACGCTTGGCCCATGGCTTGTCGACGATGTAGTGGAGGCAAATTACTTCCTCGTCACGCCAAATGTTAGGGTGCCAATACCGCATCGTCTTGATGGCATTGTACTGCCAGCCAAGTGCATACCACTTATTCTCAAAGAAGAATGCCAAAAAGTCCTGATCTGGAAACATGAAAGACGCAAGCAGTGGCGTTGTGTTGAATACATGCAACATCCTATCCCAGAGCCCTTGGGAAGGATGAAAGATGAACATTCCACCATTGAGAAGCTTGTGGGGTGAAGGTGACGTCTCAGTAGGTTGTAGAGGCTCCGTAAGTGCACTTGGATGCTCAAGCGGCGTGTAAGCGCAATTCTCCGCCCTCCAATCTTCAGGCGCCCAAGAGTCCGAATCAAGATTACAAACGCAAACATGATTCGCCGCAATCCAATCGTCAGGCAAATGAGTTTCAACCTGGAATACAACATCCATGTTATCCAGCACCGCCATGTCAGCGTCAAGGTAACAAACAGCATCATACTCAAACAGCTCAAAAACACGAAGTTTCGTCCACGTATCAGCAAACCGCTCAGCGATGAGCGTCATCTTCACACCCTCCGGCGGGAGAAGATGTTCGCACTCACGCAGAATCATGTTGCATTTTGGCGCCTCAAGCTCAAGAACGCGCCTTGCATCTTTAGGGAGGTTGGGCGTGTAGAGCACGACGAGAGGGTAGATTGAGGCGTTGCGATGGAGGGTGTAGGCGAGGATGATGACGCCGGGGAGATAGGAGTCGCGGGTGATGAGAGTTGCATAGGCATTGTGCCTGGCTGCTTGATCTGCCATTTTTGTCGTATTGCAGAAAATTGTGATATTAGGGGGGGAAGAAGAGGTTGAGTGTCGTTGGCTGGATGAATAGGGCGGGAGAAAGAGGGGTTGAGATTCGTGCACGTCATGACCTAAATATGTGAAGTCATTATTTAGTTTTATTTTATCCCTTACATTATTATTCACGCTTGGTTAGGTTTTATGTCGTAAAGTGTGTGTTTGAGTGCGAAAAAGCAAATACGAGCTCAATGCAGTGTTACCTGGGGAGAATATCGGTGAGGCTTTGTTGAAGCCACGCCGTTTAACCCCAAGATGAGACATGAGATTATCGAGATTGTGCCTGAAATGAATCTAAGTCAATGACGCGTATACCCGCTGATCTGGAAGAGGCTCAGAACTTGTTTATCTAAGATCTACAAACCAAGAGATGAGCCAGATCTCGAGATCTAAAGTTCAGGTTAAGATTCAGTGTAACACTATCCTTGCACTGCAACCCAACACCTGAAACTGCGCACCAATTTTATCACAAACCCAGTTCCACTGCATTCAATAATTATCCACCGCCTGCACAATTGCACCCGCAGCGCCCTCATCCAAATCATCCAGCGCCTTCATATCCTTGTCATCTAGCTCAAACCCGAAAACATCAGCGTTAGCTTTGATGCGCTCGGGCGTATCGCTCTTTGGAAGCGGAATCCAGTTCTTCTGAAGACAGTATCGGATTAATACTTGGTTAGGCGAGACGTTGTGCTTTGAGGCGATGCTTTTGAGGGTTTTGTTATCGGCCTTTTGGTTGCGCACGAGAGGAGCGTAGGCTTCTACTATGATGTTGTTCTTTTCGCAGTATTCTACGGCGTCTCTCTGCTGTGCCCACGGATGCAGCTGATGTACCTGTGAGTATTTATGATGCGCGATGTTTGGAGACGTACCTCGATCTGATTGACGTGAGGAGGCCAAACTTTGGCGAATTGCTTCAACTCTTCGATATGCTTGATACCAAAGTTGCTCACGCCAATACTCTTGGCCTTTCCATCCTCATACAGCCTCTCCAATGCCTGCCACATCTCCTTTCTCTTAGCAGCGCCGCTATTAGGGCTATGAATGAGAAAGAGATCGACATAACCGCTCTCAGGATCAAGCTTCTCGATGCTCTCAATGCATTTCGTGTAGCTTGCGTCCACGGAGCCAGCAGCCTCGAGGATCTTGGTGGTCAAGAAAACGTCTTTCCGATCGACGTTGGACTTTTGAACAGCCTGACCGACTTCTGTTTCATTGGCGTAATACTGTGCCGTGTCGATGTGACGATATCCAGCTTCAAGTGCGGTGAGGCATGACTTGGTGCAGACTTCGGGTGGGGATAAGTACACGCCAAATCCGAGCTGGGGAATTTGGACCGAATTCTCCAGAGGCAGGGTATCAGATTGTGAGCGCTCCATCATAACAAAGAGAAACACAATATTTGATCAATAAGATAAAGTTTGGTGTTTTTGGACGAGAGGGGTAGACTGTGTTTTGCTGCTGTGTAACTTGTGCTGAGCGCGTAGAGATCCAGTCATAAGTCGTCAGTTGAGTCGATGACGTTGTCAATGCTCCTCTTTTTTCGCCCGCATGTAAAGCCGAGTCAACATTGATGCCATTGGAGAAATATGCTAAGCAAAGTGGTAATAACTAACGTATATAGAATTGTTTTATCTAGCTTAATGTTATCGTCAGCCATTCTTGGCTCATTTCTTAACTATGTGGACATTGAGCGCCACCGAAGCAATCTCACTCGTTTCGACATTAATTCCTATTCTATCGGGTCTCTGAAGCCCTTGCTTCTCCCAACTATCCATCGCCTGCTCGAATAGCACCGCCTGTTCATCCTTAGCCGGCCTATGACTACTCTTTCCCCTTCTCAACCGGCTCTCCGTCGTCTCGGTGATCCTAGCCTCCACATCTGTATCATGCATCACGTCTTGCTCGAATACGTAGGATCGGGTCTCGCAGTTCCTCCATCCCGTCCCAGGGTTCAGCCATGAGTCCTCCCAGTCATCGGCGAAGTAGTGCAGGAACCCGCCGTGTGTCACAAGAGCAACTTGAGGATCCGTATCGCCTTGCCCTTGCTCGATCAATTGTCGGATCTTTTGCCGGATGGTGATGCGGGCGTCGCGGGCGCGGGCTGCTATGGCGTTGCTTTCTGGGCTGTAGCTAGTCCCTAAAGCTTTCACGTTCCATCCGTCCTTGACTAGGGAGAGGTCGACAGGCCAGTTGCTCTCGGTTACAACTTTGCGAAGGACTGATGGATCACTTCCGACATCGCACGGGTCATCCGAGGTTTCTTGAGCGTCGGGGATGGCGATGATCCTAGGCTGACACTTGCTGTTACCTTTGAGGGCTGGTTGGAAGACCAGATACGCAGACTGGAGTGTTCGGCGGAGGGGAGAAGCAAGGACAAGAGATATCTTTGACTGATCGGAGAAGGCAGGCGGCCTCTCTCAATGCCATGTTGTGCTCTTCACCCATGGGAGTCAGGCGAGGATCAGGAAGAGTGTAGCAGCCTGTACCGACGTTGTGGAAGCCCTGCCCATGGCGGATGCAATGTATCACTGGTGGCATTATGAATGAGAGGTTGAGACGGGGAAAGGACGTGTTGCAATGAATGAGGCTGTTTGCGAGACCTGCAATATATGCCGGCCTGGAATTGAGAGAAATACATGTTGGACTGCTCCGCTGAATAATCTTAGATTTCTAATCAAATATCTTGATACTGGCAAATGTTGTTTCCAACACAAGTCGGCAATTAACTAACTAGTCTTTGTCGTATCACGGATGAATCTTGAAGCAATCAGATGCTGGTAGATCGTCCGGGGCTAACCTGACCTGGGAAGCCAAGGCTCCTGTCGTGCATTAGCGTCGTATCCACTGCCGCCTTGCCGGCAAAACCTTAGATATCGCAGGGACTCAGATCGCAATCAAGTGGTTTTCAGCTTCATTAGTTCAGGCTAGTGAAAGCTGATAGGCTGTCAGAATACCCAGCTGGTTCTGGTTTGCTTTGGTGTTAGTAGGGAACACAGATGAGTGGTAAGAATGGTAGATACGACGCCACCTATTGAGACGGTTGCGTAAAACAAGCACTTTACGCATGTGTCAGTATCTGTCTAATATTTCCAATGCTTGGGGAGCCGTAATTGGCAGAATGAATCTCCTACCCAATCTCCGTGGTCCGCCAATTCACCACATCTTTAGACGTTATGATGACAAATGTGTAATGGCTTTGCCAAAAGAAGTTTTACAAGATCCGTTGCCCTCATCTCTTTCATAGCCCTTTCACTCCTCATACACATCTCTTCCTATCCAGAAGCCAGCATTTGACAGACAATGGCACAACCATCGACGCCTCCATCGCCACTCCATCGGGCTCCCAGCAATCTCTCCGCAGCGTCGACTACCCTGTCCAGAGAATGTACACCCGGTGCTCCAGCTCAAAGTGTTGATCCTCCACCAGACAATAATGCTGCGCCAGACACTGCCGCATCGTCATCCGTCGTCGACGAGTCCCTCCAAGCACGCATCGAACGTCTCGGCCGTGAACGCCCTCCGATCTTTACAACCTGCTGGAGCGAGATAATCTTCATCTTCAGCATCTCCATGTCCCAATTCCTGACAGAATACTTTGTCTCGGGATTCACCGTCATCCTCCCAACTCTAATCAGAGAGCTCGACATCCCGCAAGCAGCCAGCGTTTGGCCAGCAACTGCTTTCTCCCTCGTCATTGCCAGCACCTTGCTTGTCTTTGGCCGTCTGGGCGACATGTGGGGAGGATATCCCGTCTTCATGTGGGGTCTAGTCTGGCTTCTTATCTGGAGTATAATAGCCGGGTTCAGCATGAATCCGCTGATGCTCGACCTGTGCCGTGCCTTGCAAGGGCTGGGAGCTGCTGCTTTCTTGCCTACTGGAGTCATGCTTATGGGCTCCTTGTATCGCCCTGGGCCACGAAAGAATATCGTCTTTGCAGTATATGGCACGTCAGCTGTATTTGGCTTTTTCGGTGGCATTCTCATGGCAGGCATCGTAGGTCAGTTCACCCGTTGGGGATTTTACTTCTGGATCGGCGCGATCCTGACGGCAATTACGCTGTTGACTTCGATCTTGTCCATTCCACGGCCTCATTCCGAGGACCAGACCCCAAACAAAGTCGCAATGGACTACCCTGGCGCCATCACAATCGTCTCTGGCCTCACCCTAGTCGTGTTTTCCATCTTGCAATCAGCACATGCCCCTTCAGGTTGGAGAACACCTTATATCCCAATATGTTTCGGACTTGGTGTCTTGTCGCTTCTTGCTGCAGTCTACGTCGAAACATGCGTCGCTACTCATCCTCTCCTGCCAGCTTCGATCTTCACTACTCCCTGCATGAGCCCTCTCCTTTTGGCTCTCTTTCTGCTCTACGGCACCTGGGGCATCTTTTCTGTATACGGAACACTCTACTTCCAGAACATCATGTCCGCCAGTCCGTTGCAAGTCGTAGTCTGGTATGTGCCTCTCGGTGTTGCAGGCCACCTTTTCAGCATCATAGAGGGCTTTATCTTGCACCTGGTCCCAGGGCGCGTATTGCTGAACATTTCTGGCCTGGGTGCAGTAGGGTCACAGCTTCTGATAGCCCTGATTCCGTCCGGGGGTAGCTATTGGGCATGGGTGTTTCCTGCGGTCATTCAGCACCATAGGAATCGATTTGTCCACGATATTGATGACAGTTCTTCGTGACAACGACCTTTCCTACAGCACAGCAGGGACTGGCTGGCAGTGTCATTAACTCTGTGTTGCAGCTAGGTGTAGCCTTTGTCCTTGCTTTGACGGATATCATCCAATCAGCAACGGTAGACGAGGAAGGGTTGGCGAGGAGCTATAAGAACACGTTTTGGTTTGGAGTAGGTGCTGCAGCGGTGAGCTTGCTGATATTGGCCATCTGGGGTAAGGTACCTAAGGCCAGTAGTGATTTGACCGCGGATGAGAGGGCTGAACTCATGCAAGAGGCAATTGCCGAGCAGCGAAGAAACTAAGACAGCAATGGCAGTACTCTTAGAGATACACGATGCCATATGTACAATTCTGCTGACGTCGTTGAGCATTGACCTGTGGAATCCTCGCTGGTGGGCTAGAGTTCTGTAGCCAGTATAGAAGATCATCCGGCACCGCCTTACAATCATGCAATCAACCAGTTGGTACCTAAGCTTTTCAGCCTTTCGATCCAATTGCAGCTGTCTTCCCGTTCGTAGAATTCGCCGTCTCTGCTCGTTAAGACAATCTTATTCTTACCCTCGCACCATAATGTCCTCAATGCCTCGAGAGCTTCTCTGGTGAACCCAAAGGCTCGATTTCCCAGAGTTCTTGGAATATTCTCTCTACCCAGGCACGATTCGTGAGTTCGCGCGTCTCTAAACCAGCAATAAACGCAGGCCATGCTGTTGCTGTGAATAAAGCATCTCCAGGGCGCAAATGTGATAAGTGGGTGATGATTTCGGCTGCTAGAACCTGTAGATCATCTGGCAACACCGTACTAGGCCATAGAGCAAGAATAATCCGTGAAAGATAGACACATACAGCTGTCCGGTGCGCGCATGCAACCATGGTCCGATGGAGAAGGTCATCGGCGGGCGACCGTGGCTGTAAATTGATGGCCCAGGCAGCTGGGTCGAATGACTTGGCAACGTGTAAGAGTTGAAGCGCGTCGTGCTGTCCTGGGTTGGTCGAAGTATCATGGAACAGGTAAGCGTCGGTGATGTCCAATATTCGGGTCCCTGCCTGTATCAAAGGAAGAAGAGCTGCCGGAAAGGATGAGCAATGGTTCCCTTCTGCATCCTGAAGCAGCGACATGGTAGTCGTCGATAGCTTGCCACCGTGCGGTAGATAAGAATTCGCGAATGATGACCCCAGAAGATCATACCTAGTTCATGTAAGGTCAAGAGAAATCAACAACTGGGCATGGCTACTTACACCAGGCAATTTGAGACTAACCATCTGCGAAGAGGGCTGAAAGAGGTCCCCTTCCCCGAGTCTGAGGCTATGAGCTTCCCAATGACCAATCTCGCACCGTTGATGTGAAACTTACAGCTGCCTCGCCCAGAGTCAATGAGCTCAAATCCGAGGAGTAGCAGGACCGCCGCCAGAATCGCATCGACGTTGGCTGAAGCCATGTTCCCGATAGCGGAGTTCAGCAGATAAAGCGCCCGCTGCTTGGCCTTGAGCGCATCATGGAAGGCTTCAGGATGTGATGTCGTATGGCTAATCGATGGAGAGCCCACTACGTCTGTGCTGTTCTGAGTCGATGCCATCGTTGTGAAGATGCTTGAGGGGCATGGTACAGATTGAGAGGCGTTTGACATATGCAAAGCAGAACTGGCGATGATGGCTTGCAAAAACATGGGCTGCTGGCACGCCATCGGAATCAGCAGGCGGAATGGGTTATGCTTTGGGCTATCATAGAGAACGAAGTCCTTACAGACATCACTAGCAACTTTCACCGGGGACCATTAGTAAGACGAGCAGCAAAGAGGGAGGAAGAAACCTACAATAGTCCAGATATCTCCTCGATCTGCAGTCTAAATTTTGCACAAGCGGGTCTGTAAGCAGACGAGGAGAACTTGACTCGGAACTTGTAAATGAGGGCGGCGTAGTAGACAAGGCACGAGAGAGTGGCGCTTGTCGAGTGCCGGTCGCATCTCCATTCTGGATCGGTCACATTTCAAGCGGCCGCGCCTACAATTGTGACATGACCCCGGTCTTGCGCCCATAGCTTGGCTGAGCAAGAGAAGGGTAAAGCACAGAAGAGTGCTACGCAGTACCACGAAACCCTACTGTACTGCAGAAAAGTCGTTGTCCGCTGCGCTTTAACTACTAGGTAAATAGGGCGCCGGTGAACGGTCAATAGATAAGATAGGGAGAGATAAGATAGGTAAGTACCTATGACGCGTTGACTCACGTGGGCAGATGGCCAGGGCAAGCCAAGAATGAAGTCAGTTGCCATAAATCGACCGTATTAAAGACTAATAAATTATACATCGCCAAAAGTTCACCTTATCAGTTCCAAACTTGTCTTCTGTTCGAGTATCGTGAAATGGCGGATGCGAATTATTTTACTTGTACGCTTGGCGAAGCTGCGAGATTGAAGCGAAAGGACGACAAGGCCAAAACATGGACTACAGTGGTGGAGTTGATAGATGACCAGGCTGAAAGAATTCCTGATGCACCGGCTTTGGGTTTCGCGACATTTACACATTTGAAGTCTACTCAAGGTGAGCATCAACCTTGGTAGCAAATGTGTGGCTAACATGGGTAGTATTCCGCCATCTCCTCACATTTCGACACCTCTCAGACACATCAAAGCATGCCGCCCAGATACTTTCAACTCGTTTGCCCAAGGAACCCAAGTCTTTAAAAATTGGTCTTCTATCGTCTAGTAGCACCGAGTTTGTGTTGACGTGGCTTGGTTTGATGCGCCTGGGTTATACTGTTTTGCTTCTTGCGTAAGTCAACAGTAACCTCAATGGATTCGCAAACCTGACCATATTGTAGGCCTCAGTTGGCACCACCAGCGGTTCAGCACCTTTGCGAGACTCTTGACATAAGAAATGTCTTTGTTGACGACATTTACGAGTACAGAGCACGCGGACTCTCAAACGACATCGAGATCATCAGGATACCTTCCTATAAAGATGATTCCCCAGCAGATGACAGCCTGGAACAGACCCCCGGTGTTTCCGAAACAGCCTATATATGCCACACGTCGGGGACCTCCTCGGGACTACCCAAGCCAATCCCTCAAACGCAGTTCGGGGTGATGGGAGCTCTGTACAACTTTCCCGGGAAGAACAAACCCGCAACGTTTTCCACGACTCCCCTCTATCACGGAGGATTTCCAGATTGTCTCCGAGCCTGGACAAGCGGCGCTTCAATATGGTTCTTCCCCGAAGGGCTGGCCCCCATCACAGGCGCCAACATCACCCGAGCTATCGAGTTTGCACGTGCGCACAGCCCGATCCCCGTCAAGTACTTCTCATCCGTTCCCTATGTGCTTCAGATGCTGTCTGAAGAGTATGGCGGCATCGAAGTCCTTCAGACAATGGACCTCGTTGGTGTTGGCGGCGCTGCTCTACCACCAGCCATAGGCGATAGGCTCGTGGACGAAAGCGTGAACCTTCTCTCGCGGATGGGAAGCGCGGAATGCGGATTTCTAATGTCTTCGCATAGAGACTACGCCAATGACAAAGACTGGCAATTCCTCCGGGCCATTGATGATACAAAGCTTATCGAATTCGAACCCCGAGAGAATGGGCTCTCTGAACTTGTTGTAAAGCCTGGTTGGCCTTTCTTGATCAAGACGAATCGCGAAGATGGATCATACGCAACTGCTGATTTGTTTGAACCGCATCAATCAATCTCGAACGCATGGCGGTATCACAGTAGAGCTGATGCACAGATCACTCTTGCGAACGGAAAGAAGTTTGACCCTTCACCCATCGAGGGGAGCATACTTGCTTCTACCAAAGTACTGCAGGATGTTCTCATCTTTGGCAGTGGAAGAGACTACGCTGGGGCACTATTGTTCCCTTCTTCGAGCGACATCAGTGCAGATGAAGTGATCGGTTCAGTTTGGCCACATGTCGATAAGTTGAACGCTGACAGTCAAACCCATACCCGAATCAACAAGACGATGCTGGTAGTTGTCCCTGTCAAAGAGGGTCAGAAGCCGCTGGAGAAGAGCAGTAAAGGTACTATTCTGCGTCGACAAGCTGAAGAGAAGTACTCGGATGAGATCGAAGGGGCTTACAGCAACACCTCGTCCTCGGGGAAGATTCCTCAAGAGGGGCTTCAAAAGGCGGTTCAAGACTGCTTCGAGAAAGTCCTCAGCCGGCAGGTTGAACCAGATCAAGACTTGTATCGTCAGGGCGTGGACTCCATCTCCTGCATACAAATCCGAAAGATGCTCGAACAGACCTGTCTATCTGAGGATGGCCGACTTCCTCTGAACGTCATCTACGATCAAGGCACCATCAACTCACTAGTGGAGTATTTGGAACGCGCGAATTCTGGTGACAGCGAGCTGAGCGCCGACCCCGATGAATCAGAACTCAACCTCATGCACGCTCTAGTTGAGAAGTACAGCGACTTTGATCTAGCCTCGCATGATGTTAGCAGTAAGTTTGGGTCAGCTTCTTCAAATAGTGGTGTCAAGTCTCAAGCACAGCAAAATCGAGCGGCCTTGGATGAAAGAAAACAGCTGGCCCAGATGGCTATGAAGATCGTTCAAGACCCCAATGATCGCCCCACGCGCGTGGTACTCACCGGCGCGACTGGGTTCCTCGGGGCACATATCCTTCACTTTCTCCAGGAGGACCCAAAGATTGATAGGATCTACTGCTTGCTTCGAGCTGACGGTCCATTCGCGGCCCAGAAACGAGTCTCTGAAGCCCTCTTTCAACGATTTCTGCCACCTCTAGAACCACGCCAGAATAAAGTCGTCTGTCTTCCGTGCGATTTGACTGAAAGAGATCTTGGACTCTCCGAAGACCAGCTTCGAGAGATCTCGACAAGTGCTACAAAGATCATTCACTCAGCTTGGGCGGTCAACTTCAGTCTTCGACTCAACTCGTTCGAGGATCAGTTATCGAGTACAAGGAATTTGATCAACATCGCTGTAGAGGCTGATGCGCAGTTCATTTTTGTCAGCTCCATTGCTGCAGTGAGTGACTCTACTGCTCGACCGATTCCTGAAAAGCTTTCTCATGATACTAAAGAGGCTTCACCGCTGGGCTACTCGCGCTCCAAGTGGGTAGCCGAACGGATTTGTGATGCGGCGAACAAGGAACATGACTCTCCTTTGGCCTCGATCATTCGGGTAGGCCAGCTTTGCAGCAACGAAGCTGGAATCTGGAATACCACTGAGGCATATCCGTTATTGCTCTCAACATCCAAGATCACAGGATGTCTGCCTGATCTTCCGAAAGAAGTGCTCAATTGGCTCCCAGCCGAGCAGGCTGCCCAGGCTGTCATCGAGATTGCATTCGCGAACTCCAAAGGTTCGAAAACACCTGTTTACCATGTCTTGAATCCACATACAACACCAACATGGAAAGTCATGCTGGACTTGTTGGCTGCCAGTAACGAGGGCCCCGAGTTTGAGATCGTCTCATCATCGGAGTGGCTTGAGCGCTTAGAGAAGGCGTTGAGTGACGACAGTGCCAATCATCCGTCACAGGCTCTTCTGGGTCTCTGGAAGCGGTCATATGCCAAGGATAAGAACAATGACAGTGCAAGGGAGGATCAGGAGGGCTCTTTATTTGATGTTGCTCAGACACAGAAGGTCTCTGCTTCAATAAGGGACCTCAGGCCACTGACTCGCGAGCGACTGATCAAGACTTGGAAGTGGGTGAACGAGAATATTAAAGCCTAAGCGTTGTGTGGTAACCTTGAAGACTGGATAGCAGAATATAATGTTAGCAATAACCGAGCCATGTTTTCATGCCTCAAGATCATAATGCAAGTAGTCCATCCATCAAGAAGTTTGCAAGTTTCTAGGTGTAAGATGTCAAAAATATCTAGTCTCATGCCTGCTACTTCGGCACCAAACTTACTCAAGATATTTTGTCAGCTTGGACAAGATGTCTCAACCATCATCCTCAAAGTGGGACCGTCGGCGAGTTGTCTGATTCTTGATTCGCCACCTTCCTTGACCTGCCGATCTCACCAATCACAACGATGGAATGTCTCCGACGATGATATTACAATACACGCTACGCTTCGAACTGTCAAGAAATCTCTAACAACTATCTCACCGACATAAATCTCTCCGCGATGACATTGACTTCCGTCACGTCGAATATTCCGACCCGCGCTCGTCGGTCAGCCTGCGAATGCTGTAGTACGTCACATACTCTCAGTCTCATGCTACTAGCAACAAAACCTAACGGGTCCAGGGCAAAGGAAGTCAAGATGCGATGGTGCAAGACCCTCATGTCAGAGGTGCTCTAGTCTGGGCCTTGATTGCCACTACTCGGTCAAGAAGCGAATGGGCAGACCTGCAAAACATCGACAGGCTTTGGCGGCTGCGCTGCCTAGACCGGCTGTTCGAGATGACACGCCCTTCTTGTCCCTCCTATCACACCAATCAATGATTGATACTGTCAGTCAGGTCGACTTTAATATCTGCCTAGATTCAAGTTTCATGCCTGAGCTGGGCTCTGAGATACTTAGCGGGCTTCAACTTGAGTTGGGAAAAGTCACCGACTGCTCGTGTCCAACATCAGAGGTCTCATCAGGCTCCAGTAATGCTCCGACTCTCGATTCCCTATCTTCAAGTTCTACCTCCGTAGCTACAGTGTCACCCGATCCCCACACAACATCACGGGCATGCTCTTGTCTGGCGACTTTCTATCTCGCAGTCGATGATCTCTGCAAAAACGAAAGACTCTCCTTTCCGTCAGGTCTTCCTTTTCTTCGCAAAACGATCTCAACGGCCAGTCAAATCGCTCATTGCCAGATATGCCCAACTAGCCATCTCTCTGCCATGCAGAACATTCAACTTCTGGGAACTCTCCTCATGTCAGTGGGGCAACAATACGGGGTCATTCTGGAGTCCATTGACAAAGAGGCCGAGGTATCAAAGGAGAAAAATGAACTGAAACGTCTCCAGTTCAGCGAAGTCGGTGTTGGGTATTCTACAGAGGCTACAAGTTACAACCTAGAATTGAGACCTGCGGAATGGGCGGATCTGGCTACAAAGGCAGTCAAGGCTGAGGTTTACGGAAACGGGAGAGAAGAAGAGTGTTTATGGGGTGTCTTGAACTATCTCGAAAAGCGGCAGGCTCATTGGCATGCTGTGCCGCAACATCAAGATTGCCCCCATCAAACCCACCAGGCGGAAGAGGAGCCATTTTGCATAAAGATACTTCACAAGGCGAAAGAGTCAATAGAGACTCTCAAGTGGAAGTGTCGTGAACTCTATGGTCCGGATAAGCCTGATGTTGGTCCAATTTCCCTTCTCTGAAGCACCTGGATACATTAGTCTCACTACGGCAATTCTCCTTTGTTTCATAGAAGTTCTCTCACGTTAGATGTCAATAGCTTATCTAAAGGGGGTATGGAAAGCCTATAAGCTGGCTAAAAACGTCCGATTTGGTTGCCTAACCGTCATTTGTCGTAACCTGTAAACATAATGGATGAGGAGTCTCACATCATCACATGAAGCGCTAGGATTCCTTCGTCAGAAGGTCGACCCTTGTGATCTAGCATCCACCGCCTACAGGCCGTATGTAGCCCAATAATAGGGCGAGGAACTATCCATCCGATAAGCAAAAGTATCCGCTTATCTCTCCTTGAGGACCAACACATATAGCCCTTCCGTGTTCCTTTTTCCATTCTTTTGAGCTCAAACATACTGTCCAAAGATGCCTCACTTGGTCAGCACACATTGCATCGAGCCTCATTTCCTTCGCAATGTCCTCGATGTTCTGATCATTGGGACTGGGACAGCTGGTCTCTCTGGGGCCATGGCTCTTGGCCTTGCGCGAAGGAGTGCCATCGTTTTTGATGTTGACGATCACGGAAGCAGACTTCATGAAACTACAAGCCAAACGATCTCAAAATCGATCCAGGACGAGACTATAGCTGAGATTAAAACCAAGTTCAAGACTATCATGTTTAGCCGCGCGACAGCTGCGTCGGTTCGTGAGAAAGGTATGGTGTTCGAAGTGGAGGACGTTTCAGGTCGACGTTGGAAGGGAAGAAAAGTGATCCTGGATATGATTAGCCGTGATATTCGTCCAGATATCCCGGAATACGAAGAAGCCTGGGGGAAGAAAATGTAAGTCCTCTTTGAAAGGACTACGAAACCCCGAATCCTAAGTTGTTGGGCAGTTTTGATGTCTCGCAATGCCTTAATGATGGTAAAAGGGAGACTGGCCACGCTGCTGTGCTCATCACATCCGACTGCCCAAGTTCGATTGAGGGAGCGGTGCTGTCGGCTCATCTCGCCCGGCAGTTCAGTCCCGATATAACATTATTGACCAACGGCTTTTCACATGTTGAGTGCCATCCGCAAATCATGGGGACCAAGAATGCTGGATTCAAAATAGACAACAGACCCATCAGATCACTAGAGGGTTTCGAAACCTCAGTGGCAGTCCAGTTCGCCGATGGGGCAGAATCAGTGTTCGGCTTGATAGCACATAAGCCTCGAAAGGTTATCAGCGGGCCCTTTTTAGAACAATTAGATCTGGAAATGACATCGGAAGGGAGGATTTTGGTAGAAAATGAGTTTCAGGAGACAAGTATACGTGGGGTTTTCGCAGTTGGTCACGGCACCTGTTTTCTCAGAGAGGAGGGTGCTGGGGCCAGTGCTGGATGGCTGGCTGGGGTTGGTGCAAACTTGCAAATTGCCGAGGATGATATGGGTATGCAGTCTACAATTGCTTCGAAGACAGAATGAAGCATAGTAGAAGAAGTCGCCGATTCTTCCAGGTGTTGCATTATTATCCTTGTGGATCATGGTTCGACTTCACGATCCCTGTCATCGGGGACTAGATTTTGGTCGCCGACCATCTGTTAGCAACATACCTTGTATCATAGCTGATATGGCTGCTTCTTGAAACATTAGACGCTGATGCACGCGTTTCATGGACAGAAATGCTGGATCAAAGAATCGGTAGGCACTGCATTTCGTTGATTGCAGTTTAGGGTAATTCGGCAACCAGGACAGTACATTGTGTCACACTCACACTACCCTTCTGCTGCATTTGACATGAGACTTTCGGGAAGAGTAACTATTCTTAGTTAATTTCTAATGAGTCTAAGCTAAATTCTGTGATGACATATAAATTATCACATGGGATCTTGGCACCTGAATTCTAGATGGTGCTACAAAGCTTGCGTCAGGATTAGGTTTTGGTGTCTCGGTTGGCAGAAGCAGGACCCACGTCGATATTCATGGCGCTGCAGGCCTGTAGAAACCGATACCTGTGTGATCCAATCATACTATTATTCTTCAGGTACCTATCTCAGGTTATGACCGGAAGTCGCCGTTCCAAAGAGCGCAGTTGGGCCATCGGGCTCTAATTTCGGACCATCGGCGGCAATCACTTTATCCCTGAATCACGCAATTGAGACTTATCCTCGGCTGGTTAGTTCCCGCCCCGGATAAACAATAATCCGTCCATCACACTCCCAAAAACAGCAAAGCGTCGTACGCTAGTAGGTACGTACAGTACGTCACTTCATTGTACTTTTTCTGGCGTGTTCACTCTTGAGCGTAGGCTTTTTCTCGCATTCGACTTCACTTTTCCCCTTTGCAGAAAAACACAAAAACTCAAAATGCTTTCGAGTCGCGTGTCACTGGCAGTTCGATCTGCGGCCTTTGGCCAGTCTCGGCGAGGTCTCGCTACCGCTGCGGCTGTCACGTCTGCTAGCCGAAGTCACAAGGTCGTCGTTATTGGAGGAGGCTCTGCTGGTCTCGCCATCAGCCATCAGTTGCTCCGGAGCGGCAAATTCGCCAGTGAGGATATCGCTGTTGTTGACCCTGCTCAGTGGCACCATTATCAGCCTGGATGGACACTCGTCGGTGCTGGACTCAAGACCAAGGAGGAGCTGAAGATGTCCATGCCTGAGCTCATCGACCCCAAGCTCAAGTTCTACAATGTCAGCGTTGATGCCCTCACCCCTGAGGACAACAGCATCACTCTTGGAACTGGCGACAAGGTCAACTATGAGCACCTCGTTGTTGCGCCCGGTATCAAGATCAATTACGACAGCATCAAGGGCCTCCCTGAAGCTCTCGCCGAGCGCAACGGCCCTGTCTCTTCCATTTACGGCTACGACTACTGCGACAAGGTCTTCCCCAACATTCAGCGCCTCCAGAAGGGTAATGCCATCTTCACTCAGCCCGCCGGTGTCATCAAGTGCGCCGGTGCTCCCCAAAAGTCCATGTGGCTTGCCCTCGACCACTGGAAGCAGACTGGTCTCTATGACCCCAAGAACCCCTCCGGCTCTCCTATCAAGATCACTTTCGCCACCGGCCTCCCCGTCATGTTCGGTGTTCCCAAGTACAGCGCCGAGCTTGAGAAGCTGCGACAAGAGCGTGGTGTCGAGGGTCTTTTCCAGCATGATCTTGTTGCTATTGAGGGCAACAACGCTGTCTTTGCCAATGGCCAGGACAAGGTTACCAAGCCGTTTGACTTCCTGCACGTCGTTCCCAAGATGGGACCTCATGCTTTCGTCAAGAAGAGCGCTCTTGCCAACGAGGCTGGCTACGTTGACGTCAACGACAACACCCTCCGCCACAACAAGTTCGCCAACGTCTGGTCTGCAGGTGATGCTTCGAGCCTTCCTACCTCCAAGACCGCCGCCGCCGTGACCTCTGAGGCGCCTGTTCTCGTCAGCAACCTCCTCCGCGCTATCGATGGCCAAGAGCCCGAGCCTGCCTATGACGGCTACACCTCATGCCCTCTCCTCACAGAATACGGCAAGGTGATGCTCGCCGAGTTTAAGTATGGTGGCGTTCCCAAAGAGACTTTCGGAGATATTCTCGGCATTGACCAAGCCGTTCCCCGCCGCTCGTTCTACCACTTGAAGAAGGACTTCTTCCCCTGGGTTTACAAGAACTACATGGTCAAGGGAACATGGGGAGGACCTAAGGGCTGGATTAAATAGACAAAAGTTTGAACTTGCTATGTATGTTAGACTTGTATCATTGGGGAGATTGTATACCCGCGGAGAAACTGGAATAAAACCTGCAAAATAATGACACTAAGGACGCATGGCTTGGCCGCTGTGGTGACGGTTTATTTGTTTTTGACTAATGAACAGACTTGGTGGCTGTGAGCCCTCGGCCAAACAGAAGAGAAGCTCAACTTCGTCACGGAGCGCCGTCATCGGCCTGGAGAAACTGGACGTGCTCATACCGGTACGCACTTAAAATAAAGTCCTTCCTCAACGGAGTAAACAAGCGTTTAGGCTGTCGTTGCTCACAGTGTTTTCCTGGCTCATAAGCTTCACCAAACTGCGGATGTCGCACAATCTCTCCCCACACGCTGCTGCAAACCTCGAGTCCTACTCATGGACCAAAAAGCCAGGTTTCTACCTTGACGCGAGAGCGGTCAAACTCCTGCACCAAATCGAATGCTTGGAATACAGTCTCTGGTATGCCAGACATCGGCTAGACGTCAACACACGCGATCTCGAGAAAATAGACTTCTACAGCTCAAAAGCCAAACTCGGCTGGTTCGGATCACTACGAAGACGAATAAACGAGCAGTTCGATCACGAGACACAACGCGGGCGCCAAATAGACCAGATACGCGCCAAACTGCTGGCAGTCCAGATTCCGTTGGACAAGACGTTGATTGCCAAGAAAGAGGCGATGCTGGCGAAGCTTCAGGCAGAGTTTGAAGCGAGGATCCAGTGGAGGACTCAGGAGGCTCTGAAGGATTACCGGAAATGGCTTTTTGAAGAGAAGAAACGAGAAGATGCGAAGAAAAATTGCAAGCTGGAGCAGAAAAGGAGGGATAGGGAAATGTGGGAGGGGAACTGGCAGAAGTTTCTACTGAGCGAGGGAGACAAGAAAGATGTTTGTAGGGGACATCCTAAACTGTGGGGTTCTTTTCTTTTGTGAATGGCTTCTTACCATCGCGGTTCTGGTGGTTATATGCTTTGGGCGAATTGTTGCTTTTGGAGGTTGCTTGATGTTTATCGACCCGTTGGACATGGGAAACGCGACATCACGATGGGATTTTGGAGAATTAACACGGTGTGACTGAGGAAACAACTTTGGCTTTTTGCTTTATGAATTTCTTATTTATTTGCTCCTTGCTTCTTTACTTTATTTCTTCACCCTTTTTGCCCTGATTTTGCATTGTCATCCCTACCTCGACTCGACCAACACTGGCACACAGACCGGAGGCACCACGTTCAGTAGCGACTTTCATCTCTGTAAGACGTTGGGGAGTCCCTTAATCCCTCGTCTACCCATGCAAGTGGAATACTACGTCTATGATCATGGCTCTAGCCTGGGGTTGGTTCGGTTCGGTCTCATAGTGTTTAATATCCTGAGTTAGTTTTAGACCACACAAACAAGAAATCCTTTTGGCACTCGAGATCCCCACAGCGCGTCATTGACATCTCCTATTAAAGCTACGAAGGGTGCGAGATGAGATCTCCGCGATACCGAAAAGACGCGTTCGTCGACGCGTGATCAGCTTCAACGTATGGTATCACTTCGCGTGTCAATACGGAGCGTTTCCCCTCTTCGGACCTCCACTCGGTCAATCGAATAAAGAGGAGGCCAGAGGTAAATAATGTTGGTAAATTCTTGCCAGGTGAACCTTGAAAAGCCCGAGACAAACAAACTAACACATCAAACACGGTGGTGGAGCAAAAGTCAGTGAGAGGTGGAATCGCAAGTTGTAAGTTGAGACTTTGGGCAGATCACCCAGGCAATAGGAACACAGTAACAGCTAACTATGACAGACTTTCACGCCATGCGCCGTATTTATAAAGTTTCCTTTGAATTTGTGTCCTTTGCCTTTGTGTTTGGGCTGAAGTCTCTTTCTACCTCTCAACCTTATCACAGGTAGGGCTTCTGCATCCACAGCCCTGGTCGACTTGCTTAAGAACCTAGAAAGCACCCCGCCTCCCTTCACTCCGACTTTCTGCGGCCTCAGAATCATATACTCATGATGGAATTTGTTGACTACTACGAACTTTTGCAGCTGCCTCACACAGCAAATAAAGATGAGATAACGACGGCTTATATGCTGGCTTTACGTCGGGTTAAGCCAAGACGTCCAGATAAGAATCACGAAAATAACCAAGCCACTTTAAATTACAAAAACGTCAGTCATCGTTAACTTACCTCGCGTGTATACTAACTAGCTGGAAGCTCAACAAAGCATACATTACACTATCAGACAAGAAAAAGCGTCGAGTTTATGACACAGAGTACGGACAACAAACAGGAAAATTTATCCGTCCGTTTTTCACAGAAGTGAGAACAAACAAATCCACGAATGAGAATAATGCACCCTTTACCCGGTTCAATGACACGTTTTTCGAGGGACATTCTCCAAATGACCCCGAACCATCGCTGGTGGATATACGTGAGGTGGACGATTTCATTCAACAGCTGGAGTCTCGCGTATCAATCACCCAGACCGAAGTCTTTTTCCAAAGGGGAACGGTACAAGTTAAAGAAGAGGCTGTACGGGCTCTTGAAGAAGAGGTCTTTACAGCGGGCTTCGAAATGATAGAGATATATGAAGGCGAGGCTGGCCCGTCAAACTTAGAACGCACAAGAGAATGCCCCCAGATTCAAGCGCAAATGAGTCGCAAGGTTGAGATGGAAGCCGAGCTCAAGGAGGAGCACGAAAAACTCGCAAGTCTCCAAAGGCAGCTTCGGGAGTTTCGCAGTCGACTCTCATATTGGGAAAAGGAGACGGAAGCTTTAATCAAAAAGAAGAAACGGCCTACGAATATAATGGACTTGCTACAACCCTAACCATGTGGCGTGGGAGGTAGAAGGAAAAGCAAGCTTCACTCGAAGTACAGCCTGGTCCGAGAAAGTGGTTTGATGAAGCGGAGAGAGGGCTACGAAAAAGAAAGGGAAGAGGGGTTAAAAAGGACCTACAAGGGTCCAGGGAAAGGGTGCAGCGCAAAGTAGCAAACAGGGCGTGAATTTGGAGGTGTCAGGGGGCTCAGGGGAAAAGTGCTCTGATGCGAGATATGGGATAGTTGATTCACATGATTGAAAGCCGGGCCTAATATGAATGGTAGCAAACAACCTCAAGACTGTCATTAATCTTACTTATATGCAAAACGTCTGCATCAATAAAATATGTACATGAAACATCCCAGTATTCTCAAATAGTTTAGCAAGAGAGATCTCGGCCCCGACGCGTTCTTGGAGTCATGACGATAAAGGAAGAGTCAAAACAGAAGGCATGCCGAAGAGAAACTACAAAAGAACGCGCATGGCAATGAAGGCCATCGTAAGGAAGCCTAGAATGCCCCGTTCGTAGCGCCCAGCTTCCGCAACTACAACTCCCGGCACTGCGGTGCCATTACCGCTGGCTCCAGAAGAAGACAGTGAAGATACTGCATGGGGCTGTGCATGTCCAGCGCCAGGGTACGTATCCTCCCTGTCATCTTTTTGATGCTGGTAGGGTATGGTGCTAGATTCAGCACCAGCGGTAGGCTTGGCTTGTCTGAGTGCTGTAGTGACTGTTCTAACAGGTCCCGGTACCACCTGATATGCAGCTCGGGTCGGAGCAAAATCCCCGACCAAGTCTTGTGATCCATAAGCATCATTTCTGGCTGGCTCTGTAACGGCAGCGCATGGCGCAGTGATTGTGACTCGGTTTTGGTCATGATATCCGCAAGACTTGCAAGGCATAACGTACGTGGTCATCTCCACAGTAGGAATGGGAGGGTATACACAACGGCTGCAAGGCTCATAAGACAGAGTAGCGCAGTATTCGGTGACAGTCAGGGTCGAAGGGTTGTTTGGGTCGACGATGGTATAAGTGACGGTAGTAACCGTGGTTTCAACCAGCGTCTGTCCTGGCTGTGCAACAGAGTCGATTACAGTCTCAACCGGTTGGAGGATAAGCGATTCAGTTACAATATCAGTGGCAGTGACAATTTGTCGGGAGGAAATGACATCTGTGGGAATGACTGTAACTCCATCTTGCGTGGTAGCTGGTACCTCTGCCTCCGTGCTTGTCTCACTGGGTGCACGAGGCTCGTTATCCAGAGCGTACAAGGTCAATAGGATATTGGCTGGTGCAGCTCGCTTATCAAGCGCTTTGCGTGGGCCAGCCCAGCGACGCTCGGAAGAGGATACAACCAGACCACCACAGAAATGGCTGCTATCACCTGGACAGGGAATGTCACATCGGCCGCTCAACACCAAGCTAGTTGAATCAAGGGAGTCTGAAGCATAACAGGATCTGTAAACTGGTTAGATATAGAAAGGCAAAATTGCTAAATGCTACGTACCGGTCATAGATTCCCACGTAGGCCCGGCCCCTGGCCAAGGTGACACAGCTCGAAGTGGTCATGTTTGCACCAGAGCCTATAAGGTTGAAGCTTGGGTAACCATCCGCGGATCCAAGACAGCCCTTGTAGGTGTACCCACGAATGGTATCGATGTTTGAAGGGCCATCAGCAGGGGAGGATGTTGCTGGAGGAGCATCGGATGATGAGGTTGTTGAAATTTCTGGAGAACTGGATGTCACTGGTTCAACTGGAGTAAATGTGGTCTCTGGGACTACCTGTGAGGTCGAAGTCGAAGTGTCTGCAAAAGAGGTACTTTCGGAGGAAGGTGAAGGGAGACCGGTGCTAACAATTGAGGAGGCCGTAGACTCGCTAGACACCGCGGCGGTGACAGAGCTAGACTCAGACGTGATTGACGTAGTAGACTCAGACAGTGCATCTGTAGTCGGGACTATGGATTCGCTGGTTGTTGTGTCTGAAGCAAGAACAGGCCCTTGATCAACGCTGGTAGATGCAGCCTCACTTGCTGTGCTGAGAATTGGCGAAGCATCAGTAGTTGTTCGGGACTCAGCTGGTGTAGATGATGTGCTTTCGTCCGTGGAACTCGACACTTCGTCAGTCGTGAGTGTTTCCAACTCGCTACTGATGCTAGTCATAGACTTTTCCGTAGTGGTTATTTCCAGTGTGGTGGAAACCGACTCAGATGTGACATCAGCCGTGGTGGCGGTACTCTCAAAGGATACCGAGGTTGTCTGTTCAGTTGTTGAGACTAGCTCCGTTGTGGTGAGCTCATCAACAGCGGTTGTTGTAGGCTAGGTAGTTATAGTCTCGGCCGTTGTCGTAAACATCTCCGCGGTTGTTGTAAATCCAACAGTTGTAGTCGTGGAATCATCCTTTGTCGTAGTTTTTGGTTCAGCAGTGGTTAAGGTCGTCAATTCATCAGTAGTCGTAGTTGTCTCGCCGGTAGTTGTTGTCTCCTCGGCAGTTGTAGTCGTGGTAGCATCACTTGTAGTAGTCGTAACTCCGGTAGGCTCTACGAAAACAATAAAAGTACCAGATGCAGTGCCGGACGCAGAGATAGTAGAAGTGAAAGGCTGTTCTCCAGGGGGGAGTGTCGATGTTGTGTAAACATAGTTGATCTTAACTTCGTCAGACCCATAACCACAGTCAACGCAACCCTCGGCTCGAAGAAGGAAACCAGAGTCATTAAGTGCATCTCCGACGTCACAGACGGATATCACCAAGACCACAAAGCTGCCAGGTAGGGCCGATATCGTTCTCACAAGCAGAGGCAAGGATCGCGTATACCCCGTAAGACTGTCTGGTGGGGCGATAGCATCTGGTGTGAGGAGGAAAGGAGACAAGGCGTTGATTTAATTCGCATTGGTATCAAGAGCGTACTGAAGCGGGGGGCCATTGGTCACATCAAGGATAGATATAGCATCCATATTGGCCAGTGTACTACGTAGAAGTTAGAACGTTAGATGAACAAAGTGCAGTGGTGGATTCATGGGCATGTACCTTAGGGCTTCTTGTGTAGCAAATACGAATTCTATACGGACTCCATTATATCCAGGCTCAAGTCCCACCTGAACTTGTAAAGCGTTGACGTTCTGGGTATTTGGGGCACAAACGTAATCATAACCTGCAACACCATTATCGACGTTTCGATCCCCTGAGATGTAGGCTCCTGTAGCCGTTCCACTAGTCAGTATACCTCCACTCCCCAGACCGAACGGTCCATCCGCGAATGTTCCCATGCTTGATTCACCGAGCGATATCACATTCAGGACGTTAAGGCCTGGTCCATCGAAGATAGCGGCGGCCACTGTAGCACCACTGGTTGTTTCTGTGATGGAGAAACTTCTGGCCAACAAGGGAAGTGCTGTGAACACGGCCAATAACTTAGGATTGGTGAACCTCATGTTGTTAGTGAGTGACTACTACTCAAGGCTTCGTAACCAGAGGTAGAGAAAACAATATAAGAAAAAGAGTGGAATAAGTGAATGAATGAATTCAGCATCATTTTTGACCTGGTCTTGGGTACTTAAATAACCGAAGCTCGAAGAAAAGACAACTCCTTGTTTGTTTGCCTCAGTTTCCTCGAGTCGCGATAATGATTGTTATTGAAACGAAGCCCGGATACTGGTCTGACACGACCTGATTCATGTGACACCAGCTATACCGCTTTAATGTCTGACATGCGATTATTATCTTCTAAACTATACCTTTGATTGGCATTGTAGCATTGCTGTCACTTATCTGGCATTCAAAATGACATCCTGCAACAAGCATATCGGTAAAATAGTAAAAGGCTACACGCGACTGCGATCAACGGCTGGGCAAGTTTCTGAGACATCTGCAGGCTGTTCCCACGTTTTTGATAGGCGTGATAAGTGCCAGCAGAGACTAATTTGGGCGCCAACACAGGCTTAAGTTAGCGCCAGCGGGCTCTTTCGATTGGCATTCCAGCGAAACAAGGCGAGACAAGGGAGGATCAAATAGAAGGTCATTGAAACTGAGTCAGAGAATTTGTTTGGGATGTCATTGCGTTGCGCTCATCTGGGGAGTAGCTTCGCATTCTCAATTATGAAGAATAACCGAGCCCTTGAAGTCGCAGTTTTGTTTCTGGGTCTAGACCATCATGATCAGAGGCTACTGTAAACCCTGGTCAAGCGTCAGTAAACCTTGTTGGTATCTCATAAAGACAGGTCAAGCAACGAGTTTAATCTTGTTGCCTTGGATCTGGGTCGCTACAGCCTCATGTCGCAGCGTGGATATGTTAAGTACAATTTACTGCCGCCCTGAACTCTTAAGCACGCTGGTTTAGTTTCTTGGAGAATTTACAAAAAAAACAGCACTTTTTGTCAAAGCTTCACTCCTTTCAGACCTGGCATGGAAGGCGACCTTGGTTGTCGGTTGGTTCATGTTGGGCTACCCTACAGACACCTTGCAACATTGAGGTCTTGGCTCTCGCATGCGCGTCTGTTCGAAATGGCTGCGGCTTTCCTTTCCAAGAATTGCTACTGTAGCCTTGTCGTAAATAAGAGCCTGTTCAAGTATTGAATTGGACTGTAACAATGCGTCGGGATCGGTGTCCACAACCCGATCGACGATGCAGGCTGTGCCATCTGTAATCCTGATCACCTACACTGATCATATCTTGGTGGGCCATGTCGGCCGAGCTTCTCTCCACAGCTTAAACCAGATGCTGGCCAACAGTCTGCCAGCCATAATGGATGACATTGATTGGCACACATGTTGAACATACCTTATCTACTCATCGGATCACCCACTTGCGTACCCCGAACTTCGGCCGAGGCGTAGATCTTCCCCAGGATTGACGTAAGAACTCTGGGGTAGCGGGGTAAATAAGTTCGGAGACCTCGGGGGGACAACAAACACGCTGACATTCGATCTTGGGCTGACTCGATACACCCCCGCCATTGGACACAGCTATCACTCTTCAAGTCTCGGGAATACGAACCAGCAAGTCCAACGTGCGCTATAAAACCTCGACGAGTCCGGACTCAAGCAGTAGCCTCGTTCTCAGCGAACCTCTTGTCTCTTGACAATAGCAATACCTCAACATGACCTCCCCGATTGCGGTGTTTGCTATCCCGGCGGTGGTTCTCGCACTGCTCTTGCGGTTCATCGTCCAATCCTTTCGCTCTCCACTACGAACCGTCCCGGGACCTACCCTCGCCCGATTTACAGATGGCTGGTACTTCTGGAAGGTCTGGAAAGGCTCATTCCAAGATGTAAACCTTGATCTACAGAAGAAATATGGTATGCCCTCCACTAATGCCTTGTGTACAACATTCGCTGAACTCTTCACCCTAGGGACGATTGTACGATATGGGCCTAATCGATATAGCTTCAACGATCCCGAGGCAGCCAAGACAATCTACGGTCTGGGCACCCACTTCCCAAAGTCATCGTGGTACTCGGCCTGGGCAAGTCCCGGCACATGGGCCATATTCAGCGATCAATCAGTCAAGCGCCACAACCATAACCGAAAGCTGTATCAAGCGACATACGCAATGTCGTCACTTGTACACTACGAGCCCTTCGTCGATGACTGTGCCGATATCTTCACCCAACGTCTCTCGGAAATGTCAAGCACGTCGACCCATCTACCTGTCGACATGCGACACTGGTTCCAGTGCTATGCGTTCGACGTCATTGGGCTGATCACATATGCAAAGCGCTTCGGCTTCCTAGACAGTGGAGACGATGTTGGTAATGTTATCGGTGCTTTGGAGGACCATTTGGGTTATGCGACCCTGGTTGGCATCTTCCCAAGTTTGCACAAATACCTTTTCAAGATCAGGAACTGGCTTGCGGGTGGAAAGGGAACAGGACGAGCATATATCTTGAACTTTACAAACGAGAGAATTCGACAAGCGCAGGTAGCTCCCAAACCCGTCGCCGAAGAGAGTGAGGTCACCATGGAAGATTTTCTCACCAAGTTTTTGGCCAAGCATGCTGCCTCACCAGATGTCTTTACGCAGTACCACGTTCTCATGGGATGTACATCGAACATGGTGGCAGGCTCAGATACAACTGCCATCAGTCTGTCAGCTGTTCTGTACTATCTACTGAAGAACCCAGATTGTTTACAGAAGTTACGGGCCGAGATCGATGACTTGACAGCACGAGGAGAATTGTCGAAATCTCCGACCTTCAAGGAAAGTCAGCAGATGGTTTACTTCCAGGCTGTGATCAAGGAGGCTCTACGAATGCATCCCGCTACGGGTCTCCCACTCGAAAGAGTTGTTCCCCAGGGCGGCGCGACAATATGCGGACGATTCTTCCCAGAGGGAGTAAGTTTTTTATAACAAAGCTCCGAAGGTCCGAGCTCTCAGCTGACGAATGACACAGACTATCGTTGGCATCAACACATGGGTAGCTCATCGTGATACTCGAGTGTTTGGTCAAGATGCCAATTCCTTCAACCCAGACAGATGGCTCACCGCCGAAAGCGACAGGCTCTCCATGATGAACCGTTACTACATGCCTGTAAGACTCCCTTGGCTGAAGCGCCTGATCATATCACTGACGAAAGACCATTTTAGTTCGGACTCGGCTCACGAAACTGTATCGGCCGACATGTCTCAATGCTTGAGATGTCGAAGCTGATCCCACGAATTATCCGCGATTTTGACTTTAGCCTTGATTCGTCGTTGCAACATCAGAACTGGCATACTCAGAGCTACTGGTTCGTCAAACCGTTGGACTTCAAAGTACTCATTCAACCACGCCTTTCGGAGAAGCAGAGGGCATGAAGGAAGCGCCCAAGGTAATAGTTATAGTTGTTTCCTCAGAATAACATACACCGACAGTAACGAGACCAATGTTCCTTTGTTCTGTTCTGCCTCAGAAACATTGACGCCTTCAAGAATAACATGTTTCAAAGCAGAGAGATGTAAATCTTGCAAGCGACCTGTGAATTTGTGAATAAGCAAAGGATATTGCTAGATCATGGCCACTGATGAAAATGCCTTCAGGACGTTTCACTGGTCAGTTTCTCTGACAACTCCCAAAGCCTCTCCGCCTCTTCGTCAGACTCAGCCCTGGGATGAGCACCGCTGCAAATCTGGCAACCTTCCAAAAATACACCGTAGTTCTCTTTTCCCTCTCGTTTCTCCCCTGGCCCAAGTTTGGGATCCAGCGCCGCAACAACAGTGGTTGACCCTCCGGCCTGAAGAGTCTTGTACTTGACCCCTCTCTGGATTCCTACCTTAACAATTGCCTCACGAGTTTCAGAGGGCATGTGTCTGCTTAGATCTGTCTCGATCCATCCTGGAAATACTGCTAGCGACAAGATTCCGTAACGCTCGAACCATTGTTGTTTGCGCCAATGCTGAAGAGCACGTTTGCGACCTTGCTCTGGTTGTATGCTGTCAAGGGAATATAGCTTAACTCCTCCACATTGGGGGATCCCCATGCTCTATGAACCTCGTAGTTGGGCCTCTCTTCTTCCGGTAGCTCTTTGTTCTTCTTCTCAAGGTTGATGTCACTCCATCTCATGTACGCCCACTTAGGCGACCCACTGGACACATTGATGATACGAGTTGCACCTTTAGGACTCTCCTCGGCGGCTTTAATCAGCTTTGGTAAAATTAGGCTGGTGAAAAGGAAGTGGCCGATGTGATTGGTTGCAAAATGCATCTCGATATTCTCTGGGCTGAGCAAGCGTTCTGGGAGGAATGCGACTCCGGCATTGTTGATGAGCAGGTCGATCTTCGGAATGTCATCTCGACTGAGAAGTTCTGCAGCAGCGGCACGAACTGACTGTTGGCTTGAGAGATCGAACTGGAGGATGACGTAGTTGACCTGAGCGTAAAGACTCTTCATCGCGTCGACACTTTCTTGGAGTTTGGTACGAGAGCGGCTGGTGACGATAAGATGAGACGGCCCCTGCGATGCCTGCAGTATGTTATTGGTTAAATGATTATCGCGAATTCGTGAACCGGGAGCCATATTTCTCACGTACCAAAGCCTCAGCTGTTGAGTACCCGATTCCGCCTCGATTCACACCAGTGACCAGCACAACCTTACCGAGAACCTGTGCAGAGAAGGCTTGGGCGACCTCGAGGCCTTCTGTCTCGCCATTGGACTGGGTGGATGTTGTGGAGGTCATGGCTATGAGACTTGGATGATGATAATGAACTGGAGTACGAACGACCAGCCTGAAGCATACGTGAAATAGCTGGCTTTTACACTGTTGTCAAGCGAGAACCTATTCAATTTATAAACCAAAAAAGGTGGAATAAAACTTGGAGATCGCCATAGTGAATCCCGCTTACTGCAATCCAATCTGAGATGTTCAGAGAATTTACGAACATGGATTTAAGCGGAGTTAAGTGACGCAACTCCAGGATTTCGGCGAGCCAACACCCAACTTCGTTGATCAATTCCAAGCTACGATTCCATGCAGAGTTCATAGTAACTAGAATTATAGGCTTTCGGTGTCATCTAGTCCGTTGGGCTCGGACTCTCGGCAGGGCTGATCCCGTGGGACCGAACTGTGAATTGGTTTGTCAAAAGGGTAGCATGGCCTGGTTTAGAGCAAAAGGTGAACAAAAGAGACTGTTCATACAGTGGCATTATTTGGTCACTATTATTCTTGAGACAATTAGGTAAAGATGGTGCACGCACTAGGCTATCTATTCAAGCTCATTCATAACCAATTACCAGAGTTTACTGGAGCCACGACTCGAAGAAAGCCAATTTGTTCATGCCTCTTCCACGTAGAAATTCATTTTTGGGAATGTCGAAGATTGTTTTTCGCCCGTGATGAGACATACAGCCTTGTTGTAGTGCTCTCGAGGCATGCAAGAAAACTTAGGACCTCTAACCTAGGTGACAAAAAGGTTTACCCAAGCTTAGTATAATTCATCATAGGCTCAGGGGACCTTGGACTAAATATTTTAGTACCTCAATTTAACGTCAGAAGTCTTTTTGCACCCCGGGGGCTCTCTAGGTTCTCATTAGGGACAAGGTAAAAGCAGGCTGTGACAGCCTGCAGTGCCAAGAATTTTATCGCCAATGACTGCCTGTCATGGAGAGAGGAGCTGAAAAATATTGCACATTAGAAGTGAGCTATCGAACGCCACTGGGTCACGTAAATTATGATAGGGGTAACTGGCAGGATTGTTTCAATAAGTACTTGGGTTCGAGAATCCCCCCTCTTCTCAAACCCGAGAGCCTTGTCTTTTGTCAACTCAAATCTCACCAGAAACCGCTTTGCAAAATGGACAGACCAAACACAATTCTTGTCCTTCTCTTGCTCTATCTCCAGAGTCATATTGTGCCTGTACAATGTGACTCGATAATTGGCTACACGGTCACAGATGGAACAAGTATGTCTCCCCTCTGGACACCCCAGATGACATGAAGTAACCAAAAGCTTCCCAGCCCAAACGCTTAGTTGTCCGAGCTCACTATCCTTCCGCACGACGTTTACCTTCGCTGGAGACACAGATACATACGCGCATTGTGACTGGTTCACTACCGACGACATTTATCGTGTCGGCACCTCCTGTATCGACAATACGGCTTACTTCACCCAATGGCTTGAAGATGGTGGCAGTACCTCTTCTACACTGGTTTGGTAATACACCAGCGATACCTTGGGATCACCACCGACTTAGACTAAACTGAAATCCTTGAATAGCAACGGCGATTGTGTGGCCGTCAGGTTGTACGATAACCCCGACGATTTAAATGATCTTAGATGGCTGGTCAGCTGCGATGACTCCATCGGTGTTTCGACCCGTATCAGCACCTTATTCTTAGAAGACCCAACAGATTGTGAGTACTGCAGTATAATGGGATATTTGGAAGGGGGATTGACCTTGGTGGAATTCTAGGGGACACTACGACCGAAAGCACGACAACTACAAGCGAGTCATCGACCACTGTGGCCGATAGCGCATCGTCAACGGAGTTTGAGACCAGTTCATCCGCCACATTTCCGTCGCCTACATCAGAACCAGAAGAAACAGAGAGTCCCACTGATAGAGGGAACAAAGGTGGTGATGGGCCTAGTGGAGGTGTCATCGCTGGTGCTGTAGTCGGCTCAATCGTAGGCGTAGCACTAATTGTCGGTATCATCATCCTGGCTTTTAGGATGGGACGAAGAAGCCGAGGCGATACTGAAGGGACAAGTGGCGGCTTCAGAGATTCACTGAGGTCTATACCAATACCAACCATGACCTCTCCTCAACTTGAGCCGAAGCCGCCTGTTCCCGTCATCCAGCCAGTATTTGTACAGGACAGCCAGCCGTACCACAGCAACAATTGAGGTTAGCGGAGATATTAGGATGTAATATTGATAGAGAAATAGATCGGGATGCGGAGTAAGATCGATTTGATCAAATGTCTATGCCTATGTTACCTCGAATAATATCAGGCTAGAGATTCAACGCATTTTTAAGTAGTCGTGACCTTTTTTCTAATATTAGATCCTGTATAGACCTCTTCTTTATTTTAGTATCGTTCGCGATTTTATATTGTTTGTTTCGGTGCAGCACTCTTGATACACTTCACATATGTGGCTGTTTCTGCATGTCAGGTGACGGCCTATACCTCTCAAGATCAACTAATCAATGAGTAAATAGATCGTGGAACCTCTTGAGGTCTCACAAGGATGTCTAGTAGGCTCTGACGCTAACCAAAGCCTTGTTGTACAAGTCTGCAGGCACCTCGCCATGGTTACTTATTGAGGCACGGCCTGGCCATGCCTCTAGCCGCCGACGTGGTTCTCATTTTCCATCAGCTATGGCTGCTCGATGGCGGATTCAAACGCGATTCTTTCGTGTACTACGGTTCATCGGAAGAAGATAACTCTATCGTGTACCGCATCACCACCAACACGACCACCCTTAGCAAATTCCTTGCCCCATTCACGCCCATCAAAGCAAATTATGTCCTCCTCAAGGTTCAACTTCCAACTGCATGTGAAGCATACAACGCACTAAAGGCAAATGTCCCTCAGGGTATGCTCCCACCGGAAGATTTTAAGTCCGCCCTAGCAGACAAGAACTTCATGACTGCCGAGCCTTGGGAAGGGTTCAGGGGTCCCAAGATCAGGGAGTTTGTCAAGGTCAATAAGTCAAAGATCCTCAATGAGAAGAGAGAGTACAACACCATGAGGGTCTACACCATTGCCTGGGCACCAAATGGCGATAAGTGTCGATTGGAAAGTATGGATAGGTTCATCTGGAAGGCCATTGGTGGCGAGCTCAATGTCGACAACTGGACGAAATTTATGCGTCTTGCTGTCTCTGTCACGATTGGTGGTCCAAACTGAGGTTGACCAGATGCCAGGTGAGCTGTGACAGGATAATACGGACGGGACAGAGGAAGTGTGCACCATCGATAGCAAAGATATCACATGAGCTAAACTAAAATATGTGGGTATAAAACTACTAAGCAACAATTTTCCACTTGAATTCCAGTGCCAAAGAGTACTTCATAGCCAGTAAGCAAATGACAAAGAGAGAAAGAGACGACCTCAGAGAGCGGTATCATAAGTCGGAAGCGCATCATATAGGTCCTGTCCTGCTTGAACCTGTTCCTATTATTCTCTTATTAGTTAATCGTCTTCGCATATTGACTTGACGAAACTCACATAGGTCGGCACGTGGTTGATGCCCGTTTCGTGCTGTCCTTCGACAGCAACTTGCAGGGGCAGTCGCAGCGTGAAGCTGGAACCGTGCGCTCTCGAAGCCAAAACAATTTCTAACATGTAGGTCCGGCTGATGAGGCAGGAGTAAAAGGTCGGAAGCAAGATCTTGTTATCGGGGCTCGGCAGCTCGATCGAAATAGGCAAAGTTGCTGTATGTCGAGGCGCTTCCGCCTTGATGATATCACTGCTCTTGGAACCTCGTCTGGAAGCCGTGCGGGGAGGCTCATCGCCCATGGTAGAGTTCTCCGAGCCTCTGCGAGAGCACGGTGCTGAGAATGAAGCTGATGTCTGTTCCCAGCGAGGCGCGGGAGACTTGGTGACCGTTGCGCTCTCATCGAGAACAAAGCTCAAGATAGGATTCGGCATCACGCTGGGGAAGTTGTGTTGATCTGGTAAAAAGCTGAGATGGCCTGTAGAGTAGTATGTCGATGCTTTGATGGTAGCTGACTTTGCGTACATCTCAGGCGGAGTCGCTTTCTTGGAAGTTGGCCAGAACTCGAGATCGATATTGAGTGAGCATTCTGATGGCTGCAGTTTATCGGCTGAGATGATGACAGGATCTGGTTGGCGTGTGGTTGCTCTAACGTAGCCTAGCTTGGAAGAGAGAATGTCTTTTCGGATTGACTTCTCTTGAGTCATAGTGAATCGCGGGTTTCCTGGTAGAACATGCAGAGGAGGCTGTTCAGGGAGATAAGGCATTACTTTCACAGGATGAGTTCTCTCCAGAACCATGGATTTGCCCTTCTCGGTCTTGAGCAGTGCTCGCGTATCAACACCGTAATTGATAGCGACGGTATGGACAGCCATGTCATCGTGCTCCCAAGATCCAATAGTCGGTGGTAATTGCAGATGTCGTTCCCGAATAATGGGGTTTCGATGCTTGCAAGCCGCACTGGGTAATTGGTATGGAATTACGAAAGAGAAAGGGACCTCGTAGGATTGACCAGCCTGGAGGACTCCATCGGGCGGAAGGGCACTTTCTGGGATTGGCATTCGAAGCTGAAGGAACTTGTGTCCTGATTTAGGCATAGTTCCCTGGTGAAACATCTGAACCAAGGTTGTTTCGGAGCCTGTGAAGACTATCTCGAACGCATCGACGCTTAGATCCGCGCTTGGTGAGAATGATACGGAGCCGGTGATGGTCGAGCCCGAGGTATAGATCTTGGCCTCAAAGTGCCGATCGATAGTGATTTCGAGGGGACATTCTGACTTTCTTCGCGTGGGAACCCAACTTCCTCTCCGCTTTGGCTCAACTTGTGTGGTGCTGATGGGTGTAATGTTGAACAAAACCTGGGCAGCCGACATTTTGATGGTGTTACTCGAGGAATTGTTAGCGCTGATAGTGAGAAAACTGGATGGTCCCAGTCATGAGCTGAGATGATGAAATAGGTTTGAGATGAAGATGAAAGAAGATAAAAAGTGTCGTCCCCTCGGATACTTGAGGTGACCTTTCAGTTCCGCCACAAGACCAGTTGGGAGTGCCAACACATGATCCTTTATCTCAGCCAAGGCTCTGGTCCGCAGTGATTGGCCATGCTGGCCGACGCGACGCCCTGGTAGTGCATTTGGGCCCGTGCAATTGGCTAACAAAAGCCGACCCCAGACTTGGAGCCAAGACCTCCGATTCCCGCACAACTTCACGCCCTGGGACTGACATTTGCCAATTTCTCATCAGACTCATCGAGACAAATGATCAGCAGCTTACCAATCGCAATCCATCACATCTCAATGCTGACGTGCCAGGTGTTTGCATGTTCAGGACATTCACAAGACACTCTGTGGAGAAATCGCTATCTCCTCGGGCTGTCACACTGGTACGAAAGCCAAGAACTAGCAGTAAGCCACCTATCACTGAGTGAGGGGTACCGCCATGATCACAGGGAACAAATCAGCCTATAGCTATCTCGAGCCAAGATATGCTGGTATTTTTCGCAAAGCACCGACTCAAAGATAAGGCTTCGGAGATAGCTGTGCCGCCTATTCCAAGAAATGCTCTCCTAATGATGTTATCACCGGCTATACGGCGTGCGACGGATGTTGCCAGCCGTTGGGGGAGGTTATGGACTGGGTTTAGTGGCATGATCTACCCCAGACTGTTGCAGTTTTCGCTTCAAGTGGTGGATGGTGACAGACGGTTAGGGCGGTACTGTAGAGTAATTTTTTGGGGGTGGCCCTGCCGGTGATCGGCGGGGAAAAGTGAGAACAAAATGAGAGCACAAACAATGGCCCAGGGATTGGTCGAGGTTTTTGCGTACAAGCATGCCGAGAATTTGGGCTTGATCGGAGATGCTCTCATTTGTCACATGTGTGAGCTTTATACTTGGCAGCCACAGCCGCCGACGTTGCAGTTGAATCAATTACGAATGGCATTGAGTAAAAGGCGTTGAGGCTCTGAGGAGGCCGTTGAGCGGATTTGAGCGAAAACAGACCTCTGTTGCGCAGAAACACGCGACATCTCAGTACTTCATCTTCATCATCAATTAAAAAGATCTTCACCCATGAGGCTCCCTCAAGAAATGAGAGCAGCTCCGCGAGCTAAGTTACCCCAAATACAGTGGAACAATATCCATTGCTCTCATCTCGTGAAGTGGGCCGGCAATTGCCGATGAGTTTGTTCTCGCTCAGCCGCATCTCGACGTAGTCTTTCAATTGGATCGAGAATTTTTTATGGCTCCATTTCCCCAACGTTGATCAGGAACTTTTTCAAGTCTCCTCAATTATATGGAGATGAAAGAGAAAATGAGAGCATAACTTCCGAAACGCCGTTCAAGATCCACCGACTCCATCGTCAACTTCCGACCGATATTGACAGAGTGACGTGCTTGGCCAATGCGGGGTCTTATCTCCATGAGGCCAGCTCCTGTAATCCACCTCCGCTTCGCAATGGGACCATTGTTTCGGTAATTAGTTTCGGTGTTTTCCGAATATTTGCAAATAGTTACATATTCAACATGACAAACATTACAAGTCCAATCGATATCGGGAGATGTTCGTTGAGGCATCGCGTCGTGATGGCACCGATGACGCGCTTGCGAGCAGATGAAAACCACGCACCGTTAGATATGGTGAGAGAGTATTATGCACAGAGAGCTTCAGTTCCAGGCACGCTTCTCATTACGGAAGCGACCTTCATATCGGCCAAATCACGAGGGCGTGATGAAAATGCCCCGGGAATATTTACGCAGGAGCAGGTCAAGGCGTGGCGGCATGTAACGAACGATGTTCACAGCAAAGATTCCTTCATCTTCATACAGCTATGGCACGTCGGCAGAGCAGCTCGACAACATGCGTTAGACAAGGCTGGCCTGGAAATGGTCAGCAGTAGCGACGTTCCCATTAGCGACGAATATCCAACACCACGGCCCATGACTACAGAGGAAATCTCGGAATGCATTGCGTCTTTCGCTAGCGCTGCTAGAAATGCCATCGACGCAGGTTTCGACGGCGTCGAGATTCATGCTGCAAACGGATACCTCATCGACCAATTCACGCAAGATACATGTAACAGACGAACAGATGAATGGGGCGGCAGTATCGAGAATCGGTCACGCTTCTGTCTTGAGATTGCGAAAGCTGTTTCACGAGAGATAGGAACAGATCGGACAGCTATTCGACTGTCACCTTTCAGTACGTTCCAAGGCATGCGAATGCAGGATCCTGAACCTCAGTTCACATATCTGATCTCCGAGCTGAAGCATCTGGGGCTCGCGTACCTACATCTCATTGAGCCGCGTATTGCTGGAAATGTGGACAGGGAGACCGATGACATAGAGAGCCTTGACTTTGCGCTTGATGCATGGAGTTGGGCCGGACCAGTCATTCTAGCAGGGGGCTACACAGCGGAGAAGGCAAACAAAGCCCTGGAAACAAGTTTCAAAGACCGACCTGTTGCGTTTGCGTTCGGAAGACACTTTATATCTAATCCGGATTTGCCGCTTAGACTCGCGAGGAATATTCCCCTGGCGGCGTGTCATAGGGATACTTTTTACAAGGTGACGAGCACGGATGGGTACACGGATTATCCTTTCAGCGAAGGATGGAAGGAGGGACAAACGGTAGAGTAAACGACGGCTTGGAATAGAGACATATTTGTCTGGCACGACGTGTTTGTTGTTGCGTTTGTTGACACATGGAAGATGCTGGATGCCTACAGAATACCTAAGCAACGCTAGGCATGAGTCTAGGACCAGGGTTCCGTAAGATGAGACGAGATGAGACGAGACAAGAACAGTTATCAAGATACAACGGGCGGTGTATTCAATGGTTACCTTCAGAGAAAGCATCGGAGTATTGATGTGAATTTGAAGAGACACATGCACTACCTTTCTTTCTGTGTACGCCTCATGGCATGAGAATGGAAGCAGTTTTAAAACCGATAGTGGGGCGGTGAGACGCACGGCCTCAAACATACGATGCTTGACCAAATTCATGAGTGCAATCGGTGACATCTACAACAAATTGACTGTGCACACAGAAAAACAAACAACAAGCAAAGGTGAAACAATCCTTACGTGGCTGCCCTTCTTTCGTCTTCCTGCACCGTCGAGTAAGATTGGGTTCTCGCCGTTGACGCCTGAAGAGTAACACACGTGGCATATCACATGACTCCGCAACCGCAATCTTATCTACCGCCTAAAATTGTCCGGCAATTCTTTTGTGCCCGCACTTCACCATAAGCGACAGCATACCCTCTCCTCTTTCACCTCACTCCTCACTCCCAAATCTCCCCGGAATCGTCGGCAATGCAGGGCATGTCGTCGTCATCCGCCGACAATGCTTCCTGATGCGACAATTGACAGTGCAGCTGACATGCTTGCCCAGTTCCGAAATAGCAACGCCCTCAACGACATTCTCGACCAGTACGCTGTTCTGATCGAAGACTATAAGCGTCTTAAAAGCGATTATGAAGAGGAGCGTGAGGGCAGAGAGCGCTACAAGCAGCTCGCAAGAGGTCAAGAGCGTAATCCCTTTGCTCTCGTAGTCGTCGACGGAGATGGTTACATCTTTGACGAACGCTTCGTCAAAGACGGTGAAGAAGGCGGGAGCAGAGCCGCCAAACAACTCAACGACACTATCAAAGATAGTCTACGCCGCAAAGGTCTCGAATCCTGCGAGGTCATGGTCCGCGTCTACGCCAACCTCACAGGCCTATCAAAAGCCCTCTGCAAAAACGGTCTCGCCGGTGCAGAGAAGCGCTCCTTCTCCTCCTTCACAGCTGGGTTCAACCGCTCTTACGGCCTTGCTGATTTTATCGACGCGGGCGAATTAAAAGAAAACGCCGACTTTAAAGTCAAAGCCATTCTGCGCCTCTACGCCGACAACGCCCAGTGCAAGCATATTTACTTCGCGGCCTGCCATGATGTGGGCTACGTATCCGACCTTATCCCCTTTAGGGGCAACCGTGAAAGATTCACGCTTATTCGAACGCCGAGTGTGTTGTTTCATAAGGAGTTTGACAGACTTGGTATGAATGTCGAAGAACTCCCTGGTGTATTCCGCCATGTGCCACTCACATACGCGTATTCTACTTCGCAAACAAAGGCGGCTCTTGCGTCGTCTACCAATATCAGCAAAGCCGTCAGCGTAACATACACAAATTCTACGATCAAAGGAAACTCGAATGATGGGAACTCGGTCTGCAGCTTTTATGCGCAGGGAAATTGCCGATATGGCAGCGGATGCAAGTTCTCTCACATCGACAGTAAAACATCCAGTCAAAATAGTACACCATCACCATCCACAATTGGTACAAGCACAAAGAACTTGACAGGCGATTGGCGACGAGGCTCCAGCTTCACCAAGAGTAATATTGAGTCCCTACCTCGAAAGGATGATATCCCCGATGGATGTGTCGCCATCAATGCAGTCGAGGACCGTCTCGATGCTTACTTGCCCCCGCCTGATCCTGATGCCGCAAGACGTCTCAAGATGCTATCGCAAGACAAGAGATTCTGCAATAACGCACAGCTGTATAATTCATGCGAGAGCGACAACTGCGGGTATGAGCATGCGCCAATTGATAAAGACCTGCTTCCAGCGCTCGAACATCTCTCACGTTCTGTACCTTGTACGCGTGGGGGAGCTTGCCGAAGAACAAACTGTGTTTATGGCCATGTATGCCAGCGGGCTGACTGCCGTAACCGAGCCGGTGGGAAAAGCTATTGTCGTTTCCGCCCGCGAGTTTGCACCGCAGATTACTCTCCCTTCGACTACGTTCCGGCAGTTGACCAGGCTATGACGTCCCCATCCCTGCGCTCTGAAGATGTAGATGGGCGCAACGCCGAGAATGGGGGGACGAACCTGTGGGGAGATCAGTAAACAACTACAAACTACAATGGTATACCTGATAGGATGGGTATACACATTAACGCGATTTGTTGAAGGGGATCTTGTTTCTACCTCGACGGCCTCATTATAGAATGGCTGAGGCTTGAGGTCGCTCATTATCTTGTGGAATTGCCTTCGCCCGTACAATATGGCAAATACGGAAGGTTGAGGGTTCTCACTGTTCATTCAACTGGACAGATCCAGGGGATAATTCGGATGGGCCGTATTCAAGAAAGTCGAGTTTGGTAGTCGGATGAAAAAGGCACTAGAATACGGTACTTGGAAAAATATAACTACAAGGATACTATCGAGGTGAACGTGACTTGGAGATGTGATAACGCGTGAGCTTTGCCTGAAACCTATTCTCAGCAATGGGAAATATTTAGGTAAGTTTCGTATAACTGATTACACTGATTTTGTTTGAATGAGATGAAGCTTTATCTGGACAGCCTTCAAGACTAATGATCATGGATTCCGCAAAGACTGGTTATACAATAAGAGGGTTCACAGTTTCACACTCTACTGCCCCAACCAGCCTCGAACGCTACTGACTCCGAATTGAAACGGCCATGTCTCTCTTCTCGGGCCTAACCAAATTTGGACCACGATGCCCATTACAGCAACACATATGGCACGCTGATAGATGACTGGCATGGCGAGCCTGCCGAGCACGAGACGTCTTCCAGTTTCAGTGGAAGTGTTGCCTGGCGAGTCCAGGAGACTTCTCTCCGGTTCGTATGGCGATGGCAGGTAAGGCGTGCGTCATTCGGAAGTGGACAACACCAAAGAATGAAAGTCACTTCTACTGTATCTTTCCAGGAAAATGTCGAAGTAGCTTCCCTTGTGAGGAGGCATGATGAGGCTTTGGCTTAGTCAGAGTTGAAATAACCTTGAATCTGTTCCAGAAGTAGCGAAATTGACCGATTGTGCGGAGTGTTTTTAATGAAAAGGATCAAGATCAAGCGTACACTCCTCATAAGTTTTCCTCAATCACGTAGTCTCTCGAGGAGTAGACAGAGCTGGATCGTTTGTGGCTTCCATTGATTTGGTCCTTCCCTCAGGTTATGATGACAGTTGCCCTCACTGAAATGGGACGCGTCATTTTCATGACCATGGTCCTTCCTCAAAGTTGGCCAAAACATTGACGGGTTAACTGGCCTTCGTCTGGAGCTCCCAGACTTGACAAATTCATCATCCCAAGACACATGCAAATCCTTCTGCTTCCTGCATATCCATCCCCATCCATCGTCAAACTCAAGTTGACAGGCCTTGGTGAGTGATGACATCTTCACTTCATCTACTGCAACCAAGAACAAGCAAGATACGGCTAACTTGGACAGTGTCCCCACGATGCACCCAGTGTCATCGAAGCAAAGTCCCGACCGATCGACCGACCGGGCACTCGACAAGCAGATGAGCCAACGATCGAAAGATACGAATTTGGTATTCATCTCGGCCGACTCAGAAGATTCGAGCGGTCAACTGCAGGGTGTCAACCCACAAAGAGGAATGGCCTAGGTGTCGTGAATAGCAATTATGCAGCGCGCCAGTGCCACGATGCCTGATAGCCCCGAGAGCGAGGGCGAGTGGGACGACCTCATTTTGAATGGAAGTCTTGCGCTTGGTTATCAATCCTGACACTATGCAGTGCTTGTCCACGACCCCTGACGCGTGCCATGCAAACTTGCAGACGGCCAGAAGAGTCTCTTTAGCACTGAAAGCTGGACTCGGTCGGGGGCTCGTCATCGACCTAGCGCGTATCAGTTCCATATCCATCAGGTTCTTGATCAGAAGAGTCCAAATAGGCATAGCGCCAGGCTCGGTTAGGAGGGCTTGCCCCTGTTGCTACGATGCTTGCGTCGGTCCAACGAGTACCTGTCTCATGAGGGATTTGGTCAGAAGAGTCTCAACAGCACAGCGCTGGGCTCGGTTGGGATGGGTTCATCCCTATAGCAACTCGATGCTTCCTTTAGCATTCATCAAAGAATGGGGAAGAGCTGACCCTCCATGTCAACATGAGAGGGGAGGCGGGCGGCGAAGTCGGACTCTGCAACCTCCTCGTGGTGCCGCCTGGGAACCCGGTCAATACCGGAGCCAGTGCAGAGACGCAATTCCTTTCCTATTCTTCCTATGGCTGACTGATCACATAGGGATGGCTCGGGCTGTCACTTGCTTGTTGACTCATGTCATGGGTGGAAGGGGTCGAGGGCCGTCGTCAGAACGCACAAGCAAGGTTCCCGCACATTGATAAGGCTACAGCGAGGCATTTTTGGATGGTCAGGTATAAAGAAAACTTTGGTAAATAAGAACTACTCTACACCACTTGCGACCTACGTTCCTTGCCTAATACGTTCGTGAGTCGCAGTCTGGTATCATTTCTCTGATATGCCAGAAGGTTCGAACTCTCGGGAGACAAGAATGAAGGTTCACAGTTCCTCCCACCCCAGGAGTCCAATATTGCAATGAAATTTGCGTTCCCGAAAACTAAAACATCCAGTTTTGATCTTATTGCCGTTGTTGTGCTCTTCACGAATGCTCTCTTCCAGCTGCCGCACAAAGTCAATAGACGAGCTTCCATCTCGACTCGATGTGTCATCCACGGGCTTTACATACTCCCAGTTCTTTAGTTTCTCATCATCAGGGCGTCGTCTGCGCCGAAAGCTCCAGTAGCGCCGATGGGAGGTAAGGCCGCAGTCGATTTCCAGGAACCTCCTATCTCTAGCATAAAATGCGTTGAGCGTTTCATGGCATTCAGACCGTTCTTCAAAAGCCGGTGCGTTCTTTCTTCTCTTGAGGGTGCGATCGATGAACCACAGTTTCTCACAATCCTTCAGCTCGAAAGCGGCATCCATCAACTTGCTGAAGTTTGGCCTATCCCAGAGAAATGGAGAGGCGGATATTTCGTCCCCCCACTGAGGATCATACTCAATTGCAATGTGCTGGAGTCTTCTCCAGGAAGGCCGGAGTTCCCCTCGCGTTGGACGAGACCCAACGAAGTGCCAATCGATACCGTCCAGTTTATCAAATTGGAAGATGAAGAGATCTCTGCGAGGGAACACCGTCAAGTAGTGCGGGGAGCCTCCTTCGAAGTATCCTGTGGAAGGCACCTGAAACACCAACCAGTAAGGATACGGACGCCACTCTCTAGTATCACGTCGTAAAAAACGCCGCAATCCATCGACAGGCCACTCATACTGGCTGAAATGCTTTTCGATGGCGAGTCGCGACTCTTTACAGGTATTCCACATTGCACCGTCGATGAGATACGTGGAAATGTTCTCGTTCTTGCGGTCCTTGTCCAGGCTGTTGAAGTATCTGTCGGGTGACGGCTCGGATAGAATACCACTGAAGAGGTTGCCATGCATGAGAGAACGACCCTCAGCCATGCCTTTCTTGTTCTCGTCGTAGTGCCCGAAGATGTGAACACCTGGGTGATTATCTCGAAGGACGAGTGGCCAAATCATGTCTCGAATCTCCCGAGGAAGATCAGAAAAATTTGCCATGGTCGAATATGTGATGAAAGATGAGAGGTTGGAAGATGGATAATGCATGATGGATCTGAGGAAGTGGGGTGCGCCGCGACGGGTTTTATAGCGAATATTCGATCTGACTGCGTAAAATTCCATCATGGAACTTTAATCTGTGTTAGGAGCCCTAAGTTCAAGTCTTCCAGGCAGCAATAGTTAACCCTCTTCGAGGGAACTTAATATAATTTTGACTGTATTTATTTATGCTACGTATAACTCTGTCAGTAGCCACATCTAGGAGATTAAGCTTTTATATTAAAGTCTATTTACTTATCCTTACTACTAATAAGATTACTAATTAAGTTATTATAAAAGCATATTATTCTATTTTTTATTTAAAAACTTATCTTTATTAAGGCTATATATATATTACTTTTTAAAAGCTAAAGTTGAATAGGATTTTTTAGTGTATTAGCTTAATATACTTTGTAAACGTGTTATAAGCTTTAGGCATTAATCAAGCAGCAATAGTTAAGCTATGTAAGTAGTTTGTGCAAAGGACATTTGAAGAAGTCTAAACTCTAAGGTGACTTAGAGCCAGGGAAGAACAAACTCAACAAAGCATTATAAATCAGGGTCCAACGCACCAATACTTAGCGGCCTGAGTCATTAATAACTTCTGTTTTCACGGTTCCCTCGAATATCTTATAATAGTGGCAACAGCTTCTAATTTTTATTATTGTCCTGTATAATCATATCTGCAACGACTCCTTGAACAGTTCAAAGATCATCCCACCCAAGAAGAAGACCGATTTGGCAATAATACTCTGCTTCAGTATCGTCTGGATCGTACCGTTAATCGAGCTCGCCTTCCAAACACGAGATGAATTCTGGAGAAGAGCTAAACTGGTGAGCATCTGGACCACACTCATCATACTCATCATATGAGCAGCAATAGTATTTCGGAGTAGGGCTCAAGGGCTTGATGTATTCCCATTCCGTACATTTGGGGTACTTACCCTTAATCTCCAGAAACTTCCTGTCGCTGGCATAGAATGCATCGATACTGCAACGGGACTTTGCGTTTTCCTTCAACACTGGAGCATCCTTCTTTCGCTTGAGGGTACGGTCGAGTATCCAGATTGTCGAAAAAGAATCATGCAATTCGAAGGCTGCATCAACAAGGGCTCTGATATTTGTGCCGGCAGAGAAATATTTCTTGTCGGATATCTCCTCCCACCACCTTTGGTCATACTCTATTGCAATATGCCGCACCCCACCGAAATTTTCCATCGGACGGGCCAGGGAAGCTTCAAATGAAACCCAAGACCAATCAATATTGCTCAAATCCTCTGCTTGCAAGACAAAGAGGTCTCGGTGAGAAAAAACAGTTATACAATGGAGGGGAGAACCGTCAAAGTAGCCTGTTGTGGCTTTGTTGAACCGGTCTATGTCTCTGGCCCATTCTGAATCAGGCCTTCCGTAAATCTTGCGATTTGACTGTTTGTATCGTCTTTCCATGACGAGTCGTGATTCATGGCAGGCGGTCCATAGGCCGCCATCAATCAGATATGTCGAAATGTTCTCATCGCTGCAGTCATCATTTAGGTTTTCGAAATAACGCCGCCATGATGGCGCGGCCCAAGTGTCGCTGGGCCAGTCTCCACGCATAAGAGAGCGACCCTCGGTCACATTGTCGTTAGTCTTGTCATATTGACCAAAGATATGTACTCCAGGGCGATCGTCACGCATAGCCATGCTCCAAATCTGGTCTCGGAGCTCTCTGGGAAGCTCGGAGAATCTCTTGAACTCAGACTATGGGATAATTACAGCCTATAAGGTTAAGCTTTAGGCTATAAATA